TATTCAAATATGATGAGAAAATAATAATAGTAAGGATAAAAATATATATGTATATACAAAACATACAATATATATTTTTATTTAATTGATTCGATCTCATTTGGAGACATTTCCGTTCATTTATTTAACATACATAATTAGTTAGGATAAAATAAACCTTAAAAAAAGTAGCAATTCGTTCGTATTTGAAGGTTCATGTTAGTCTATTCCAACTACAAAACAAAGATGCCAAAGATCACAACATCCAAGTATTCGCAAATTGATTTCTTATAGTTTTGTTCACACTTATTTTTCTAACAATTGGAGCTTGTCTAAATCTGACCAACGTCAATAACACTAATTAAAACGGTATAAAACTAACATTGGGTTGGATATGAGCCAAAACCCAACTTTAGGTGACTGTTGGAGCTGGCTTCGACGAAGGAGAGCGCCTCCAGAACTGCTGGCAGTGGTGGCTAGTCTGGATGCTTCTGGTTCTGCCATGGCCTGTTTATGAAGAAAGGAAGAAAATAGGTGATGCAGAGATTTGGTTCCAAGAGAACATTGCAAAGAAGTTTTCTCCGTTGCCTCAAACAAACTTTACAAGAAGAAAGTCAAATGCCAATTTCAAGATCTTGGATTCTGTTCAGAATGATGTAATGCAAGTGAACAAAGGAACAAAAGAAGTGTTACCGGAAAGTGAGTCATGCAGTTCCTTAAGGTGAGAAAAACCAGGGAGATGACAACTTATTGCTCAATGGTTATAACTATTAATAACTTCTTTTTCTGCACAAGATTGTTATAGGCCTGTCATTCCAGGACATCGAAACAAAGGAGAAAACAGAAGCTGTATGAAACTTGATCTTCATTTGTAAAGCATATGAATTGATATAAGGCAATAGAAACCTGTATGAAACTTGTTTTTCTGGAGTTTTAACGCAAATGAATAGATATAAGGCAATAGAAACCTGTATGAAACTTGATCTTCATTAGTAAAGTAGACGACTATCAATGAATGTCTTAATTTAGATTTTGTTCATCACATATGATTTGCTACGAAGCTGTATGGACACGGACATCTAATACAGATACGACATGATACAGATACGATAATACGATAATTTTTAGAAAATGAGGAGATGAATTTGGCAGGACACGATGATAAAAAAATATTTTTTATATATTACAATTATAAGTTGAAAATATATGGAAGATATTGAGCTACATTTTTAAAAAATATTTACCTTGTGAAGAAAATCCAATGATAGACATTACAATAAAAAAACAAATATTGTCATTATCTATACGAGAATTGTCTTTTTTTTTTTTTTCTTTTCTTTGACGTATCCGACCAAATTTGACATGTATTTTGAGGTGTTACAAGCATCAAAGTGTTAGACACGGATATGATGATATGGGTACGTGAGGGGTTTAGAAGTGTCCACTGTAAATTTCATTGAAGAATGAACTAGTTGAAACTTGTGAATTTACTTAGTTAAATGAAGTTTCTTATCAATTTATTTCAGAGCAAGGTATATGGCAGAAGTTGATTGCTGAAGACACCCCCTACAGCTAATGGTAACAATACATTATTATGCTACTTTTTTACTGTAAATTGACTAGCCTTGTCACTGTAAACCAATTTTTACTGCAAACTATTGATAGAAATGCCAATCCATCATACAGTAAACATGCAGAATCTTAATGAATCAGATGAAGAAGTCAATGAAGGCTTTTCCTGCTTGCTTGATGACAAGGAAACAGGTGCTCACTTAATAAGAGAGTTACATTACATGATTCAATTTTTGCTTATTAGTTATCATTTTTAACCTATCTACAAGTTCCCCATGGAGGCGAACACCATCAGTGGCAGAACCATCTTTGGTGGGACGGTGTCCATGATTGAAAAATAACAAAATTTAAAGAAAAATTTTTTATCTGAAGCTTAAAAAAAAAGAATAACATCTATTATAAAGGGTTTTCTTTAGATTCTTTTATTTTCAACTGATGCAGCTTGGATATAGACATATGTTTTCATCTACAATATTATATGGTTTGTCTTGGTTTATTGAGAGCAGATGGATAGTATAATTCTATTTCTTCCTGCTATAAAGGTTTGAATTGCTCTTCTCATAATCTTTCCCAACTTAGCTGGTTTTTTCAAGGCAACACAACAAACATACTGATAGGGGAAGCAAAGGAAGAGACTGAATGAATTTTGAGGAAAGCCACGAGGTGAAAGAGAAAGTACCATAATCCCATAATTATTAATTGAAGGTACCTAGGCATAATCATCTTCAAGTTGCCATTTTTCGCAACTACCACTCAGCTAAAAGATTTTATTTCTCTGTACCATAGTTAGGGAAGATAAAATAATTTGTACTGATAGATTTTGATTTACTTTAATTTGATAAGATCGATTTTTTTAAAATCAAATGTTGGGTTGGAAGGAGGTTAGGATTTTTAAAGTTTAGGGTTTAGTGGGTCAGGTTTTAAGTTACATTGTTCCGATCAGGCTTAAGTATATAAAAATATTTTTATTGTTTATTTAATTTATATTTATATATTATATTAATAAATTTATTATTTAATATTTTAATTTAAGATATTAATTTAATAAAAATACTATATTTATGTATAATTAATATGTAATTTATATTTAAAAATAATATTTTATAAATAATATATTAAATTAAAATTATTAAATTAATTTTGAATTAGATGAAACTAAATCAATTTCAGTTTATAAATATATAGGTCAAGTCGGATCAGATAAAAAATTAATATTTTAATATCTAATCGAATCTCGATGAATCGAATTAAAAAAAATAATATTTTGATGTTTAATCATATCAAAATTAGGTGTGAATATTAAAAAATCGATTTAAGTAAAAAACTTGCCCCAACTTAATCCACTACCATCTCTTAGCATAACTATACTCTTTAGAATGAGTTTAAACTCTTTTGCATAACTGTAGCTACATTTATGCTGAGAAATATAAAATCAGAGGAATCATTATGTGTTTTATTAGATTGCAATGAATGGCAACACTTCGTTGTGTTTAGGAATGAGAAAAATTTTGAAAAAATTAAAAATTAATTCAAAAATTATAGTATTTAATTCGAATCAAGTTAAGATATTAAATATATATTTAAATTTGGATCGAATTTTAAATCAAGATGTGAAAAATTGAAAAAAAATGAATCGAATTGAATTATATATATTTATTAGTTTTTATACATAGTTTAATTTTTATAAATAAAAATAATTATTTTATATAAAAATTTATTTAAATATATTAAAAATTATATTAAAATAATATATAAAAATTTTAAATTTAAAAATTGATGAATCAAACTTAAAAAATTCGATTCGAATTATATCAATTTCAAAAAAATGTTAATTCAAATCTAAATCAAAATTTAAAAGTTTTTAATATCATATATTATTTAAAAAAATCAAATCAAATTTAATTTAATCCAAATTATTATCATCTTTATTTATATTTACTCATGCTGATGCATATACCTATATGTCCAGTACTTTAGACTGAAGAGGCAGAAAACCTATGCTATTCTCAACATGACTGCATATAGAGATATTTGCTGATATTCTGCTAACTTTAATTTTTAAAAGTAATTTTATGCTTCAATGACAGATAATATTAAAATTCTATACTTAATTCAATTGATTTATAATTTTATAAAATAATATTTAATAAATATAAATATAAATTTTATCTATAATTTTTTTTTATCGATGCTACCTTCTTATTAAAAACATAATATATGTTTAAAGATCATTCTTAACACACCTTCCTTGGAAAAATCATCAGTGTTAATCACAAACTTTGAGAAGTGTGCCTCAAGCATTCCATCAATTAAATTCACCTGATCAACACTTTATACAATTTATTCTCCATTTTACCCCCATTTTTATTCCTTATCTTGGGATGATTAACAAATAATTCTAAAAAAAATATAGGGCAAATTTGGAAAACGAGAGTAACACACAAAAAATTATTATTTTTTGAATGCTATTTAAGGATATAAACGATACATTAATACTCATAAGTTATATAGAATTGATTCAAACAAAATTTGAATTCATCTCACTTATTATCAAGTTAATGTTGAGTTTGAATAGTTTAACCTATCGATCGAGTTTAGTTTTAGTATTTTTATATCGACTTAGTAACGTGCGAGTTTAATCGAATTTTTATATTTTAATATAATTTTATTATTTTAATTAATAAAATATATTAAACTTGAGCTCAAATATAAATAATTAAGCTTTTATTGAATAAAAAAATTAAACTTATTTTTACATGTGAATCGAGTCTAATTGAGTAAGTTCAATTAGGTTGATTTTTATCTCGAGCTAAGTTTAAGTTAAAAAAAAAAAATTTGATTGAGTTCGAATCGAGTTTCGAGCTTCAAATTTTGAATAAAGCTTGAACTTAATAATATATTAACTCGAATTCGATCGATTATATCTTTAGTGTTATTGTACTATAATTTTTTCTTTTTACACTCCAACTTTTATTTAAATTTTGTTTAAATGAAATTACTTAATTATTTTTTTCACATTAGTTTTCAAAAATAAATTTTGAAAAATCATAAATCTTTTTGTAAATAAATTTTCGAAAAATCATAAAACTTTCTAAAGAGAGATTTTTAGAAGATTATAAATTTTTTCGAAAATAAGTTTTAAAAAGTCAAAATTTCGAAAAAATTTATGATTTTTCAAAAATTTATTTTAAAAAATTATAAAATTTTAAAAATTTATAAAAAAATATAATTAAGTGTCCATTTAGATTCTACTATATCAAAGATTAAATTCACCTATATTACTAATTAAATCCAAATATTAATTTCAATAAAATTCATCAAATATAACTTTCTTATTAAAATTTTTTTAATCATAATTACAATAATATTTTTTCAATAACAATTATAATAATAATAATTATTTTTAATTTTATCATAATCAATCTCCTTTAAGTAAATGGTCCTAATAAATTTATTTAAAAAAATTAAAGTGTAAAGAGCAAAAATGGGATTGCATTTAGCACCACTTTATCTTTTTCATGAGTAGCTCGCCCCCAATTTCTGTCCTCTCTTAATTGTCTGAGTAGTGGAAGAATCAAAACGCCGACGCCAGCATCATCATCATCATCATCATCAGCCATAGCTAACAAGGAGTCCAAGCCCGATGCCCTTCTCTCCGTCGAATTTCTCTCTCTAAAAAACCCCATTTTCTCTATCTAGATCTCGCCCTTGCTGTTTCTCTCTCTCTCTTCGAAATCACTAATTTTTATCAGAGGTACGCTCCACATTCTTTGTTTTGCAGTCTCAATCTTCATCATATGTTTTCTTATTTTATGAATTTGCCATCAAAACCCTAGCTTTACTAATCTGCGAAAAAGGAAAAAAGGGTGAATCTTTTTAGCTTATCAGCTCGTCTTTATTGCATCCTACATAAACCCTTGTTCTCGTTTCGTTCATTGAATTTGTGTTTCTTGCAGTTCTAGATTCGATGTTTTGGTTTCTAATTTTACCTTTTAGCATGTAAAAGAATATAGCTTTTTAGTTTAATTTGGGGGTTTGCTCGACTCAGTAGATTTGGTTCTTTGCTGAATCTAAACGGTGAGTTTTAGTGCTCTAATGAGTTTTTTGCTGGACTGAGTCACCTGGGGAGGGAAACATTTTGAATTTGGACACGTGTTAATTGTTTCTTTTGTTTTATTTTAATATATCAAATTCCTTCGATTGTTTAATGCTGTTGTTTTGCTATATGACTTTCGAGTTTGGATTGCATGTTCGAATTTCCAATGTGTTGGGAGATGTTTTACCTTAAGTTCAAAATTTAAATAATTTGCTAAACATGTTTAGAGTTTAAAGTTTGGATTGGAATAATATTTTATCAACTTATTGTTTATTCTAATGGTAGCAAACTGCTTTATAAATTTATCAGATCTGTTCTTAGCAACACAAAGCTGTTGAGTTTAGTTCATATGATGATGTTCAGAGTTTTATTGAACTGTTATTCGAATGGATAAAACCATGAATTTTACCATTTCCACAGTTTTCATGGTTTAAGCTTCAACTTGTGTACTATTTGTTAATTGGTAATTGATTGATGCTGTTAGGTTATGTTTTCTTAAGCGTATAAACTCCTTTGATGACTGAAATGTTCAGAATTCCATCTTCTAGAATCTCTAATCATTTATGTATCCTTTTTTATTTTCTTTTTGAGGGTGACTAGTCAGGTATTTTATACTGGAACTATAACTGCTAACATCGGAGTGGGGCTCACAATCAGCAACATAATTTTAATTTTCTAATGCTGCATCTTAGCACTGATGACTTGACTGAGGATGTGAAATTTTTATTTTTGCCTTACCGTGTTTTCCAAAAAGTTATATTAGAGACTAAAAGTGTGGTTTCTGTTCCTCAATGGTTGTTTTGCTTCCATTTGTCTATTAGTTTCGGAAAACATTAAATAAAATCTTCTTCAAGATGTGATGTTTTACTTTAAATTTTCCTGACCAGTCAGAGGGAGGTTGATGAGCCAATTTGCAGATTTGATGTTTGGGGTGGCATACTCTGAATCTTTTCTTTTTCAATTTTATTTTTAATTTGACTTTTCTATCAAATTAGTTATGCCTTTCTCTGATTCTGATTTCTATTTTCTATTTTTTTTGCATGAATGCAGTTTGGCTTTAACAATTCTTTCTAGGGTTTGATGCTGAAAGCAGTATGCAGCTGATAGTGGGGAGAAATGCAAAGATATCATGCTGCCAGCTGCGCTAGTGCAGTTAATAATAGTGCAATAGGAGGACCCTCGGCTAGGGATACTGCCCGGGCTGACTCATCTTCATTAGCACCTGACTTATCATTGAATTCTAGGTAACTGTACCAAAATATCATAATCTTTTGTGCTCCGTTTACAGATTCTAAAACCAGTGTTTGACTATATTTTATGATATCTTTCTTTGATGGTTTTTCAATTTATTACCGCATGTTGCTCCCATCATTAGTGGAACACTATTAATCTGGAATTTATTTTTCTAGAGTCTTGTGTTGAGTACGTTGTGCCCTTTCCTCTGATTGTTTGATTGTGCATAAGGTGCATTTCAATATTATTAGAGGCAGCTAATGCTTGGATATCTCTAAAAAATTTCTTGTTTTTTCAAATCATTTTGTGTATTTTTTGAGAAATAGATTTTCCATATTAAGATGAGATTGTTTAATTTATTTTACTCAGACAATATATTTATCTTTTAGCATTTTTTGTTAGAGCTGTAAATTTGTCTGCATGTGGAAAATGCATTTTATCTGCCTGGTGTTCTAAATTATTGTTATTTTGTAGGCGGCAATCTCAGCTAGCACCCTACAAGTTAAAATGCGATAAGGAACCTCTTAAATCCAGGTAGTTTCTGAAATTGAACTGAAGCAGTATTTATGCAGAATGGTTTAGTTATGCTCCAGAATAGGGTTATATGTTACTTTTGATTGCTGTATAATAATGGATTTCTGAGCTGACTAAGTTGATGCTCCTACTGATTTGATTCTCAAATTTATCTTTTAAGTTATTGGATGTAGTTTTTACCTTGCATACCAGTAACTTATTATTGTACCTTTTCAGACTTGGCCCACCTGATTTTCATCCCCAGTCCCAAAATTGTCCCGAGGAGACTCTCACTAGAGAAAATGTGCAGCTGGGATATAAGGAGACTGTTGATGGACTGGAGGTATAGTCTTATGATTGATTTCGGTTTATCACTTTTGTTTATTGTTTTGCTGCAAGATCCATATGTGGATTTTGTGCTGCAAGTGGTTGGTTAACTACGGTTGCTCTGCCAATCTATATGTGAATTGCAATCACATCCTTTTTCTTGAAATTAATGCTCAGGTAACCATACTTGGCTATTTTTGAGCTAAGTAAAATGTTTTTAGTTGGGTCTGCTTGAAAATGAAAAGATTGGATCATGAATTTTTTGTTTGTTAATGATAATTGAAGTTCAAGTGCTTATATTCTCTTATAAATCTGCTAGAGAGGAAATGGGTAATGGCTATTTTTCAAATACTTTAAGATTTTCTTATGGTTGAAGAACTTATATCTGCATATACTCCAAGCATGGGATTGGTGTTTTGTTTTGGCAGTCTCTGTCAGGTCCTACTTTTTTCTTCCTCCATGTTGCTGATTGATTCTATTTTTATACTTACCTTTCTTTGCCTATATTAGATTGAAATTGGATAGTATTGGTGTGAGTGCTGCTTTGAGTTGGAGGGAGCAACTTAGCAGTATTTTAAAGCCGTATGAATTTAAATCTAGAACTGTCTCTCTTTTATTAGCATCATTTTTGTTGTCTAATATGGTTTCTTATTTTGTCTGTTCAGGATTCTAAAGAGATTTCGTTGACTCAGGTTCAGGCTTTTACAAAGCCAGTTGTTCTGAAATGCAGAGATGTAAGTCACTTGATTTGTGATGCTATGGTTGTCAAGCAGACTGTTCTATGCATATTGAATTTATCGTGAAATACAACAGTCAGTTCTTTTAACTTTTTAATAAGTAATTATTTCTGTTCTTTGCAGGCAATTAGAAAGTGTCTAAGGGCTATCAATGAATCTCGTGCACAAAAGCGGAAGGTGATTGATTCGATCTTTTCATATTTATTAACTTGTCTTTTTCTTTAGTTGTTTCTTGTTTCTGTACTTGTATTATTGATTACTTTTTGCTTCCTTTTTAAAGTTCTGGATCTTTAGTACAGAATTTGAGGCTCTATTTTGTTCTTGTCAGGCTGGCCAGGTTTTTGGTGTCCCTCTTTCTGGTCCACTGCTAAGTAAGCCTGGGGTTTTCCCCGAACCAAGGCCATGCAATGAAGATTTCAAAAAGAAATGGATTGAGGTACTTTCAGACTCCGCTAAGTTCATGACTGATTGTACATTACTTCATTGTGTTATCAATTTTGAGTTATTGAAACTTGGCGAATGGAAGAAACAAACTTTACGCATTAACTCAACAAATTGCCTATTATAAACTAGATGTGAAATTATGATAAGTTTTTCTTAGACAAAAAAAATACCATTTTAGCAAAATACATTCATGAATTCGGAATCAACCTGGACTCTGTTGTTGAGGCTTGGTGATCAATGATTAATGTTTTTCTTAACTGGTCTAAAGAATTCTTTGATGAAGTTAGATGCAGGATTTAGTTTCTATTTGTTATGCTCTTATTTTTCTCAGGGCTTATCACAGCAACACAAACGTTTGCATTCTTTGGCTGACCAATTTCCTCAAGGGTATAGAAAGAAAACATTGATAGAAGTTCTTATCAGGAATAATGTTCCATTGCTGAGAGCAACTTGGTTCATCAAAGTAAATTATCTTAATCAGGTACAATTGCCTTAATTGTGATAATCATTTGATCGTGCTTTCTGTAATTGTCCTAGGCTATTCTTAGTATTGGAAGGTAGCAGACTATGGTTATTTTTTGCAGGTTCGCCCTGGTTCTGCAATTTCTTCTGGGGCACCTGATAAAACTCAATTATCTCGCTCCGAGCTCTGGACAAAAGATGTTATTGATTACTTGCAGTACCTTTTGGATGAATTTTTTTCAAGAAATAATTCTCACTCTACTCAACACAGTAGAGATCAATTGCCACAAATGCTTTATGCTGGGTCTTTGCAGCATAGGAGTGACCCAGCATCAACAATTCTTGATGGTGAGGAGCCATCCCTTCATTTTAAATGGTGGTATGTAGTGCGGCTCTTGCAATGGCATTATGCAGAAGGACTGGTTCTTCCCTCTCTTATCATTGATTGGGTTCTGAATCAACTGCAGGTATTGAAATTGGTGTATTCAACCCTCATTGCAAATATTGTTTTCCAACTTTCCAAGAGACATTTTTATATGGCGAGTAATTATGAGCTTATGAACATTCTTCTGGTTTCTAATTGTCATATTTGTTCTATTCCAGGAAAAGGAATTGCTGGAGATTCTGCAGTTGCTATTGCCTATTATTTATGGGGTTCTAGAAACCATCATTCTATGTCAGACGTATGTACGTAATCTGGTGGGTATAGCTATTCGCTTCATCCTGGAGCCTTCTCCTGGTGGATCTGATCTGGTTGATAATTCCCGGAGGGCATACACAATTTCTGCTTTGGTTGAGATGCTTCGATATTTGATACAGGCTGTGCCGGATACATTTGTTGCTTTAGATTGCTTTCCTTTACCAACTTGTGTAGTCTCAAATGCATTTAATGATGGCAGGTTTTTGTCAAAATCATTGGATGATGCAGGGAAAATAAAATATAATTCAGCAGATTCTTATGTTCTCAAAGGTAAAGGATTTGATTCTCAATACCAATCCCTATCATTTGATCGTGTTGTTTCCACTATCCAGAAACGTGCTGATAATCTTGCTAAAGGTGCAAGTGCTGGATATCCTAGCCAAAATGTGGCTAAAGCTGTGCAGACCCTGGATAAAGCTCTTTTGCAAGGAGATCCAGTCAAGGCTTATAAGCATATCTTTGAAGAACTTTGTGATGGAGCAGTTGGCGAAGGTTGGGTTGCAGAAGTCAGTCCATGCTTAAGATCTTCACTAAAATGGATTCAAACTGTAAATTTGTCATTGATTTGCTCAATTTTTTTTCTTTGTGAGTGGGCAACATGTGATTTTAGAGACTTCAGGACTGCACCACCCCGTGACTTGAAGTTCACTGGCAGAAAAGATTTTTCACAAATATATCTTGCAATTCAGCTTTTAAAGCTAAAGATGAGAGAGTTGCAGAATCCACAACACAAGAGTGGTAGGGCTTGTGGGGTTAATTGCACTGCAAAGAATATCAGTCAGCAGAATAACTATTCCAGCCGGAATTTGATGGGAAATGTATATGAAGCTAAGAGCAATGGAAAAAGTGAGGATGGAAGTAGAAATTCTTCAGATATATTTGGCAGCCCAGGTCCTCTGCATGATATTATTGTGTGCTGGATTGATCAGCATGAAGGGTATAAGGGAGAAGGTGGCAAGCTCCTTCAGCTTTTTGTATTGGAACTCATATGTTGTGGAATCTTTTATCCTCAGGCATATGTGAGGCAGCTGATAGTTAGTGGAATTATTGATGCAAATGGAGCTATGGGTGACCTGGACAGAAGGAGGAGACACCACCGAATCTTGAAGCAGCTCCCTGGGCAGGTTATTCTTGATGCTTTAGAAGAAGCAAGAATTGCTGAAGGCTCAGAGCTGCTGGAGGCTGTAAATGTTTACTCAAATGAACGTTATCTTGTGCTTCATGGGCTTCTTTTTGACAAATATAATAATGCAAGCAATCCTCATGCATTAGCTAAGAAGCGGAAGTATCATTCTATCTCAGGAAGGGATGGTGCTTCCCAAGTCTCAGATGATCAGTGGAGAAATGTTCAGTTTTCAAAGACTTTCAGGAGAAATTTGGACCTTGAAGAACTGAAGGCTTCCATCTCAGTGCTGTTGCAATTTCCTAGCTCCTCTTCTACATCTGCAGATAGTGGAGTGGATGAGTCTCAAGGGAGTGTCAAAATGCCTGTTGGGTCAACATGCAACAAGATGGATTTGTTTGAAGGTACTTCTGGGTGTGAAGATTGTAAAAGCGTGAAAAGACAGAAATTAATTGAGGAAAAGAGTTCATGTCTTCATATACATTCACCAATTTCATCAGATGATGAAGATACTTGGTGGGTGAGGAAGAGGCTGAAAAACTTAGAGTCCTTTAAAGTTGATCCCCCACTTAAGTCAACGAAGCAAGTTTCTCGAGGTAGGCAAAGGACTGTGCGTAAAACTCAGAGTCTTGCTCAATTAGCAGCTGCTAGAATTGAGGGTAGCCAGGGTGCATCCACAAGTCATGTATGTGATAATAAGATAAGCTGCCCACATCATAAAACTGAGGTGGAAACTTTGAAGCCAGTGGATGGGATCAGACCAACCCATTTTGGAGATATTGTTTCGATTGGAAAGGGTTTAAAGCAGCTTCGCTTTGTGGAGAAAAGGAATGTCACAGTTTGGTTGATATCTGTAGTTAGGCAGCTTGTTGAAGAGTCCGAGAAATCTCTGGCCAAGATTGGCCAGTATGGCAGGCCATTTGTTGCTGCTGATGAGAAGTGTCCTTTAAGGTGGAAGCTTGGTGAGGATGAGCTATCAGCTATACTGTATGTAATGGATGTTTCTTGTGATTCAGTTTCAGCTGTCAAATTTCTCCTTTGGTTGTTGCCAAAAGTTATTAGTAATCCCAGTCCTACGGTTCATAGTGGGAGAAACATTCTAATGGCGCCCAGAAACATAGAAAATCATGCATGTGAAGTGGGGGAGGCATACCTTTTATCGTCTCTCCGAAGGTGAACCATCATCTTGTATCTTTTTTTCTTTTAATTAAATTGTTCCTGTAAATCATCTGGCTACGGAGCATTTTCTTCTCTAGGTTTCTTTGTTACTGCCCATTGCATTGCGGTATATGTGTAATGCATTACTGTGCCTTGATCTTACTTTAGCCTCTTTTTCCTCTCTTGTTCTCCTCCAATTCCTGGCTTTTTCAAAACTGTTTAGGATGCTTGTGCCTCTTTATTGTTGACTGCATGAGAGCATTTGAACAATAAATTTTCTTCTTGGCATTGGTTGGACTAAACTAATATCTAAGGAGCTGTCCTGAAGATTTAGAGAATTTCAGTTTTTTCCCCTGAAAGTTATTGTTGTTGCTCAGGATCGGATTATTGAGCCACTGGATCTGTCATGGCAAAACCTTTTCTCGTTCTTCTCCATGTTCTGGCTTGACCTGCATATGTATGTCTTACATGCTTAATGATGAATTTTGTTCAGGTATGAGAACATACTTATTGCCACAGATCTTGTTCCTGAAGCTTTGTCAGCTACAATGCGTCGTACTGCAGCAGTTATGGCCACTAATGGAAGAATCACGGCTTCAGGAACCCTTGTTTTTGCTCAGTATTTGTTGAAGCGGTATGGCAATATTGCCAGTGTAATTGAATGGGAGAAGAATTTCAAGTCGACTTGTGATAAGAAACTTTTGTCTGAACTTGAATCTGGAGAGCTCGGAGTTCCAGCAGGGACTGAAGATGCGGATGATTATTGCCGTCAAAAGATTACTGGTGGACGGTTATCCAGAGTGGGTTTAAGCATGAGAGATATGGTTCAGCGTTACGTTGATGATGTCCTGCCCTATATCTTAAGTAAAGAGAGAGAGCCTTTTGCAGCCAATGCACCAAAAAGTCCTGCTACTGAAAAAGGGGATTATGGTTATCAAGTAGCACAACAAATCATAACGGGACTAATGGACTGCATTAGGCAGACTGGTGGTGCTGCTCAAGAAGGGGACCCATCTTTGGTATCTTATGCTGTTTCTGCCATTGTTAACAATGTTGGACCAACCCTAGCAAAGATACCTGATTTTACTGGTGGCAGCATTTTTTCAAATTATCATCCACCTATGAATTCCTTGAATTTTGCTAAGCGCATCTTCCGCATTCATTTAATTTGTCTATGCCTGCTAAAGGAAGCTCTTGGAGAGCGCCAAAGCCGGGCATTTGAGATTGCTCTTGCAACAGAGTCTTGTTCTGCTTTAGCAGTTGCATTTGCTCCTGCAAAGTCCTCTAGAGTTCAGTTTCAGTTGTCCTCTGATGCTCCTGATTCTAATGCAAACATATCTGGCGATAATTTGAATGGTTCTGCCAAAGCTACTCTTGGGAGACCAGCCAAAATGGCAGCTGCTATTTCTGCACTTGTCATTGGGGCTGTTATTCATGGGGTTATTAGCTTGGAGAGAATGGTAACGGTCTTAAGATTAAAGGATGGTTTGGATGTTGTTAAGTTTGTGAGGAGCACAAAGACCAGTTCTAATGGTAATGCCCGATCTGTTGGGGCTTTTAAGATGGACAGCTCAGTTGAAATTTATGTGCACTGGTTTCGACTGTTTGTTGGGAACTGCAGAACTGTTTGTGATGGACTAGTTTTGGAACTCTTGGGTGAACAATCTGTTGTAGCTCTTTCAAGGATGCAGAGATTGCTTCCTATTAATTTGGTCTTTCCACCTGCTTATGCAATATTTGCGTTTGTTATATGGAAGCCATTCATTTTGAATAGTAACAATGCAAGTAGTGAAGAAAACCCTCAATTGTATCAGTCTTTAACAATGGCCATTGGCGATGCCATAAAACACATACCTTTTCGAGATGTTTGTATGAGGGATTGTCGTGGTTTTTATGATATTGTAGCTGCAGATACCACTGATGCCGAGTTTGCTGCCTTGTTACAGTTGAACGGTTTGGACGTGCGCTTGAAATCCGTGGCCTTTGTCCCTCTCCGCGCAAGGCTCTTTCTAAATGCTATAATTGATTGCAAGATGCCCTATTCTGTTTTTACACAGGATGATGGTAATTGGGTTTCTGGTCATAGCGAGTCTAAAGCTCTTCAAGCGAAGAGTCAGTCAAAGCTTTTGGATAAGCTTGTTTGTGCATTGGATGCTTTGCAACCAGCTAAATTTCATTGGCAGTGGGTCGAGCTAAGGCTTCTTTTAGATGAACAAGCACTAATTGATAAGATGGAGAACCATGACATGTCCTTGGTGGATGCTATTCGCTCTTCCTCACCCAGTTCTGAAAGAGCTTCTCCTTCTGAGAATGAGAAAGTTTTCATTGAGATCATCCTCACCAGATTGTTGGTCAGACCTGACGCTGCTTCCCTTTTCTCAGAGGTGGTTCATCTTTTTGGAAGGTCATTAGAGGATTCAATCTTGATGCAGGCTAAATGGTTCTTGGGGGGCCAGGATGTTCTTTTGGGACGGAAGTCTATCAGGCAACGGCTCATCAATATTGCTGAAAGTAAGAACCTTTCTACGAAGACCCAGTTTTGGACGCCTTGGGGTTGGTCTTATTTTGGTGTTGGTCCTGTGACAATTAGGGGAGATAAGAAGTACGAAATTACATCTTTCGAGGAAGGTGAAGTCATTGAGGAGGGTGTGGAGTCAAAAAGGTATGTGAAAGGTTCCACTCAAGTTGATGTTGAAGGTTCAAATATCAGCCAGCAGCATGTAACCGAGAAGGCTTTCATTGAATTGGTTCTTCCTTGCATAGACCAAAGCTCTGTTGACTCGCGAAATACCTTTGCAAGTGATTTGATAAAGCAATTTAACACTATTGAGCAACAAATAAACTCAGTTATCCGTGGCGTAAGCAAGCAGACTGGAACAGCATCCTCTGGAATTGAAGGTTCTACTAATAAAGGTAACAATCGTAAAGGTATAAGAGGTGGTAGTCCTGGATTGACTAGACAAACTCCAATGCCACCCGTGGAGGCTGCACCTCCTACACCTGCAGCTTTGCGAGCTTCTATGTCATTGAGGTTGCAGTTTATTGTGAGATTGCTGCCAATCATATGTGCAGATGGGTAAATATATGATTTATTCCCCCCCCCCCCCCCCTTGATTTCAGTTTATTCCACTTTAATATAAGTATGATCAGGTTCTATGCTTACTGGCTTACTGCTACCAGAGACCTTTTTTTGTTGTCCTATACTAAGTAGAGTTTCTTGTTACTATGAATTCGTGTCATATAAGTTTTTGCCAGTTTTTTATTGTGTAATTTCTTGTTTCTGTTATCTAATAATAGTATTATGTGAATCATTCCACGAGAAATGAATATGTTATTTACTTATTTTGTTATCTTTATTAAATCCTCATGGTTTATTGAGTTTATCTCATTTCTATCCCACCTCAAGCCTTTAAAGTTTCATTTATTCTGTTGAAAGGGGTCTGAGAAATTGGCTTCAGTGCTGCCATGTCATTTATCTGTAATACTGACTCATTTTTTTAGTACTGTGTAAATTGCTAGCCTCAGTTTTTCAGGGTGAGAATTTTTTTATGTTGATGGATTGTGCTGTTTCAGCACTGAAGTAATTCTTTTAATCTTTACTTCATGAAATTCTTTAATTGAAAACTTCACTGCTTAGATATGTTTTATTTCTGATTTGAACATCTGCTGGAAACCCAGTTTCTTTTAATTGTTTCTTCCTAATTAATATTCATGTAATAAGGTAGTCCTGATGCAATAATGTCATAATATCTTTATTATCTTGTTTCAAGTATTTGATAAACTAGTTTACCAAGGTTCATTTGTTGGATTATTCAGGGAGCCATCAGCACGAAACATGAGGCACATGCTTGCCTCTGTAATACTTCGACTGCTTGGAAGTAGGGTTGTGCATGAAGATGTGGACCCATCTTTTAATCTCCTACAGTTGAAGAGGAACATGGAGCTCATGTCATCTGTGGTGTCTGCAGAAATGTCTGGAGATAGTCTTTTTGATAGCTTATTGTTAGTTCTACATGGGCTGTTAAGCGGTTGCCAACCAAGTTGGCTAAGGTCAAAGACTAACAAGGATTTTTCTGGATTTGACCGTGAGGCTTTGGAGAATTTGCAGGTTTGATCTTTATCATTGCACTGATTGAATTTACTGCTGCTTGATTTGGTAAATAAACCTGAATTTATTAAAAATAAGAGCTTTCAATTGTTTTTGTCGTTTGCTCAAGTTAAACATTTTATCATATTCTACCTCATGCACTACCTCCTAATGATAGATTATTTTAAATTACTTGGAAGCAAAGCGGTAAACTTTACCAGTGTGCATGGGGGTGATATTCTGGGTTTTTTGAATTCTAAAGGTACAAGAAAATCACAGCAATAATTTGCAGAAATAAGGTCCATGAGTGTTTGTCGCTGCACCTGTAATGTAATTAGTAATGAGGAGTTCAAAGAAAGCATGCATGCTGTTGAGTTAGTAAGGTTCAAATACTTTGATTAAGGTCTAAGTTTGAATCTCTGCCAGCAGTTCCCTTGGTAAGCGATCTGTAAATCCAATGTAAGTCTTATCTGAGATCTGTGGTCTGCTCTGGTCTTGAAATAGGAAAGCCTCCCCTCACCCTAAAATTTTTTGTACCAAAAATACAGACACACAATCAGTATAGACGCTTTTAATTTGACTGAATGTTTTCTTTGTTGTTTGTGGACTTTGCGAATGGCCTTCCCTCCCAAAAATGGATGTCATTAGCTGTGGTTTATGATTTTATCATGACAAGTACCATGACCTTCCCCATACGTTCAGTGCACGTGAAAGGAAATATTCATTTTTCTACAAGTTACGGGCTCTTGATTAATTTTAATTGCTCTTATCAATTGAATCATACTTCTCACGAGCATAAGGTTGTTAAAAAATTCTTGTATTTATAAAAGTTATTAGCATTGGAATAAAATGACAGATGACTATTTACTCACCTCAGCTACTGGTTTTTCTTTGGATGTAGAATGAATTGGATTCTATGCAATTACCTGAGATGATTAGATGGCGTATCCAAACTGCAATGCCAATATTATTTCCTTCTTTTCGCAATTTGATCGCCTGCCACCTACCTTCTGTCCCAATTAGTGCTATTAGTTTACTTCAACCAAGCATGTTTGTCCCTGGATCTTACACTGGAACTCTGAATGCACCTCAAAGACAGGTTCCATTGACAAGAACTGCAAATAATATACGGGGAAAATCCAAGTCAATGCCATTACTACAGGAGTATGATATGGAAATTGACCCATGGACACTTTTGGAAGATGGAACAGGATCAGGTCCATCTTCAAGTAGCACTGCTGTCATTGGCAGCTGTGACCATTCTGATATTCGAGCCTCAAGTTGGCTTAAGGGGGCTATAAGAGTGAGACGGACAGACCTGACATATATCGGTGTTGTGGATGATGACAGCTGACTTTAGGTTTGACTTCATTTTGATTTGGTCTATGGTTAGACCCCCACAACAGTTAGTTTAATGGCATCAAAGTCATATCTCTTGCCTCTCCCATGTTTGGTAGTTGAGGGAGAACTGTTGGTTGGGGCAATTTTTTTCGGTTGGAGGGGTTGCAAGGGTGGGCTCGGCAATGCTGGAGTCAGTGTAGAAGAATGTCAAAGATGTGCTCATGCAGGCCATCTATTCAGCATGCAGAGGCACCACCATCTGGTCCGTATACTCGAAGGTGCGGTTCAGAGGCTTTCTTGTATATATAGAGATAATTGTTTTGAGTTCACCAATTGATCTAAGTAAAATATCTCAAGAATGACATGTAGCTGTTCCATTGCTAATCAATCTTTTGCCTCCACTTCTCTCTATCTCTCTCTTACTCACACACATGCATGTGTCACAGACCGCACACAAGTCCAAGCCCAAGTGGGTTGTGAGATGCTGCCTGTTTAAGTTGTTGCGGGCAAAGGACAGGAAAAGATCGAGACCAGCTCAGCCCGCGACACATTCACACAAACACAAATGGACATGCAGAGGCAAACAAATAAACAGGTTTGGAATGTCTGACTAGGTCAAACCTATGAAGAACTTGACAAGGTCAAATGGACACCTTGTAGTTTTGACCTTGATTTTTTTTCTTTTGTATTTCTTGGACTAACTGAAACGATGATTGTCTATAAAGTCGTGTAGGCATTGACCATGTTACAGTCAGAATGCTTCTAACTTGACCACTATAGTATAATAAGAAATATCTTCAAATTTTATTAGTTTATTTTTTTTCCTGGACTATTTTAAAAGTGCGTTACTTTAGAAAGGAGTAAACTTCAACCTTGAAGCTCAAATGAGGACAATTGATATGTTGTTTCTCACTGAAGTTGAAGATTCGCCCTCTCTAAAGTGAAGATACCAATTCTGGAATGAGATTGTGTTTATCATGCCTTCGTTTTCCTAGTTCTGGGAGGTATAAAGCTTGTCCAAGGTTAGTGGGTTAATTAGTTTCTCTCCCTCCCAAATAGGATGCTTATATTCTTTGGAGGGAGCATTTCATTTGTAGTTATTGTAGTATTATTAATCAATTATAATCTAAAATTGTAGGGGATTTGTCAAAATTTATGTGAAATTTACATTTGTAAGTGATGGATTTTTAAATAATTTTATATTGTGATTAGATAATTGTAAAATTATGATAAAAAGAATTGTAGATGACATTTGGGGATGGCAGCCAAACCCATCCCCAATGGATTCTGATTTAATCGAACCTTTTAGAGTTAATTTTTTTTTTTTTTTAAATCGAGTTTCTTGTCGAGTAATAGTAAAAAAAAATTGAGGTTGAAGTTTAAGTAAATTTTTTTTATCCAACTTTATATATATATAATTATTTTTTAATTATATATATAATTTTATATTTATATAAAAAATAATATTTTATTAATTTCGAGTTGGTTCAGGTGTAATTTGATACAATAACAAGTAACATTTGAGTATTAAAAAATAAAAAATTCGTTGGAACGAGTTTAGTTATTATACGTAAAAAATCAAATTGAGTTCATGTATTATGAATATAAAATTAAATCAAGTTTGAAATGAGTAAAATCTTACCTCACCTTAATCCATTTCCTTCCCTAGACATCCCTCGTAACAAGTCTTGAGATTGCTTAAAATTTGTTGTATTAAGAAAGATCAAATCGAACTACACAATGGCATTTAGCAAACAATAATGATGATAATATTCTCTTTTTTTCTTTTTTCTAACAAAAAAGCTGTAGTTTGAAAATAAGATAAATGATTAATAGTATTAAGATTTGAATTATAAATTCATTAGATATTATTTTTTAAAGGTAATAATAAAAATTAATTAAATGAAATTATTTTTTTTAAAATATGATAATCATCGGATGGGCTAAAGTTTTATACCCTTCCACTTTATTTTTGTTTGTAACTAATATAATTATTTAAATATGATAATTTTGGATACAATATAATGACATGATAATAAACGACATAAAAATGGCATGAAAAGATTGGGTTAAAATTTACAAAAAAATATAAATGAATTTAAAAAAATTTAAAAATGTATCTATCGACTTCAATTATAATATAATAATTTTATATTTTATATGAAATAAATATAATATAAGTATATGAATTATTAAGTGTATAATTATTTGAGCTTAGAAGCTTTGCTTGTTAAATATTGCCTATTAATTATGTAGTAATTTGCAGATAATGGTCATATTCATGTCACCCTTTAAACTTATACAAGCAAAAGGAAATTAAAATTAACAAATTTAAAATAACCAAAGAAAATTCATGCTAGATAAGGAATTTTGTAAAGCTAATGAACCAAAGTGGTCTGGGTGGTGTAGTTGGTTATCACGCTAGTCTCACACACTAGAGGTCCCCGGTTCGAACCCGGGCTCAGACAGTTTCGACTTTTTTCTAGTCAACGGCTAAGATTCACCTTCAGACAACTTTTTTTTTTCAGACAGTGTCAGCTTACGACGTATCCTCAGACATAATCTTGAAAGCCAATCTCTGTTCCTTTGCCTCTTTCACTTTCATTTCGGTCTGGTTACAAACCCACATATAATCAAGCATTTGGCAGGTATCTTTTCTCTTTAGCTTCCATTTTCAATGTTTGGATTCCTTATTTCTTGTACAATTGGTTCAAAGATTTGATTTTCTGAAATGGGTTTTTGTGGATTTGGAAGAAAAAAGAATTCCAGAAGAAAGGAAGAGTAAAAAGAGATTGAAATTGTGAGAAAAAAGTGATGCAAATTCAATTACTCTCCGTTCCACATTGCACTCTAACTTCTCCCCACGTTGTCACTTCCTTTTCATCAAGACACCAGCTTGCCAAACTCGTGGGAAATCAACATTTCCCATCTTGGTCTGTTGATTCATTCAAAAGGGTAACCAAATTTCAAACTAGAGAATGTGGTGGTTTGGTTAGGGTCAGATGTGGAGTGGTGGAAGATGATGATGGGTTTTACATGAGGAGGTGTGTGGTGCTGGCAAGAAGGGCAATTGGTTGCACAAGTCCTAATCCTATGGTGGGATGTGTTATTGTGAAAGATGGCAAGATTGTTGGTGAAGGGTTTCATCCTAAAGCTGGCCAGCCTCATGCTGAGGTAACCCCTATTCCTTTTGCATCCATTCATCTTCACTTGTAAATTGTATGATTTTTTTGAGTAATGAATGATCTGCCAAACTGGAATCCTAAGAGAGATGAGCTTAGAGCAAAATCATTTGATGAAGTTTGGTCCCTAGAGTGAAAAATGTCTACACTCCTTTTTTCATTTTCTGTTTTATTAAATAATGCTACAAAAAACTTGATCCAGCTGATTCAGGACAATGGCGGATCCAGAATTTTTTTTTAGGGGTGTCCACTTATGATATATATAAAAAAAACTGTTCACAGATTTACTAATGATATGGATGGAAAAGGTGTCCATGGGAAAATTTTAGGGGTATCCAGAGAAAATTTTCCTTCAAATTTTCTTAGTCCATGGGAAAATTTTAGGGGTGTCCAGAGAAAATTTTCCTTCAAATTTTCTTATTTTCCAATCTTTGGAGTGTCCATGGAAAAATTTTGGAGGTGTCTAGAGAAAATTTTCCTTCAAATATTTTCCATCTTTGGGGTGTTTTGGTGTGTCCATAGAAAAAATTTCCTAAAAATTTTCTTATATTCTTTGGGATGTCCATGGACACCATACTTCGCAATGTAGATCCGCTACCGATTGAGGATTGCTAGCCTAAGTTTCTGTGATCTTTGTTCAGTTGGTAACTTCATTTTATACTTTCTGTTTGGAATTTGACCATTCTTTCTTGCTTTCAGGAATGTATGTTAGACTGAATGCCGGAAATTATATTTGCAGGTTTTTGCTTTGAGAGATGCCGGGGATTTAGCTGAGAATGCAACTGCATATGTGAGCTTGGAACCATGTAATCACTATGGAAGAACTCCACCATGTACTGAAGCATTGATTAAAGCCAAAGTGAAAAGGGTGGTGGTTGGTATGGTGGATCCTAACCCAATTGTAGCTTCAAAGGGGGTGGATAGACTGAGAGATGCAGGAATCCATGTAACCATTGGTGTCGAAGAAGAGTTATGCAAGAGGCTCAATGAATCCTACATCCATCAAATGTTAACTGGGAAGCCTTTTGTAACACTTAGGTAACTTTCCTTCACCATAGATTACAAACATGAACTTAAACCGGATATTTCCTTTTGCTTCCTTAAGTATTTTCTTTGGCATGTGAGAGATTTGAACTTGCCAATTCTAACCGAAGGCGTCTGCATGATATCCAGATATTCCCTCTCTGTCAATGGCCACCTTTTAGACCAGCTTGGGGAAGGAGTCACAGAGGCTGGCGGATACTACTCAAACTTGTTGCAGGAATATGACGCGATAATACTTTCCGGATCTTTAACTGAGAAGTTTTCGAGTCCTATATCACGGGAGCCTTGTGCCAATCAGCCTTTTCAGATTGTAATAGCAAGTAATCCATGTCAACTTCCTGCAATCACTAAAGATGCCTCTAAGATGATAATATTTGCAGACAAAGAGATAGCCACAGCAGCAGATTTGGGTCGAAAAGGAATTGAGACAGTGGTTTTGGATCGGATCGATTTGACTTCGATTCTGGAATACTGTAATCGCCAAGGGTTGTGCAGTGTTTTGTTGGATATGAGGGGAAGCTTTGGTGATCTTGAACGACTCCTTAGAGAGGCTATTGAGCAAAATGTGTTGCAAAAGATAGTGCTGGAAGTGTTGCCATTTTGGGATGAATCAAATGATGGAGAATCACTTGTGGCATTAAGTGGTTTGGTTAAAAGACTAAAAGTGAAGAATTTGCAATCCAAGATATCAAATCAAAGCATTGTGGTTGAGGGTTATCTTCAACATAGGTGATTTCAACAATACAACAACTTCATATCGGCGCTCGTCTACGTTGGTTATGAAATACAATTTATGTAGTTTTAAGTAGATTTAACTATTCATATAATATAAAATATTAAAATTTACGTATTTGTGTCATATTTTACACGAAAATTGAGTTATAATTCATGTCGATACGAAAATATAAAATAAAATTTTTTTATTTTGTTAAACTCATAAAATTATTACTAAAATTTTAAATTGTATCATTTTCGTATTTATCTTGTTCGAATTATGTCATTATATTGTGTTTTAGATTATCATATCTACTTTTAAGACTATATTTGAATTGAGTGCTATTAAATATATTCCAATTTTTTCTTTACATATCCTAATTTTTTTTAAATTTTTTATAGGTACAATTATTTAATTACTTTTTTTATACAAATGTTTATATATGAATATTTGAAAAATTATAAATTTTTTCGAAAATGAATTTTTAAAAGCCTTTAAGAACTTTTAAAAATGAATTTTCAAAAATTTTTAAAAGTTTTCGGACTTCTGTTTTTGAAAATTTCAAGAAATTCTGAATAGCATCAAAATATTTTAACATAAAATCTTATGAAATAAAATAAGAAATCAAATGAAAAAGGTAAAAAAAAAAAAACAAAATTTCCTTTAATTTTATTTATTTTTTCCTTCAAATAAGTGAGGTTTTCTTTAATTTAACTTGAACTTAAAAATCTTTTAAAATTTTCAGTTGAGCAGAGTGAAAAGAGATGGAATATGATAGAAAGGGTGATGAGGTGAAATCCAAGATTTCTTGAAATAGATATTTGGAAGCTTCGAAGAATTTTCAAAAATTCATTTTCGACAATTCTTAAAGATTATCAAAATTTTATTTTTAAAAAATTATATTTTTTGAAAATTTAGTTTCAAAAAGATTTATAATCTCTAAAAATTTATTTTCAAAAATTTATGTAAAAAAATAATTAAATAATTTTATTTAAAAAAAATTTGTAAAAATTGAAATGCATTTGACGATACTCTTTGGATTTAATAGAAGTCACGTCTCGGCGCAAGGAAGTAACTTTCTTAGCTATTCTCATCGTGATTTGCTGTTTGGGTAACAAAGTTACAGTGCGGTTATGCTTATGTGGCACCAGTGGATCGCCGGTCCTTAACTTCTACGGAAGGGGTGTGGTGCCACAACACCCTAAGTTGGACACTTTTGTCCTTATCAATATCTAAGTTTTTTCATACATTTAAAGTTTAAGATAAAATAACCTTAGTGAGTTTTTTTTTTAAATGAGTTTTTAGCAATTTATAATTATTAATTAATTTTAAAAATATAAAATAGTTTAAAATTTTCATTATATATATTTTAATTTAATTATTTTAATAATAATTTTTTATTATATTTCATCTTATTTTAATCATTAGATTTATATCAAAATATTTATTTTAAAATTAATTTTAATCTTATCATTATAATATTTAATTTTATCATTATTATAATTAATTTCATCGTAATTATTATTCTTAATCTCTGCTGAAATCATTTTGTCTCATGAATTATAATTTTTCATGAAAAAATTATTGTAGAAGACCTTTGTATCTCTCTGTTTGCTTTGACTGAAGATGGCTGACGTTATCAGCCCTTTCATAGAGATACTTTTCGGTTACACAGCAATTTTGGTGGTAAACAGAGAAAGGTAACATGCAAAGAAAGGCGCTTATCCCTCTTCGTTCCCCGTTCTCAATCACCTCATGCCTGCCTGCCACGCGCTTCTTTTCTTCTTTTTATTTTTTAAATATTTTTTATATGTAAATATCTTAACTTAAAAATAAAAGAATATATTATAAATATTAAATTTTTTAAAAAAAATACATAAGATTGTAAATTTTTAAAATCCAAATTCAAATGATGGAAATAAAAATGTTTTCTTGTGAAAATTTCTTGCATTTTAAGTTGTTTCATCGGCTCTTTTCATTTTTTTTTATTTTATTAATAATATCATATTTAAAATTTTCAATACCATCTATCTTTACAAGGTTGAACTTGACTCTTTTCGTATCGTGTTTTTATCTCGTTTTAGTATTGATAGTATCATATTATTATTTTTTTGTGTAAAATTATCAAGCCTACCCATATGTTAACCGAAAACATTTCGCCCACAATTCTCGTTACTACAATTAACCAATCACAATAAATAAATAAAAAAATTATGTAAAAATCCACCACTTAAAAGTGTGAATTGGACATAATTTTTTATGAACCCTACATAACACTGAATTATCATTGATTAATTATACTACAATAATTATAGGTGATATGTTCCGTAATTAACTAAATCAAAAAGCACAACTCATCTAAACTTCTCTCCTATCCTGTTATCTGTTCAGGACTATGAAATTTGAGAAACCAATAAAAGCATTAAGGTCTTACATGCATAAAACGCCACCTAACTTTTAGAATGCGCACCCATGTGCACGGACAGAGACCTTGAATGACCAGCCTAATTAACCCTAACAAACATGCAAATAATTATATATCGTCAATAATCGCGGCATATAAATAGCAAGAGATGAAATAATAAAACATTCCAAGCATGGAAAAAGGGAACAAAGAAAATACTTTATGCATGTAACATAGAACCGGACACAAGTATGGTTTACTCACCATAGTTACCACCAAAACATCCAACATGTATCAACGGCAGTATATAGCCTGATCGATATGTGGAGGAATTTGCTTAATTTCAGTCCCAAGTTCTTGTTCAATCCTATACCTGTTAGAGAAGACCATAAAACATTTCAATGGAACCTAACAACCTCAATGTATAATTTAAAAAATGTTAAGAGATGTGGTAACATACAAGTTAAAGCGGTCCTCATAAGTGATCAAATTCACAGCTAATCCAAGATGACCAAACCTTCCTGATCGACCAACCTGCTCATTAAGTGGATGTCAATGAGGATTGCCAAAAAGAAAGAACTGATGAGTGTTGCAACTTGCAAGATAGAAAATATTTTAACCAACATACTCTATGAAGGTAGGTTTCTGAGTTCTTGGGGAAGTCAAAGTTAATAACAACATTCACAGCTTGGATATCTATACCCCTCGTAAAAAGATCTGCAGCAAGTATAGTTACATCATTAGGAGATTAGTCTTCATATAATGACTATTATATAATGCTTATAAAGTGCAAAACTGTTTTTGTGCACTGGCATAGGGAATTAATTATAATGAAACTAAAATTTAAATTATGTTGTTGAAACAACAAAAAGTCAAAACCAACTTCAATTTGCACCATATGTTGACAATCATTAAAGTTCCAACATTCGCATGTTTCAATGTCTTAATTTACTTTTTGTAAAAGAGAAAGACATTTAAGCTCAAATTGTAGAGTAGCACTGTAAAAATGTTTGCAGTTGTCGGTTCAGATGTTAGGCATTATAGATTTCAGCATATTGTCTAGCAAGACTTTCGCAAAAGATATAGAATAAGAAAAGAAGGTCCAACAAACTAGTAAATCTTCCTGGGTGATTTGATTATTTAACTAGCATATCAGTGTTGTACAGCATGGTATAACTTACCAGTACAAACAAGGTTCCTGCATGCTCCATTGCGGAAATCATGAAATACCCTGTTACGATGGTCCTGAAGCATCTTTGCATGGATATAAAAACAAGAATAGCCAAGTTCTGTAATTTTCTTGGCCAACAGCTCCACCCGATTTACCGAGTTGCAGAAAATTATTGATTGGTTTATTTGCAGCTGGAGATAAATAAATATCACATATCATCCAAACAAAGGAAAAGAGAGAAAACTAGACAAAAGTTTATATAAGGTCAAACCTTAGAGAAAAGAGTATTTAAGCAGTGGACTTTCTGTCTTTCTTCCACAAAAGCATAATATTGTGTAATACCTTTCAGAGTAAGCTCATCCATTAGATTAATAATATAAGGTTTATGTAGATATCTGTCTTTAAAGTCCTTAACAGTAACAGGAAATGTGGCTGAAAACATCAGAATTTGACGATTTGCTGAAAGAAAACGTATCAGCTGCTCTACTGAAGGTTGAAACTCTGGAGACAAAAGTTTATCTGCCTGAAAGAAACCAAAACACAAAACATAAGATTTGGAGATCATTATGTTTAAATCCAGCATACTACAGGACAATGAAAATTAATCAAATAGCTTCCTTTTTACAGAAACTTTTAAGAATTATTATGCTAATGACTCACTCACAATTCTGAATTCTAGTTCCAAAACAATTTTCTTCCCTCCATGTCTAATCCAAAATGCTTCTAACTTCATCATATTCTCTCATGTTAAACTTGAAAGGACAAAAAACTCAAACCGAAAGAAAAATACAGAGAGAAACTACCGAATAATTACCTCATCCATTATAAGCATTGAACAATCTTTCAAAATGCAAACACCCTTTTTAGCAAGGTCTAGAATCCTGCCAGGGGTTCCAACCAGCAAATGGACTGGTTGATACAATCGCATGATATCATCCTTGAGACTGGTACCTCCAGTTGTGACCATGACTTGAATTTGTAAATGCTTTCCTAGCTCCTTGCACACTTGTGACGTCTGAAGAGCCAGTTCTCGTGTTGGAACAAGTATAACAACTGTACAAAAACACTTATGTTGAGTGAAAACAAGAAACTGAACAGATAATTAATGTAAGATCAAAATCCACAAGAGGCACTGATAATTTCTTCGTGTCAAAAGTCAAATCATGAAATAGAGAAAGAGATATGAAATTGACTTGTATCTCAATTCAAGCCAAAAAGGGTTCGGATAAAGAACTTATTAATTTGGGCAGGGTTCAGAAAGATAAGTGAATGTCAATGCCTCGACTGACGCAAAAAGGTTGAACCTATTTACAAGAAGGAAGACATAATGCACTCGTTTCAGGAACTAGTACAGAAGTTTGACCCTCACTCGACTACGCACATCCATAAAAAATGCCCATAATTCAATTTTCAGTTAACAATATGCAGCTAATGGTATTCTTATGTCTTTTCCACTACCTGATTGACAAGCAGATCAAGCAATTAGAAGAACAATAAACAAGTGAAATGGCAAAGCTATCCTACTTGGAGTACCCATTACCATTTAACTGGGCCTATAATTAATGCACCAAAAAAAAATCAGTAGATGGAGATTTAACCTTGAATAACATTCTTATCTTGGTCAATTTTTTCCAAGGCAGGAATGCAAAATGCTGCTGTCTTTCCAGTTCCATTTTTGGCTCTAGCAAGAATATGACTTCCAGTTAAAGCAATGGGAATACTCTCTTCCTGAATAGGAGAAGGTCTTTCAAAACCCTTCTCATATATTCCCATAAGAAGTTCACGTTTAAGGAAATAGTCCTCAAATTCATTTCCTTTGGTAGCTGTCACATCCTGGAAGCAATTTATTAGACAGATCAGTAAATAAACATGTCATTAAAAAATATTAAAAATTGCCAAATAACAATGGTAACATGCTCACGCCTTGTCATATGTCACAAAAATACGAAGATATGCTACCAAAGATGATGTAATGCAAGCCTAAAAATATTTAAGTTCAAGCCAGAAGGCATCAACAGCAGAGAACTAGGTATCAGTGTCCTCAAGTTAAAAACTTTAGAAACCGTCCATTTATAATTGTATACCATGGGATAATAGGAATTAAAAGAGTAATCGACCTGCATTACCAGAATAATATAAGACAGCAATTTTTGCACCATTCTAAAGAGCTGGGAAGAATTTTTTATAGTGTCATGAAGGTATGGTGATCATCGAGGTGAAATATATAAATCTATGCTGCAATTGCCTTCTAAACATAATGGATAAAAACAGAGCCTTAAGGAATTTTTCAATAGTTCAGCTATACTACATCATTAACGAGTAGTCAAATTCAATTCCCTGCCCCCATTAAGAAATAGAACTGACTAACCCTAAGGCAACGCATCAAGAAACTCAACAATGCCACTATTCTTAAACAATTTGGAGCCAGGCTTTCCTTTCACATTATTGCGGACACACATAAATGATTAAAACATCATTTACTGGCTTACTTCTGTTTTGTAGCGAGTATCTGGTGGCGGCACCTTTAGCCTTGCCTTCCAATCTTGTGAGCTATAAAACCATGCACAATAAAGAAGGACAAGATAATCAATTTGTCAAAAAAAAAAATCACATTAAGATAAAGTTTCAATCTATGGCATATAAATTGCCAACTCATTGTCATATACAAAGTCAACGGTTTATAAAACAATGAAGTAAAGAGCAAGCACAGAAGCAATACATGAATTTCCCAAGTATCATTGAGCCCTTCATAACAAATGGAAAGTTTGGGACTAAATCAAACCCTAAAATTATTGTCTAAGGTGATTTAGAGAAGAAATGAAAAGGGACCTTGAGTCTACAGCTTCCAATTGTACGGTCTTCTCGACCTCATCGACGACACTGGAGTCATTGCCTCCGGGCAACTGGTTTCGCCTGAGCCAAAGTTGTTGCTGTTGTTGTTGTTGCTGAAACTGGTGGTGATTCTGAACAAAATTCCTCTGCACGTATTGCTGTTGCGGCGACCGCGACTGAAAGCTAGGGTTCGTTTTCAGTCCGCCGCCGCGGCCAACACCAATCCCCGGTGGATACCTCCCTCTACTATTCATATCACAATGCGAAACCCTAGAAAACCCGAAATCTAAACGCAATACAAAAACAAAAAATAAAAAACTAGGGTTTCTGGCAAAGGGGTAACGCCGTAAATAGTGGCAAAACCAAGGGTCTTAAAACAAAACAAAAAGGCTAAGGCTTGTCGTCAATTTGGGTGAAAACAGAGATGCTGTTGCATGGATCTGTTGAAGGAAAGAGATAAAAAATGAAAAGATTTTTGGAAAAAAGAAATGATTTTGTTTTTGTTTTTTGATTTGGTTTGTTGGCGCAAAGAGCTTTTGCTTTGCGGTGGCGAAGGATGAGAAGCTACTAAAGAAGAGACTCGGCTTGATGGTTCATAGCTCGTTTCTGGGATTTTGCTACGAAGCGTCGGATGGATGATTTCTTTTCTTTCTTTTTTAAACGTCATTGTTCTGAGGTCGTGTCGTGTTTTTTAAATTGTGATTTAACTTCTAATTTTTTTTATTTAATCACTTATTCGACTACTGTGGTTTTTTTTTTATTTTTTATATATCATTCAACAGCATATCACATTGAGGTATCGTTAAATTTGATGATTTATATATTTATATCATATAAAATATTAATAATTTATATATTTATATTATATTTTATATAAAAGTTATGTGTTATAATTCGTATTAATTTAAAAATATAAAATATATTTTTATGATTTCATTAAATTTATTTATAATTTTTATTAAAATTTTAATTTATATTATTTTTATATTTTATATTTTTATTATTTTTATATTGTATCATCATATCATACTTAAAATTATCAAAAATAAATATAACATAATATTATCATATTATTCATCATATTAACCGTTAATAACACTATACGACTGGTTAGCTACTGTGATAATCTCATGTGATACATTAAAAACATTAATATAGACTAATGATTAAATTAAAAATATATTTATTTAAATTTAAATGATTAAATTAAAAAAATTAATAGATAAATATTCATTTTAAAAATAGTTGAATATTTTGGTCAATAATAATGTGTTTTACCCTTTTTTTTTATATTTATCCAAATAAACTTAAAATTTTTTAAATGCAAATAAAATTTCGTCTCTTATTACTTAAAATTAAAATTATTGACTTGTATTTAAAAAAAACAAAATAATATCCTTTTGACATAATTTTTTAAATAATAATTTCTCGAATATTTAACATTTAGCTCATGAATGAATAATATATACATATTATTAACATAAAAAAAATCTACAAATATATATATTTTATAAATAGTTTCAAAATGTCTTGATTTCCTAATACTTAAATTGCATGCCACAAACATGGAATAAACATAGGTAAATTAATGCAAAAGTAATCATGGCAATTTAAATTTGAAAATTTTTAAATTAATTTATGCAACCATTTAAAAAAAAATTTATAAAATATTTAAAATTTAAATTCTAATTTTTTATTTTTTTTTTTTATCTTCAAACCACTTACTAGAAAAGAAAAACGAAAAAGAAGAACATTATTTTATGCCAAGTGGGTAAAACAAATAAGAAAGCTCAGCAGGGAAGGTGCTTGGTGAGCAAGGAGTTAGGACAATGATGGTTAGCTCAAGCATAAGCCAGCCAGCATTATCTTTTGGAAATTATTTATTGCATTATTATCAGAACTTAAGGAAGTTTCGTGTAATTTACATAAATTAAAGGGAAAGAAGAAAAGACTAGAGTGAACGATGGTCAACAAAAGAAAAAAAAATCTTGATTGAATGCTTTTTGCTAGACTGATTGTAGCTGTAGAACTACGAAAAATCAAGTTGTTGCATCCTTTTTTGTTTTGCAATGCCAAAGGCTACAAGTCAAGAGAAGTAAGGTTTTGTTTGGAAGGCAATAATATTTTTATGTAATAATCTCTTCCTCCATTTTATATTGAAAGTTGTAACGTATTCGAGGTGAGATAAGATTTTTTTTATTTAAACAAATATAATCGAATTGAATTAAATTGATAAATTATTATATTTAAATTTGGTTTGATGTAAAATTTTAAAATTTAAAATTTGATTCGAATTTTATTTTTCATACTCAAATTTTGTTTGATAAATTTAATCAGGTTAGTTAAAGTTATAATATTAATATTAATAATATATATTTACAATTTTTTTTATATATTAATTATATTAAACTATTAAAAGTTAAATGAGGCTTGTGATCATCTTTTGAATATTAAACTAATCAAATTCAATTTAATTTTTTCTTCAAATAACTCGAATTTGACTAAAAAAAAATGAATTTAAACTAATTATATCATTGAGTACCTTCACTCGGTTACACTTCTAATCTAAACTATCATGCCTAACAACTTTGCTTAAGGTAAAGAGTTGCCAAATTAAATGTGCTGCTAGAGTAACTAAGATAATATTAATACTTTTTTTTTGGGTATATTTCTATACTTCATTGAAACATGTTTTCTCTTTCCACAATGAGATTTATTTAGGAAATTCTCATGTTACTCCTAGTTGTAGTCCCCTCCCACCCCATTTTATCACAAGTAGATTTGATCATTCGGATTGTGTAAAATACTATAATATTTTCGATTAAAAGACCTCCCACATTACCCCACACAAGTAAGATGGAGCTAGTTGCATTATTAAAAAAATTATAGTCTGGATTCATATATTCATATTATATAAAATACTAAAATTTATATAATTATATTATATTTACATGAAAATTATATGTTATAATTTATGTCGACATAAAAATATAAAATATATATTTTTATTTTTGTTAAATTCATATATAATTATTATTAAAATTTTAAATCGTATCATTTTAATATCTTTTTTTGTATCATTTTCGTATCATATCACCAACATGTTTTAGTTTACCAAGTTTACACTAAATTTGTGCTAATGCACAAGAATCTGGAAAACAATTGGATGTTTATATTATGATTATGCATGGAGTTTGTATCAATTACATAAACAAGCCAATCCAAAAATAAATGCAAACAATCGGACAAGAAATTCAACTTCGATGAGATGGTAACAAAAACTCTAAAAAACATCATGGTGGGAATGGCAAGAACTAGGGTTTGTATTGGTGTGTTGTTGTTTAAGATTACTCTTCGGAGCCGTTTCAATCATCAGCCGCAGCAACTTCCTGATCACCATCTTCGTTTTCAGCAAGCTCGGCCGATGCAGAAGAGCTGTTTCTCTTGTGTGAAGCAGCCTCGAGAACGTGGCTGTAGTTTCCTTTCTCCATGAAAAGCTGAGCGAAATGGTGCTTGCAGTAAAGCACCCCATTCAGAGCTGCATATGAAGAGTGCGTCAAAGGACAACCTCCATGAGCGCACCTGAAGCAGGACTTGTGGAAACATTCACCTTCCATTGTCACCTTTCCCAACAATAATGTGAACCGATGTTAGTAGAAAACTAGAGATTGTTGACCAAGTAAAAAGCTGTACAATTTGCAAAAGTTGTTGTCTGATGATTAGAAACTTCGATGGATATACGACGGATAGAGTATTTTTTATTATCCTCTTCGATTTTTTGTATTATATACACTAATTTCGTACCCAATATTTAATGGATGTTTTAAATTTATTTACATCTTCGTTTCAATAATATTTATATCTGTACTTTAAAAAAAATAAAATAAAATAAATTTTTTTATTTTATTTTATTTTATATATTTATGTAATTTTTAAAAATATGTTATTAAATAAAAATTTATTTATTAAATATATATATAAGGTATAAGAAGAGAGCATGTGTTACATTATCCATCTTTTTATCTTCACTCGATAAAAAATTTAAAATTATACTATTTTTATTTTTATCTCAAAATTTAATATTTATCTTTATTTATGTGAAAAATAAGATTTTTCATCGAATTTGAATACGATTCATATTTTATTATAATAAAATATTAAACTTTTAATTTTAATAATTAAAATTTAAATTTAGATAAATTCAAATAAAAAAAAATACAATTTATGTACCTTCTCCAATGGATAGACTGTCTTCTCGCAAGCAGCACATTTGTCTTGGGTTCCACAGAACACAGATGAAAGTTTGTTGGGAGTCTTAGACTGTAACAGATTACAGAAAACTTTGTGTCAAAATCAATCAGAAAGATAAAATGTATCTTACTTGGTTCATTTTTATAACGGTTAAGACAATTTTAAAGAAGATATTAAGGTTGAGGTTCGAACTTTAATATTCTTCTCTCCCCTTAATATAAGATTTTATCCCCTTGAATGATAAAAAAAATAAATTTGTGTTTCACAAATTATGTTATTAATTATATGATAATTTTAAATACGATACGACATAATATAAATTTTTAATATAAAATTAAAAATTATATATAGATTTAGTGCGTAATAAATATTAATATAATAATTTTTATATTTTATATGTATTTAATATAAAATAAACACAATATTAAAAAATACTAATCCGATCCAAGTATAAAACATATAAAAGCAAGGAAAACATACCAGGTCATTTTGCTTCTCAGACTTTGCTGCAAAAGTGATCATCAAAGAAAATTGAAGTTGTTAGCCATAGCCTAAGCCATAGAGCCAGGGAAAATAATCTCCAATTTTCTAATATTTTTCTTTAAAGGGGGCGAGGGATGAAAGCAAAAGCACAAAAAATTAAGGAACAAGATGGGTTTTATTACCTGTTTGGAAATTCTTGCTGAAATTGCCAGATTCCTTGAATAGTTGCTCAAAATGAGGCTTGCAGTACAGAACTCCATCCATGGAGGAGTAGGTGCTCATCTGTGAAGGAACACAATTAACATGTTCAATTAGAATTAGTTGGCACATTTGTCAACAAATGATTTGGCCAAGTAATCCATTATTTACAAACGCCAAAACGTATAATAAATTTAATAATTTAAAAAATGATGATATAATATGAAAATGATACAAAAAAAATAAAAAGGTAACATGATTTAAATTTTTAATAAAAATAAAAAAATGCATTTTGTATTTTTTGTATTAATATGAATTATGAAATATAATTTTTATAAAAATATAACACAAATACACAAATTGTTAAGATTTTACATAACATAAATATAAGAATTGATAAATTTAACATATAAAAAGAGATTATAAATGTTAAGATTTGAATGCAAACTTATCGGATAATTAAATTAAATTTCGGATTTGCCAATCAATTATTCTCAAGCAAACTAGAAACCAACCTGAAATTTAGAAAGTGAAAGAAAAGTTTAAAGAAAATTTGACATACCACAAGATTGCCCTTGCAATGGCTGCATTTGAAGCAGGTTTTATGGTAAGGCACTCCTTCAAGAGTCAACATATCCACCACATGGACAGTCTTATCACAAGCCTTGCACTTGTCCAATGTTCCAGTGAATGACATTTCTTTTTGCTTAATATCTTCGATCTCTGAAACTCGTTCGAAAATGTTTGAATGCAAATGCAACAGTTCCGCTGATGAACAAGAAAATGTTGGACAAGAAACCAGCTTGCCCTTTATCGGATACCTTTGTAAATGAGAGCAAATAAAACTCCTTTGCTCTGTTTATAAAACCTGTTTTATATCAGATTATATCGGACCTTTTCTTGCAATGGGGGCTGGTGATTGGTGGACACGTGATTGGAGATCCCATTATTGTGTGGGAAATTTGGGGATGGAATCCCATTGAATTGGAGAGAAACAAGGTTTGTGCTTTTTGACCTCTTCAAGGTGAAATTGGGATGAACAAAAATGAGAGCCTAACTATTTTTAATGAATGACAACTGAGAAAAGGAAAAAAAAAAAATTTGTCTCATATACAATCCGTGAAGTTTTTAAATTTTATCAACAAAATTGGATTGTCATCTTTTTAAAACAATATAATAAAAAATACACATTATATTTTATTAATATAATAAATAAATCAAGCTATTAAGTTATTTTAGTTCAATTCGTTATTGTCAGATTGAGTTCAAATTTAAATTACTCGAATAATAAATTGAACCAATTCGAATAATTTAATGTCCGATTTAAAAAATTTATGAATCTAATTGAATTTTTATTTTTATTATATTTAATGTATAAATAATGATAAAAATATATTATTTAATATTAATATTTATAAATGTATCGAATCTAACCTATTTATTGAACTGAATTCAAATACAAAAAATAAAATTTGATCAAACTCGAATCAAATTTCGAACTCTAAAGTTTTGAATTGAGCTAAATTTGATCAAATTTGATAAAATATTAAATCGATTTGAATCAATTACATCAATAAAACAGACTTAAAATTGAGAAAAAAAAATATCCCATATATAATTAGAGAAAATTTTAAATTTTACCAATAAAATTGGATTGTCACTTTTTAAAAAATAATATAATAAAAAATGCACATTATATTTATATTAATAATATAAATGAATCAACCTACTAAGTTATTCAAGCTCTACTCATTGATTGTTTGATCAAGCTCAAAATCGAATTACTTGAATAATGATTCAAGTCAAGTTCAAATAATTTAATGTTTGATTCAAAAAATTTATAATTTTGATTGAGTTTTTATTTTTATTATATTTAATATATATAAGTAAATGATAAACAAAATTGTTTAATACTAATATTTACAAATTTATCGAGTCTAACTTACCTATCAATCCAAACTCAAATTTAAAAATAAAATTTGATCAAATTTTAATAAAATTTCAAGTTTGAAGTTTTTGAATTAAGTTGAACTTAAGTTTAATAAAATATTAATTCGATTCGAATCAGTTACACCAATAAGACAAATTTAAGGAATAGATATATTCTAGGTTGGTTTATTGAATATATCTTATCTCGTCTTAAATTGACTAAGATTTGGTCTATGATAAAAGTGTTTTAATGAACTTTAATTAAATTTGTTGATTCGTATATTCATATAATGTAATATATTAAAATTTATATATTTATAATTTATTTTATATAAAAATTATATATTATAATTTATATTGACATGAAATATATATTTTTTAATTTTATTAATTTTATATATATTTATTACTAAAATTTTAAATTATATCACTTTTGTTTTTTTTTGTTTTTTCGTATTTTGCTACATCTTACAAGGAAAAAAGAAAAGAAAAGATTTCCGTATTAAAAAAAATTGGCTTGAAACGCACCGGTTCGCCGGTTGACTCACAGCGGCGGACAAGCCAATTCCAAGCCTTTTACTTTTTCGAAAAAAAATTTGTAACTTTCCAAAGCCAAATACACAGTGAAAGTGAATAGAGTAGCGCCACAGCCACTGCCGCCGTTGTAGCCTAAAGTACCATTCATTTTCCCTCTTTATTTTTATATTTAAGTGAAGCCCTAAATCCCGACACAACGTTTAGGTTACTGCAGCCTCGTTTCAGGACTCATATCCGGAACATGGCATCCAGGATATTCACTGATCCGTCGTCCTCTGCCACTGCCCGCCTCCTTCCCTTTACCCGTTTCAGCAACGCGGTCGTTTCCTTCGCCGGTTTGTGGGTCCATTTCGTATTGGCTCACTCACCTCCCCTGCCTTTTCTCGAACCCTCTCCCTCCACTCTCCTACTTGTTCTTTCCGGTTCATCACTGGTACGGAAATTGTATGAAAGTTTTCAATTTCTTATATTATAAATTTAAAAAGGGTGTTTTTTGTTGCTTGATCTTGTTCTCTTTGTTTCTGTCGCTGGTGCATTTCGTCGAACAATTGGAGTGCATTATAAGGGATTTTATTATTTAATGACATTAGAATGTGTTTGGTATACAAGATTACGATAGGATAAGATAAAATGACATTATGAATAAGATTAGATTAAATTATGTGATCTTATCTTATGTTTGATGTGTGCAAAGATTAGGATAAGATAATTTATTTATTGGTCAAAATTATTCTTTCTCAAAATTTATGCAATTTAAACTATTGATGTAATTTTTAAGGGTATAATTGTATATGTAAATTTAATCCGCTCATGGATTAAAAATAATACTTTCCACTTGAGAAGGATTGAATCATCTTATACCAAGAGGATGATTAATCTTCTTTGTAAGCCTATAGGATGATTATCATCCTATGCACCAAACACGACCTTTGTTTCTTATATAATATATGGATGTTCTTGTACAGCTAGAATGGCTACTAGCCATGTGCTAAGGTGATTGATGGGAAATCAGTGGCAAAGCAAATAAGAGAAGAAATAAGTGGTCAAGTATAAAAAAATGAAGGATGCAATTGGAGTTGTTCCTGGGTTAGCAGTTGTTCTAGTTGGGGATAGGAAGGATTCTGCTACTTACGTGCAAAACAAGAAAAAGGCTTGTGAATCTGTAGGGATTAATTCTTTTGAAGTACATTTACCTGATGATGCTTCCGAGCAAGAAGTTCTCAAGTTTATTTTCGAGTTCAATGATGATCCTTCGGTTCATGGCATCCTTGTTCAGTTGCCTCTACCTTCTGTATGATTCTAATCTGATCATATAAAACCTTACTTTTTTTCTCTTATTTTGGTGATTCACACAACATGTAGTATATGGGGCTTGAATGGTTTGAACTTATGATTGTCTAGATAAATTAAGCAGCTTTAATTTTTTGGTACAAAGGAGGCTGTTGCTTGGAAATTAGAGACAGGATTGCAGGTGTTTACATTTGAACGCTAGACATATTGGATGCCATTTCTTAAGGGTTGTTGCATGAACCAATTGGATTAAGCCTTGAGTTTTAAGCAGTTTTATTTCAATCAACATTATGTATTTTATCTTGCTTTCAAATACCTAGAGCAATATTTTTAGCTAATGTATTATGTTGCTGCCAATCTGAGTTTTGCCAAAATATTTTACATGGTTGAAACCCATTGAAAGAATTTGACCTTTTGGGATTTTGAAATGAACTGAAAATGTAAAGCCAAATTCAGTCTGTTGATAAGATAGGGTTTTGGGGTTTGAGTGAGAAGACTACGATGATGTATCTGCCCTGCTTTTTACCACTCATAAAATCTGTCTTTTTTGCTTATGGGTCAATCTTTTTTCTCAATATTTGTTAGAAATCCTTGCAATCGAACATCTGCTAGATTTTGGAGTTTACATATTTGGTTGTCCCTCTCGGGTTTTGTCTTGCATGTGATACATGGCATGGCCCTTAATAGTGTTTCATTGGATTTCAACCAGCATATGAATGAACAGAACATTTTAAATGCTGTTATGATTGAGAAAGATGTGGATGGCTTCCACCCATTGAACATTGGTCGTCTTGCCATGCAAGGTAGAGAACCCTTGTTTGTTCCTAAAGGATGCATAGAGGCATAGATATGGTGTTGATATTAAAGGAAATAGGGCTGTTGTCATTGGCCGGAGCAATATTGTAGGAATGCCAGCTGCTCTGTTACTCCAAGTAATGGCTTTTCTCCAAATAATTCATATTACCTCAACAAATATAGTTTTATATTTCTTTTTCCCATCTAACTGTGTCTGATGTTGGCAGAGGGAAGATGCCACTGTAAGTATTGTCCATTCTAGAACCAAGAATCCTGAGGAAATCACAAGACAAGCCGATGTCATAATAGCTGCTGTCGGGCAAACAAATATGGTGAGAGGTAGATGGATAAAGCCTGGTGCTGTTATTATTGACGTTGGAATAAATCCAGTTGAGGTAAGTGACTTTAGAGTTGGGAACTTTTTCCAAGTTCCATTTTTCCCCCAAGTTGGCTGACAAGTTTTACATGATTCATGTGAAAGGATTCAAGCAATCCTCGAGGATACCGGTTAGTTGGAGATGTTTGTTATGAGGAGGCCTGCAAGATTTCTGCAGCTGTTACTCCAGTTCCAGGAGGAGTAGGTCCTATGACTATAGCAGTGCTTCTCTCTAACACACTCAATTCTGCAAAGAGAGCATACAACTTCAAGTGAGAATTTTAAAGATGTCGAAAGGTACTTACTTTTTTTTCTATGTTTCTGGTTAGAGCCTCCTTTTTGCTGCTTATGAATGCTGTCCATGATGATGAAAATGGGTAAAAATTATATTTATTTTGAAGTATATAAAATACAAAATTTACCATATTGTTCATTATGAATAAGGGATATACATTCTGTTTTCCTGGCAAGAATACAATTTATGGCATTAGTAGAATTATCATATTGTTCATTAGCATCCATTTGTAGTTCTTTTTCTTGTTTTCAAAAGCAAAATTGGATTTTATTAATGGCAATTAGAAAAGGGTACAACAGAATCTCAAAGAAAAGTACATTGGAAAATTTTGATCTGAGAATTCATTCCTGTAGAAAGATTGATTCGAGCTTCAAAATGATCAATTCCAGTTGGATTCTGCTATTAGTACTCGTAAGAATTGAAACCTGAATGCCAAAAGTAAATTTGCTTCCCTCGGATTATATTAAAAGAATCATGATACAATAGGCGAATTTCAACTGCTTTGAGAATTACTCATACAAAACTACAAACTTGAGCCAGCATCGGTCGGCTCAGGCATTATTGTTCAAGGGTTGCTCAGGAAGAGAGCTTTGCACTGCTCCACTGTATCTTCAGGACTTGTAACTGCAAGAAGAATAATGACATTGCTGATAAGTCTGAAGCATTATTGGCACAAATGTTTGAGAAAATTTTGCATTGTCAATGGAGATTAAGACCTGGTAATTTGTATATTCTGTCGTGTAAAACATTGATAATTCGTGTATTTATATAATGTTTAAGTGAAAATTGTATCACAATTTTTGTTGACATGAAAAACACGAAATATATTTTTGGATTTTGTTAAATTAATATAAGTTTTGTTAAAATTTTAATTTACGTTACTTTCATGTTTTTTTTTTTTTTAAACTTTTTTATGTCATATTACGATATCGTATTGTAAAATATCAATATCATTGCAGTCTGATTACTAATAAGTTGATTTATACAATAGAATTTAGTTCAATTGATTCATATAATCAACTTTAAAAGGCAATATCTAATAAATTTAAGTTTCGAATTTCAAAACTTGCAACCTTTTTTTTCTATTATTTTCGACCTCCCTTACATATAAGAAAAAGAAAGAATAGACCGAGAGAAAGCCAATGAGCAAGGGTTAATGACAATGAATTTATGTATCATCCAGGGTAGAGAACCAACTTGTGTGAATTTGTCTTAAAGAAACAACTTGTGGGTGAATAATGGAGAAAGACAAATGGTGGTTGATTCAAGAATTTTTTTTTTGGAAGTATCCATTTATATAATATATAACTGCCAACGAATTTATTAATTTTGTTAATAAAAAAGACGTCTAAGATAAAATTTTTGGGATTTTTAGGAAAAAAATTTGAGATATTGAGAATGTTTAAGAAAATTTTTTAAAAACATTCTTATTTTTCAAAATTTATTCTCCTCCGAAAACAAAGAAATAGGATGGCTAAAAGAGAAGAATTAAATAAGAACCACCCTGGTAAGTTTTATCACCAAAGAAGTAGAGTTCTTGAAATTCTTCGAGGTTTTTCAAGCAGTATGATTTATCTTAAGAGAAAAATTAGATTTATCAATTTAAAATATGACACGATAATATGATATAAATATAATATAAAAAAACATAAATAAGATACAGTTTAAAATTTTAATAATAATTATATATAAATTTAATAAGATCAAATAAATGTATTTTATATTTTTTTATCGATACAAATTTTTAAATATAATTTTTGTATAAAATATAATATAAATATATAAATTTTATTATTTTATATGATATTAACACACGAATCATGAAAGAAAATCTGTTACAAGCAAAACGAAGCAACAATTAATTCAAGGAATCTGTCTGGTTTTCCTTGTACGGTTCAGTCATAAAACATATGCATTAATCACACCAAAGCTTATTTATCCTCCAATCGAAAATGTCAAGTGCAGGTGAGCAAACTTTTCTCCAAGCACAGAAACCAATTTTGGGCGTATATTGTGAGCAAGAAGGCATACACCTATAAAATCTATACCATAATTTTTTTTAATATTTGAAACCGTTAGAATTTAAATCTGATTATTGAAATTAAGAATACAACAAGTTCTCCGCTGATGCTGTATTTATGCATATCATTCAACCACCACTTTGAATATGTGCAAGTTAGACACTCAAGCCATCCCGGTTCATTTGATTTTGAGATAGAATAGTACAAAGATCAAAGAAATTCTCATAATCATCGTTTGATTAGAGATCACAAGCACTAAAATGTAAGAGGAAACTGCTAATAAATGTCAATGGAGTCCTAACAACACCATACATTGAGCTTTTTCTTTATACAAAGGAGGCCTAATATTAGAGCATCATTACAATCACACAGAGCAGAAAAGTTTCTACTAGCAGACTGCAAGAACACCATGCATTGTTCTCACAAAATGCTTTTGCTAGATTCAGACTCTGAAACCTATGCATAAACCACACATCAGACGATAAAACCTGTTAAAAATGAAGCAGCTTCGATCAAAATTCGGACTCTTCCATCCGAAAAAAGAAGAGACCAGAAGGACCATCATTAGGCAACAAAGCTAATCTCACAGGACCCTCGGCGCCTTCTTCAATGGTTAAGATCCCACTATTGAAGTTTATGTCTGTTTTGACAAAGCCAGGGCAGACACAGTTGATGCAGAAATTGGGATACTTCTTGGCCAGGATCCTTGTGTAGGCATTCATGGCTGCTTTAGAGAGTGTATAGGTTGACATAAAAGCAGGCCAGCCCTTGGATTCCAATGAACCCTCCTCGAAATCTTTCTTATACTCACTCAATACCTCATCCACTTTCTGTTCTGTGAGTTTTTCAGCATCACTCAGGACTGCTTTTGCCCATTCATTTGATACACGCTGAACCAGGATAAGAAATAAACAAATTAAATTTGATCATTATGTATGTAACATCAAAGAATTTTGCATATGAATCTCAAGTTAAACTTTGTTGGTTCATGCAGTCACACTTAAGAGAGGTGGCATCAGCAGATCTGAAGTTTGAACCCCAGCATCTACAATCCTTTCCTCCATTCCCAAACTCAGCTTCCTATGCAAGAAAATAAAAGAATTTTGCATTGTATTCTTACCTTTAACTGCCCCATGGAGGAGGAAACATTGACAATTCTCGGTGATTCAGATAGCTGGAGAAAGGGAATAATCGACTCAGTCATTCTTTTGGCACCATAGTAGTTTGTTTTAAGGCATTCCTCAGATAACTCGGGTGTTTGAATCAATAGCCTAGTCCAGTTCATTTGCGTCTCAGGCTGCATCAATAAGCCAAACTTAGAAATTATGTGGGCACTGGTTTCAAATTCCCAATAAATTTATGTCTATATATGGCAAAGATTCGGCTACTCCAAAAGGCTAACCAGCTAACCCAAATTTTAGTTCAGTTGATTCATGCGTATAGGGTTCAAATCAACATCCTTTGTTAAAAAATGGGCTAACCAGCCATAGACTAGCATTGAAAAACATTAATCCTCAGAAGATAGTAGCGAACAGATAATTCTTTACTCCAGTTTATGGAGAAGAAATACCTCGGGAAAACCTGCAGCTTTAAGGGCATCAACGTCGGCTTCAATACCGACAATTCCTGCATTATTCACCTGCACAACACTCCAGCATCTCTCATCATTCAATCAAATTGTGAACATGGTAAAGAACAAAAATAGAAAAAAAAAATGAGGGAACTAGAGTCAAACTAAAGAGATTCTAATTTGAAACTCGGAGTTTAGCTTTCATGCACGGTGGTCTGAGATTCAAATCCCAGGCTGCGGCCCTTTTTATAATAAAAATCTAATTTTCAGTAACTAGAACTGAAATAATACCAAGATATCAAGCTTCCCAAATTGGGTTTTGATGAATTCCACCAAGGAAGCAACACTATCAGGGTCTGCAACATCAAGTTGATGAAAAACTACATTATCAGACAGTCCAAACTCTTTCAGCTTTTCAACAGCTTCAAGACCCCTCTTCTCATCTCTAGCAGTCAACGCCACCATGATTCCTTTTGAAGCCAGCTGTTTACATATTTCCAATCCAATTCCCTTGTTTGCGCCAGTAACTACTGCAACTCTGAGAAGTAAATTGAACAAAATGGTTCAGAAAAGTGGAAACTGAAGAGAGTTAATTGGTGTGTGAAGAAAAGAGTAGTACCTTTTGGTTACTTCTGCCATTGATGTGGAGAATCTTGAAGTGAGAAATAAGAACCCAACGGTTTGTTGCTTTTCTTTTGGAGGTAAAAAAGAATCCAAATTCACAGAAAAATGTCCACAAAATCTATGGGAGTCCAAAAACCTCACGCAACTAGTTTGTGTGGACAGTAACCGTAGAAGGAAATCTTCAAGCAGCTCATAGAAATGGGCCCATTAAAAGCTTTCTTAATTTCATGCACAATCTTGGGCTTCTTTCGATGCTCAATTGGAAAGTTCTTGTCTCATTAAAAATTGGTTTTGTGCCTGAAATTTAGCTCTCAAATGAAATCTTAGATTGTATTTTTTTTATTATCAAAAATTAAATTCGATAATTTATGTATTTATATAATATAAAATATTAAAATTTACATATTTATATTATGTTTTACATCAAAATTATGTGTCAAAATTCGTATTAATATTAAAATATAATAATTTTTTTTATTTTATTAAATTCATATATAATTATTGATAAAATTTTAAATAATATCACTTTCATATCTTATTTTTATATCATATTTAAATTTCAAATTCATTATAAATATTATTAATTGATTCTTGAACTAATACGCTGGAAGGTTATAAGTTTGAGAGAACTTATATGCGTATAAATAATAAAATAAAATATTTAAACATAGATTAAACATTAAAAAAATCAATATAAATATTCTAAATTTACCAAATACCACTACTTATCAGCAACCCTTCAAGCTAAAATTTTCAGAAATTTCTAACTTTTATTTTCTTGATGTTAATTTTCGAGACGATCAACAGACCTAATACCATAATTCAAACGCTAATGTATAGATTTTATATCAGAGAAGCTGCTGTAAAGAAGATGATTGTAGAATATATTGTTTGTACCAGTGAAAATTGAAGTCAAAATCTTGAAATGAATCAATTAAAATTAAAAATTTAATACTCTATTAACAGACGTAACAGACGATACGTTTATCGGCGGAGATTGGATAACGTAGTAAAAAGAAATATTAAAGAAAATAATTAGCTGAAAATGAAGAATTGAATGGTTTTGAAGTGTTGATAAATAATGAAATCCAAATTGCGAAAGAATAAAATGCGAGGCTACTTCTCATGAACAAGTGGGCTGTAAATAGGGTACCACATATTTCTACATACGTATTCCACCGTCTCCTCCTGCATCAACCCGTTGAGATTTGAGTAAAATAGCAGCAAAATGAAAATAAAGTAAAAATAATAAAAACCTATTTCAAAGGGAGATGATTTTATTATTACGTAAACATGATGATTCATGTATTTGTATTATATAAATTATTAAAATTCATATATTTAAAAATTACGTGTCATAATTTATGATTATATAAAATCACGAAATATATATTTTTTTATTTTATTAAATTTATATATAATTATTATTTTTAAATCGTATTATTTTTATGTCTTTTTTTTATTATGTTCGTGTTATGTTATTATATCATATTTTATATTACTAAATTTACTAGTTGGGAATGTTTGGTACAGTAGAATCCGCTCGCATTTCTGGGATTTTAATCGGTAAAAAAGCAAATTCTCGTGTTTGGTATGTCACATTCTTACAAAATATGGTAATGTGATTTCTTTAAAGAGGGGTGAGAAAGTTAGGTTATGTTTGGTTTTGAGAAATTTTTTTTTTATTTTTAATTTTTAGAAAATAGTTTTTATTTTTTATTTTTTATTTTCCAAAAAATGTATTTGATAAATGAAAATAAAAATTATTTACTAAAAATACAAAAATAAGAAAATAAATAAAATATTACTATATAATGGGATCTAATTATAAATATAATAATATTTATTAATTAATGACATCAAAAAGTGTTAAAATATGATAACTTACAAAAATCAAGGGAAAAAAATAATGTACATCTCTTGTCTTCATAATTGAAAATTTTTTTTTTTTTGTTTTTATATTTCAACCCATTTTTTTTTAATAATTTATTTTTATTTTTATTTTCAATTACCAAACATGTTTTTACTTATGTTTTTTATTTTTCAAGAAAATAAAAAAACTTTATTTTTTGAAACCAACACTACCTTAATTTCCTACATTACGAGAAAGTAAAACAACATTTTCGAATGTATACCAAACGTTGTAATGTTATTTTCCCAACAATCACATTTCATTGGAATCATGACATGGGAAGGCACCAAAAGAAACCTAGGCAATCCTTTGTTTTAAAATCAGTGTGCAAGTTTTAAGTAAATTTGCGGTTTTACCATGAAAAGCTATTATAAGTTTAGTAGGGGGACAAAAGAAGTAAGGTGAAAGAAGATTCATACTTTTGATATGTGAGCCAGTTCTCTGGGACCCACGTCTCCATGCCCTTCTGCCGATTCCTCTGCAACAGCAGCTCGCAGGACAGATGCTCCAACCTCTGCTGTGATATGTCGAATACTGCATGGTGCACAAGCAGAATGAGCTTGATGGAGGAGCAAAGCACTAGAAAGCAAGCATAATGAAAACCCGTAACTTAGCTCAGTTCGTTCATGTCATCCGACAGATTAAGTTCGAATCTCATTACCTGAAACCCTTTCTCCTTTACGGCTTCCTTGGTACCAAAAAAGAGAGTAATGCAATATTTTTAAAACTGGGACCATTGAAATCTAGATCATTGTGTCAGGCAAATGATCTATTGATAGAATTTGAAAACTGGGTGTCCATTGAAATCTTGAGAATATGAAAATGGAACAGAACAAACAGTTTTCATCACTGTCAATGAAAAGGAAAAGTCACCAGTGAAAGCATGGAATATTACCTCTTGATAGATGGATACAAGATGCCCTTTTGGATTTCCTGGTCAGTCATATAAGATGCAAGGCTGCAACGATAGCATCACATTCACAATTGCCGGAATCCGACACAATGATTTAATCATAGTAAAAAAAACTCATTTCCATGAACACGTGCAAAAGCAGAACTGATTAAATCTAACAATTAGGTCACGCAGTGTAATACATATAGGATGTGTTGTGTCATGTGTGCACGCTCACATGAAGTGCAAAAAGGTTATTTTAAGCAATGTCTGATAGAGTTTATGAAATAGGAACCTGAAGACTGCACAATAACATGGGGGGACACAAGCCTATACCGACATGTTATTCTCTTTCGGGCCCTAATTTTGCATCACTAAGAAACGAAATCCTTGTGCAATCATTTTTATGTTTATCAACTAGAATCAGAATCCTGTAAAAGTTCTATAACAGCCAGCTTGATAGCATTATCAAAAGAGAGAAAGAGAGAACAAGAACAGAAGCAACTATATAATATTAATCATGTTCATACCATTCAGCAGCAGCTTGCAACATTCCATCGGTTATAAAACGAGCACCTGAGAGCAAAGCTCCCAAACCGATCCTGGATTAAAAGCAACAATATTTAAATCATAGTTAAGATCTAAGTATGCTTAAGAAAACAACAAGAATGAAACAGAAAAAAACACCTACCCTGGGAATAGGTACATATTATTTGCTTGATTTACATAGCCCAGTTTTCCATTACCTGTCAGCAAGCAAATGATTAGTTAAGATGTAATAACCACAAATGAAAAAACCCGAATCATGTGCCAGAACATAGCCAGCGACGGCTCCCTTTTTAAGGAAAGAAGCACCAAATGCCTGTAAATGTAAGATAAAAAATCTGTCAAACGAGATGAACTTCGATTAGCATGGAAGATACCAAGATGGACGTTTTCAAAAGGGCTTCCACTGGCAAAGACTATGTTTTCTCCAGCATGCTTAAATGCATCAGCAGCAGTGCATTCAGCTGTCCAATGGGAATGCAAACAGAATGTCAAGACAGAATATCTAGTTTGATAAGGAAAATCCAAAAGCATGACAGGACATAAAAAACCAACCATTCATGGTGGGATTTGACATCGCAAAAATAGCAGGTTTAATTGAATCGGATTCACGCAAGGCCTTGAGCACCTGTTTTTGTGCCAACACAGTAGTGAGGAACACAACACAATGCAGAATGCAAGCAGTAATTAGAATTAGGAAAAAAGCATAAGCTCCCCTGAACAACAAAATAAAGGTTATCAACAATACATATAATAGAGATATATAGAAAAGTAAGAATTTCCACCTCTTCATTGAATACACCGCCAACTCCAGACAAACCAAGAAGCACATGAGGTTTGACCTTTTTAACCTGAATAAAATTTGGTTCACAACAATTAGGTTCTTATATATGTAAAGAGCATCTAGAACTTGTAAAAGACTATGCTTATAAAATGTAGCAAAACATCAACTTTTTTGTCACACTACACTGCAAAATTCTGCACTGACAGCTTTCATCATTCACAGACAATTTCATGTAACACCAGCCCGTAATTTATACATGCTGCCCTTCAAGCACTGACATGGAGCTTACCACTTCAAGTAGAGAAGCCCCCTCTCTAAGTCCCACTATCTGTCCTGGATCTTTAGCAAAAGGTGCTGCTGCTGGATCAAGATTCTTCCTCTCTTTAGTGATAAGACCCTTAACCAACAACAAACAATAGAAAAGTAAGTATTTACCCACCATGTGGAGGATGAAATAAAAATTACCAGATGGTCAATTGACATATAGCTAAAATCCTAAAATCTAGATTCCCAAAGCCAAGCCATAACCATTTTCTAATAAGAAATAACAAAATTTATAAAAATGAAGTAGACAATATAAAAAAAAAAACACTTAGATCATTTTCTAGTAAACCTTTTTTCACATGTTCTGTTCATGTAAGCCTAATCTTTATTACACAAGAGAAAGGACATATTATGTAACTAAAAACAGAAAGGGCTTTGAACAAATAGAATGAAGAGTACTAGAGTAGAAACATAAAACCGTACATCTTTATCAAGTAGGAAAAGGTTCTGTGCAGCAGTTTCGCCTTTTCCTGTCATTCTCGTGACAGCATGCATGGCCATGCTAAGAACGCCAAGCCCTGCACTGGAAGACGGACACAAAGGTGGATATGAGAAATAAAGCCATGAAGGAATTGGCAGAAACAAACAACAGAAACATTATGGTGAAAAACTGAAAGCCAAACTCTTGTCTATAAGTTAAGTCAAGTACCTCCCAGCTCCCACCGCAACTATCTTCTGGTTTGGAAAGTCGGCCAATGATCGACCTTGTGCTCTTACAGTTCCTAACAATCCAGCAAGTGCAACTCCAGCAGTTCCCTAACAGACATTAAGTAAGCACAACTTTCTAATAATGTGGCATTCAAAGTGATTCCATGGCAATCTGCATTACACTAGACACTAGTCCATCAAAATAGCAAGTTGCTGCTCCAAGAGCTCACCTGTATGTCATCATTAAACATGCAAAACCTTTTTCGATAGCGTTCCAGAGTTTCAAAGGCCCACTTCATTTGAAAATCCTCAAACTGAATGGTGTAACCATCAAATAAACAACATGATATAAACCAAGCATAAGACAAAAGTCTCACTTCTGAAAGAAATAAACCTGTACAATAGCCTTAGGCCAACGTCTGAAAACTGCTTGCATGAACTCATCAACAATTGATAGATATTCTTCCCCTTCCAACCTAGGTTGCCTTAGTCCTAAATCTGTCAAGCCAAGAGAACATGTCAAAAGAAATCCTAAAAACCTGTCGAAAAACCGAATCACACACGTGTATCATATGGTCCACTCAGCAAAGGTAACAACTTCTTAAGAACAAAGTAGTTAAGTACACATTTTACTCACAAAGACGGTCTTCAAGTAGCTTTTGATTGTTAGTACCAACATCTAGCATAACTGGGAGTATCTGTCAGAGACAGATATTTATTGAATAATTAAAGTTATAACACACGACCAGAGTCATCATAGCAAGAAAAAATTGAGAATGTGAAAATACAGTAAAAGATAGGAACAAACTATAAAAGCAAGACATAAACCAAATAGTTACAAGTTCATAAATGTTGTCCGCTTAGTCAAGAATGTTAGTGTGGACGAATATAAGAGAAATAAAACTAATTGGCAATAACCAGATAAGTCAAATACAGCCAACAACCAGACAAGGGTATGAAAATGGTTGTCAAATGGTTGATATACACACACATTGTCCACCTCAATGGTGTTAAGTACCAATAAAAATGTACAAGCCAACTTATAAACAGCAGACATGCAAATGCATGAAAATATACAAACAGGAAGGAGGAAGAAAGAGAAGAAGAATTAGTAGTTCATACCCTTCGTGGGTTGATACCAGCAGCAGCAACATACATATCAAGTTTTCCAATAGGTATTCCGATACCCTGAACTCCAAGATCACCAAGGCCAAGAATACGACTGCCATCAGTCAGGACTATCATATCAACCTGTGAGGCAGAGGGGAATTGGACATAACATTAGAACTGCAGAAAGCCACAACTCATAACATGCTTTCCTAGAGGGAGAAATGAACAAAAGGCATATGACACATAATCTCTGACACTCTTAAAGATCCACAAACTTACCTGTTGAGCTGGCCAATTATATATCATAGACATCATCTCGCCTTTATCCTTCGCACTGAAATACATTCCACGTGGCCGTCTAAACAGCCCACAGTAGTTTTGACATACTAGTCCCACAGTTGGGGTGTAAATTATTGGAGCAAAATCTTTGATGTTGTCAATAAGGACCTGGTGCAAAAAGAAAAGCAGAAAAACTTTAAATGATATGAGAGCTTATAATTTTCTATGAGTACTACAAATTGAAACAAGCGACAAACTTACTCTGTAGTATAGTGTTTCATTCCTGTCATGTAATCTATTTAAGATCCTCCATTTTGCTAAAGCAACAATACCATCTGGTTGGCACTTAGTATTTTTCTCCAATGAGCGATATGATTCCACTAACAATTAGAAAGAGAGTCAAATTAAGGCTATGTTAAAAATGAGGACAAGATCAACAATGCCGAAAAAACTTCCAAAAAAGGCAAATACATAACAAAATGAATTTAGTAAGCTACTCAAATATTAACTAAGTATATCAAAACAGATATTATCCTATCATCTAGTAAACTTACTCGAAATATTCACACACAAATAGCATTGAGCCTTTTTTATTCAAATCATAGACTTATCTATTGAGTAACTGCCTCCAACTATTCACTCATATCAAAAACTTCCAAAGTTATAACTAAGTATGTTCAACAAATATTAAACATGTCAAAAGGGTGTGTATAAAACTTACTGAAACGACCATATTGCTCCTCAAATGATATCACACGAGGTGGAAGCAGACCTCGGAGCCCAAGTCGGTCTCTTTCCGTCAAAGGAAAGCCAGTATCCTGCACTTAAAGAAAAAAAATGAAACAAACATTGCATAAGCAGCCATTGTCATCAGAAAAAAAGAAACAAATTTCAAGCTCATGCTGTTCAACAATATTTCAATAACACGATCTCAAAAAGCATTAACCCACTTTCGCATTCTCCATGAAGTACTTCTGGGTCACAAAAAAATTCACTTTTCAGGTACAAACATAACATGTTCATCAGACATCATAGTAAAAGCCATTGCTAAACCAACAAAAGATCTCAAAAACCATTAACCAACTTTCATATTCTCCTTAAAAGTACTTCTGGGTCACAACAAAATCCACTTTCACGTACAAACATAACAAGTTCATCAGAGATCATAGTAAAAGCCATTGCTAAACCAACAAAAGTTAATCATCAAAGTACTGAACTAACCTTATTGAACCAAGGGTCATGAAGAATATCAGCACCACGCTTGTGAATAATACAAGGACCAGGAATCGCCGAAGAGAACAACCGCCTCGATCGGCTCAGTCTCGACGCTGCAAATGGCGCCAGATTCCACATTCCCTGCCCCAGATTTCAAGATCCAAAGCCTCCACTAAAAAAGTCAGAGACAATAACCTAACTTCAAAAAGACGAAGAAATGGTGGTTTTGCTATTAAGGGTGTGTTTGGTTCGTTGTATAGTAAAAGTTTTCTAAGATATAATCTTTGTTTATTATCTTTGTTCTTTGGTGTACTGTCGTGTGAGTGTGTCTGAAAGTGGCGAAAAGTTAAGGTTGTTGGGAAAGAGAGAGTGTTTGCAGCTGCGCGGGATGTGGGGGCAAGTAGAGAATGTGATTGGGTTAAGGATGGTGATTGACGAAGTGGTTGAATGGCCGGGGAAGACGGCGGGCAGCGGGCAAATATTTGGCTGGTTCTAACCAAAGGGATGACAAAGTCATTCGGGTTCTGGGACCGGGAGCGAGAGACTGGAGTTGGGAAGTTTCGGCCTTTCAAACTTTGCCACGTGGAAATCTGTTTTGGGCTCCCACCATTTTCATTTACTACTCACCAAAACCAACTATTTATTACGAGCATTAAGAACTTATAATTAGGGTAGATAATCAAATTTGGTTTGAATATTTTGATAATATATAAAATTATACATTTTTAAATTCGATCATAACTTGAATAGAAATTTTTTTAAAAATCTGAAATGAATCAAATTTTATTTTATTGATTCGATTCTGTTCAATGATTTTTTTAAATTTATTTTTTATTTTTATATATGATTTTTAAAATATATTTAAATAAATTTAAGTATAAAATAATTATTTTATTTTTTAAAAAATTAATAAAAATATATAATTTGATTTATTTTTTTTAATTTTTAATTTTTTGATTAAAAATTTTGTCTAAATTTAATATATACATTTAATATCTAAACCGAATAAAAAAAATTCATTCCAATCAAATCGAATACCATAATTTCAAATTGATCTTTGGTTTTTTTTTTCTTTTCTCACCACTACATATATCAATTGAGTTAGTTAATTATGTATATGATAATTTGTGTACTAATATCATATTCATGTTGTATTAAATAGTTATAAAACATTAAAAATTATGGTATTAAATTTGTGTTCATAAGTTAAATATAAAATAAATTTTTATATTTTATCAAATTCATATAAATTTTTATTAAAATTTTAAACATAACATTTTAATATTGTGTATATTATTTTTATATCATATTATTATATTTTATTTAAAATTATTAAGTATAACTCAAAGTTATATTAATTAAGATTGATCGGGTACGACCCTATTAAAATTAATAAAATTAAAATGAATTGTAAAAATAAATATTTGAATGTAAAATGGTTTATTGTTAAAATTAAAAAATTTTATTTTTAGCTTTGTGAATATCCTAGTCCTTTGCATTAGTAAAATAGTCTCGTCAATATCAATTATATGCTTTTTTTTTTTTATCTAAGACTCAATGTTCGATAATCGTCACTTTAAATTTCGATTAATCTGAAATCGAATCAGATCGAACTTCATAAGAGATAAGTTCGCTTGAACTTATTTTTTTTATTCACAAAATTTAAAATCGAAATCTTACTTAAAAAAAATCGAACTTTTTATCACTTGGAGTAACGTTTATATGCTACTTATTACGGAACAATGAAGACTTAAATAGTAAATAGTAACCATATCACGTACGCTATTTAAATCCATGGTTACAACTTATTGATCGTATAGAAAGCTAAACCGGTCAAAGAGTCTCTCAAATACAGATAAAGGGGAATGTTACCAAATCAACTGCAATGAACAATTACATGTTTGCTGAACTGCCACCCATAGGCTGGTTTGAACCGCCATCGGTACTTCATCAACAGCCATGGACAGACCAGAGCTGTGAAGGAATCGGACGAACAGGATTACGATGCCGTTGCTGCAAGAAAATAATCTTGTAGCTAAAAATATCATGGTAATATAAGCTAGCCGATTAATGAAGATGTTTAAGTTTTGAGAAAGTCATATTAAATCACAAAGCTTTGGAACAGCTCATGGCTATCTTCATCTAGTTTCTACTGTTGAGTAACTTGGAATCAGAAATGCAGCAATTTGCCTCTGATATGTCAGTTTGATCAGCTGCGACAGGAGCTGCTTGAGTCGATAAGAAACGCCATCGACAAAGTTAACTTTTATTGTGCAAACTGGGAAACATTAGGCCTACCGGTATTCAATCAGGAATAAGGGCACAGCATTTAACGGTTATAATGAAACTGAGAGCAATTTTAATGAACATCAAAACTTCGTTTTTTGAATAAAATTTTAAACAAGAGTAATCAAAGGATGACGATATACACTTGCTTACATACAACTAATGTTTGAATGATTAAGTCGATAGCACTTAAGAATTATCGTGTTTGATCTTTATATCCACTTATTTTAAAGTTAGCCTATCTTAATCTCTAAAAGCTTCAACCAAAACTTCTACAAGCATTAATTGGTTCATGGGGACATCCAATATTTAGATTTAAATCTCAACCCTTGTAATCTTTTTATTTATCTTTATGTTACGATACAAAATTAAATGTCTGAATGATCAAGTCGATAATGTTTATTTGAAAACTATTATCGCGTTTGACCTTCATATCCACTTCTATTTTTTACAATTAATAGTCTATCTTAATCTCTAAAAGTTTCAAGCAACATTTTAAAAAGTACTAATTGATTCATAAAATCATTCGAATGATATTTTATAAGTTTGAATTTAAATCTTAGCAACTACGATCCTTTCTTTTATTCTCAGGTTATGATCTTTTCTTACCGAAAAAGCATTTCTACAAGCACAAACTAAAACCATACCATTTCAGGTCTCACATTACCAATCCCTTCTATATAATTCCCAATGATCTACATTTCTTAGAAAGGTCAGAACCCAATCGAACTAGTAAATTGTAATAAAATTTGCATTAGGATCGACAAAATCGAAAACAGAAATCTTAGCATCGAATCATTTGGATTTTCAGAAGGGCTAAACCTAGACTAAAGAATTCATATGATTAGGCTAATGGGCGTTATAAAGAGCAATTAAAAACAGTAAAAAAACGTGAGAAAAGAGGGGACTTTGGAACCTCGAGCTTGGTGGATTTTAAACAGTATCATTTTCAGATTTTTTTTTTATTATTTTCATGTCATGTCACCTAATTTAAAATTTTAAAATTCAATATTAAAGTAATTATGTAGTTAAACATAATATTAAAGATTATGATAACATAATTAAAATAATATCTAAGATTACAATACAATTACATGAGAATTTCGAAGTTTGAGGATATGCCAAAAGTTTTTGCAAAGAACAATTGGGAGTTTTTTAAATAACAATTGAAGTAATGAACTTTGTATAAAAAGCAAAGTATGTGTCTGGAAAACATCAAGAAGAAAAGGGAAAAGATTGCTATTTACTGAGAAAAGAACTCTCTGAAGTTTGATAATATGAAGCTAACTCTGCATTCATGCAACTGAAGCTACTTATGATTCCATTGTCAGTAAGCCCCACGGCATCTCAACTACTTTCTGATGAAGCCTGGGACTTCTGGATGAGTAACTCGATTTTCTGGACAAGCAGACAATAAAGCATTAATATGAGGGTTCATCAAAGAAAAAAAAAACAACCATCAATAAGAAGTAACCAGAACACTGCAAATATGGAGCATTAAGTTCTACAATAACTCGCACACAGAGCTTAGCTTAGTTGGTTCATACAACTATCCTTAAAAGGGAGCATCCAAAAGGTCTGCGGTTCGAATTCTAGCACCTGCAACCCTTTTCTCTACCCAAGGCTATGGCCTCCTATTTACCAAAAGTTCTTAGGTAACTACAAATAGATGAAATGCTGAAAACAATTACGCCAAGGGCGACAATGGTTAATTTCTGAGTTAACTAATTATTCCAGAACTAAGAATGCTTTCAACTCCTTTATCAGTGCGAGAAAGAAAAATGATATGGTGCAAACCTTTACTGATTTATTGACTTCATCAAGTTTTTGCATAAACAACTCTCCAGGCACCACTGCTCTGCGCTCGACAGAAGAATGATGCGGTGAAGCTGTCATCTGAAGAACATATGCAAGTGCAACAATAATTGGTAAAGCATAAATCTAGCTGGGGAAAAAAAGGGTGAAATACTAATAAAATAGCACCAGTAGCATTTTTCAGGCAATAAACAATGTTCTAGAAGCATCTTTGTGATTGTTCTTTGGAGGCTTTGTTTAAGCCGTATGTTCAGACATTCAAAATTTCAATATTTTTGCTACCAAAGTGTTCAACATGTGAACATTTATACTTGTACTTAAATATGACAAAATTTCATGATATTCCCATAATGAACCACTAATGCTCTCCTTTCTTCTATCGGACGAAAATCTAAAATCAATCTATTCCCATATGACCTTACATTCTTGATGGCAGAGTTGTAGATTTACAGGTTCAACTTTACACCAAGTGTAAACTAACTAAATCAGAATGTGCTGCATCCTAAATCCAACTGATTTAAACAGGAAGACATATAGTAGGCCGATCCAAGCATGGTATCCGATATTTCTCATGCTTACCAAAGAAATGTCAATGATTAGGTGCCAAAATTTTAAGGGGGCAAGCAGGCAAGGGGTTAAATTACCTTCCAACTTTTGGCTGGTGATCTTAGGATAGGTTGCCCTTCTTTCAATGATGCCATTCGAGATACAGCTTCCACTTCACCAGTGACAGTAGAAAGTTTCCAACTTTTACCAACATCCTGTATAGCCTTTGCAGCTTCTCTTACAATAACCTGCAATAAATGTGAAATTCACTTATGATCTTCATTCTCCATGAGGATGCCTCGTATACACAACAGCAATTACATGAATCATTTAACCATAGTTCATTGTAATTGTTTGTGAGAATGAACTTTATTATTTTCCAAAGACTACAAGAAAAAAAATTAAGAAAAAAGAGTTAACATAAGAAACCAATTCCATTACCTTTCTCAGAAATGCCGGGTTTGCAACCCCTTGAACCTGTAGTTCATCAACAGGTGCAGCTTTTCCATGGGCTATGCTTTCAACTCTAAAGGTATGGATACCATACACGGATTGCAACCAGCCTGTAAAAATCACAACACATATTATTCTTCTGAAGGAACTGTCTGTACCAGAAAGCGCATATGCCCAATTGCAGACAAAAAGCAATATTAATCAAAATTAGATCAATTCAGTAATCACAACACTACAGAGACCCATGACATAAAGAATGACCAAAGGATTTAATATTCAATGAATCATAGACAAACAGGCGGCCAAGTTTTTTTAATCAAACCAGTTGCTCCATATCAGCAATTAAGCAATAGTAAGTGGGAAAGTGGATCGTAAATATACATTATTGTTCTTTTCATCCTTGCCGAGCAAACAATAAGATGCACTTAATCTCATGTACAAAATTATCTGCCACACAAAGAAAGGAAAGCAGTTAAAACAAGAAACATCTAGAAAGGCCAGAACTAGTACCTTGTTCTATTATAATATCAATCACCATGGAAAGTGGTACATGCTTCTCAATTGTTATTATGCCGCAAAAGGGTATGAAAGAAGGCCTCGAAACCTTCAAAACAAGAGGGGGAAAAAGGATAAAACTCAAAATAAACTTCTTTCTCATAGATAACCACCATAAAAAATAGCATAATTTCGGGCCATACATGTCTGTATGCAAGCACTCTATCCCTACCTTGTAAACCATTTCACTAGGTGTGACATACAGCTTGCGCGACAAAATATCCTTCTGAAGCACATATCTTTTAAAGGGCAGGTAGAGCAACATGATGATGCCAACACCCCAGGCCAAAACCAGCAACAATGATATAGAAACCCATATAATGGTGTCATACTGAAGATTGTTTCTTGCCAGTTCTTCAAAGGAAGCAGTGTACAATATCTGGTCAGAACTATCTAATTGGAAACCATTTTCCAGTTCTTCAGGATCAACAAGTAGCCGGTCCTTTGAGGACCGATGTTCTGATAGACCATCTGTATGACCCATCAGCATTTTCTTCTGTGCTCAAAACTAATAACAGAGGAAACACAAAACATCAAAACTAAGCCTATGTTCCAAAAGCACCACAAATTGCAATTGTTGAGCCATTCACAATTGGTTTATAAACAACAATAAGTAAAACATGACAATTTCAGAACAGTTTGAGGAAATGAGACTGTAACTCGACCATACAAGAAAAAGTTGCAGGTGTTGAGATTTGACGAATGCCACCAATGGCTGCACAAACTAACTGAGCTACGCTCCTTCCAAAACAAACCAATTTCAAGCAATAGAAAAGTTCCCCACTTAATACAGCAAGAAATGTGCATTTCATCATGTCACCAATTTTAAATGTGCAACTAATAATCTCTAATTCTTTACATTTTTGGCTGAAACTAGCTAGAACTTGTTTTTCCAAAGATTTGCTTGGGAACCAAACAGCGGGTAGACATTCGAGAAACTATCAAACAAACGGCAAGCAGGTGAAACGAGAAATGGCAAAGAGAGAGGCATGTTATTACCTGATAAACCAGGAAAATGCTTTGCAAACTCGATCGTGAAGAAACAAGTTGGAATCGAACGGATTTGTTGTTAGGGTTTCACAATGAAACTTTGGTTTTGGGGAAAGATATTACAAATCTGTGATTTGATGATGATCATCACATCGGGCAACGGGCAACCCTCAATATGGCACCAAATATTCAAATCAGCATGAGAGAACTGAGAAGGGATTCGGTGTGAGTAGTCGTACGCTGTTTTGCGTACACTCTCATTGGCAGTTGACCCCCGAACTAAATCTCGTACTTATGTTCCTGTCGCTGCTGAAATGAAATCTTTGTCCATTATTCATCCAAAAAATAAATAAATCAATCCATTAAAATAAATTAGAATCCACCCTTTTTATTAAAAATTATATTAATTTTAATTGTTGAAAATTTGTTTCAATTATTGTTCGTATTTTATATTTATTAAATAATTATATATAAGCATAGTTTAAAGCAACTGAAAATTTTTTTTTATTCTTTTTTTTTGTTTTTTTATTTTTTTTAATTAAAGATATAATCTAGTTGAATCTGATCTTAAAAGGTATGAGGTAGAATGACATTTAAAATTTGTTATTTAAAATTTTATCTGAATTTAATTGGATTTTAATTTTTAAATTTAAATTTAAATTTAATTTAAAATAAAAATTAAATTATTCGAATTCATTTAATTAATTTTATTTAATAAAAATAAGTTTAATTTTTAATTTTAATTTTAAATTTGATTATATGTTAATTCAAGTTTTAATTCGAATTAATACATATAAAAATTTAAATAATAATAATTTTTAATTAAAATAATAAAAATATATTAAAATTTAAAATTTTAATTAAACTTATAAATTATTCAAATATAATATTAAAATATTTAAAATTGACTTGATAAATTAAATTATTTAAACATAATAATTTAATTTAATTTTAATTTTAATTTTATTCAAATGAATTGAATAGCTTGCTAAAATTTGATATATTATTTAAACCCTTATTTTTAACCTAAGCAAACGGCGTCGTTTCTTGTTATACACCGATGACAGACCGATGACCCTTTATAAAATCCAGTAACGGCTGGTGTCTGAGTTTTCCATTGCCAGAGCCTTTCATGGCGTCAAAACTTCTCAGCTTTCCTTCACTCTCTCTCATTCCAAATACAACTCATCAACTTTTACTCCCATTTTTGTCTCATATATCATGAAAATTCAAGACCCAAACTAAACCCACTAAAACCAAAGCTGTACTCAGAAGGAATCAATATCTTGCCTCTTGAATGATGACCCTCCACGTTTTTGCTTCTCCAGGAACAATGCCAACACGTGTGTTGGGAATCTGTTCTTCCTCCAACCCTTACATATTAATCCCTCCTTCCACTAGAGACCTTGATTTCTATAGTCAATTCAACTTTGGTGACAATGGCTGATGCTATGAAGCAGAAGCTCCAACAATCATTGCAGGAAAGCAGTGTTCTTGACACCACAAAAACTGAAATTGGTGCTGCAATGGAGGTATATAATCATATATTAGTTGATAATCTGAAATGGGTTTTGACGAATTTGCTTAATTGGTTCATTGATTAATGGTTTCAATTATGTTATTGAAACCACTGTCCAATTTTGCATTAGAGAACTTAATATCTATAGTCAATTTAACTTGGGTGACAATGGCTTATGCTATGAAGCTTCAACAACCATTGCAGGAAAGCAGTGTCCTTGACACTCCCAAAAGTGAAATTGGTGCTGAAATGGAGGTATATAATCATATATTAGCTGATAATTTAAAATGGGTTTTGACGCATTTGGTTAATTGGTTCATTAACTAATGGTTTCAATTATGTTAATTCTTGTATATGGGCTTCAAGGAAAAATCAGGTACTAATTGTGAAAGGTTCGAGTGTTGCCCTTTATCAGCATTCATGAGGGTTTTTCTGACTTTTGTTTATTAATGTTTTAGATCATAATGGAATAATCAGGTAAATGAATAAGGAAATTAAACAATCCGGTATTTATATTTATCAAATCATCTGAAATTTATTATTGCATGCTACTGTTGACAACTGATTTTGGAGATTATATACTTCTTTAAAACCAAGGAAAATTTAAAGGCTGTTCTTCACATAATAGGATATGTTTTGAACTAGATGATTTGGCATGCATGAATTTGTTTTGCATTTTGCACTTAAACCGGTCAAACAGTTGGCAGAAGTTGGTAGGGCATGACTTGAGGATCTTCTTTTCTATATAGGATTGCATGCTGATTAGCAAAATATGATCTCATATCAAGAGGATTGTTCAAATACTAGCATGTCTTGTGTTGCTTGAATGATTAATATCTACTAAGATCTGTTGGTTTTAGACAATTAAATTCGGAACATCTTAGATTGTATATTGATTATCAAGAGTTTTATTCAAACACTAGCACGTGCCCTGTTGCTCAAATATAAATATGGACTAAGATCTGTTGGTTTTAGACAAATAAATTTGGACACGTGAGAAACAGTTATGGATTTAACCTTCTATGCTATGATTAAATCATGTCACGGATGCTCTGCCTAGTAATCTTGTTATTTTTGTCAGCAATTGGCACGTGCTGAATTTGCTCTCGTGATAGTGTTTCCAGAAGGTAATTTTTGGATGCGTATGGTAGTAAATGACCCATGAATATAGGTTACCTTGATTTGTTCGATATGGTCAAAGAGAATCTATTGACAATTGCATCATTTACGTAACGTAACATGCTGATTGGCCAGCGCAGGATATTCAAAACATTTACTTAAATTGGCAACACAGGGAAGAAATAGCTTCAGAGTTGGTTTATGATACCATACAAGAATCTGGTGCTACTTTTTTGTCTCGGTCTGCACTAATGTTTGCCAACGTTGGTTTCAAATCTGATTTGTAATAATTCCTCATTGACATACTTGTATAGCACATATGATATGGTTTGAATGCATCATCTTTTGTTGTTTCTACCAAATTATATGTCAAATTTTCATTCCACATAGGTTTTCATACAACGTTTTGACATACTTGCATAGCACGTACTTACCATTTTCTCTCCTTCTCTGTGTATTGACTTAGCATTATTTTATTTTGAATCTTTAGGACTCCTTTCTGGCTCCTCCAATGAGTCCCAAACATCCTGATCTCTGGAGTCAGCAACGGTGGAAGAGTACTTTATGCAAAGCAGAGCTGAAACAGCGCTGTGCACGTTGCAAAGAGATGGGGCATTCTCATAAACATTGTCCTTATCCCATCATTTACGTGACGGCAAGTTTCATATTCTGTAGTTCCTTTCAATTTCCTCAATATTTGCTTATTATCTGCTTTTATTTTGCTTAAGCTTTATTAGTTTGAATTATCAGGTACCAGATTTAGGCGGGGGTCCAGATCAGTTGAAGCCAGTGGTCTGGACACCTGTGGAAGGAAAATATCGATGCAGTCGCTGTGGTCGACGTGGTCACAACCGCCGCACTTGTCATGGACCTGTTTTCTATTAAACAGGTTGTTTGTGTTTTCTGCAATGCTGAACTTTTGAACATCTTTGTTTGCTAGGCCTTTCCTTTGGTATTTTTATTTTAAACTTTTAAGACATGGGATAGCTCTATCTCTGGTTGAAATAGAAGATGCATTGTTGTTTTCTGGCATAGGTTTGCCAAACAAGCAGAAAATTTGGTTATTACTCTCTATATTTTTGAGAAATGTCATTCATGCTAGTGACAATTCGGAACATGACAATTATCATCAAAATAGTGGGACTTTTTGGCAATTATTTCACAAAGTTTTGTATTGAAATAAGCATTTTCAAGCATGTTAGAAACTTTAGGGTAATGCTAGCCATGCTTTAGAGGTGGGTGAGGACAAGGACATTTTTCTTGGTTAATTGGGCATGTCTCATCTCTCTGCTGCACCCTGAAATGCGAGCTCTTTAGGGTTTTTAATTTCTAAAATTTCAATTTGGTTAATCCCAATTCTAGTTTTTGATTGAAAAAAGATAAGACTTGAGTGTGATTATGCCTGCCAATTTGATGTTTAAGCCATGCGTTGAGCAGTAAGGAGCAATTCTATTTTGAGACGTTATCTCACAGTTGATTGGAGTTGTTACTGTTGAGAAAGATTTGGAGGGGCAGGTCTGGCTGGATAATGTGCTTGGAATCATCAATTAAACATTGGTGGTTTAACATGCTTAAGTTAGTGATCATCCATAGACTTGGCAATTCGTGTATCTACATAATGTCTGTCTGGTGTCAAACACATGTAAAGTACGAAAATTACTATGTCACAACTTGTATCAATACTACATGCTTAGGAGATCATCAAAGAGGGAATCTAAAATTCAATCTAGTTAAGGTGGATAAAATAGGTTACCCCACTTTGTTTCTAGTAATGCGCTTCCCATTCATGCTTCATGTTTGACATATTTATATGGATACGACAATTCATGTCTATGTTAATTTGTTTCGTGTTTAACATGCGTAAAACACGAAGATTCTCATGTAAACACGTTAAATACAAAATATATATTTTTGTCTTTTATCCAACCCATAAATGTTTTTTGCTAAAATTTTAAACCACTTCCGTACCTTTTTGTATTATTCTCATATCACCATATCGTGTTTAAAATTACCTATGCGTATGTTAAGTAGAAAAGAAAGCTACTTCAGCAACAGAAGCAAAATATTTGAGTTGCACATTTTATTTACTGATCTAGCATTCTCAGGAGCATGAGCTTTTATTTATACCTTTCAATTAGTGAGATTTGCTCACTGGTCAAGACAAGATCAGTGGCCCTTTACACCAATTATCGTTTGTGTAAGTCAGAAACCATAAGAGAAAAACAATTTGCAGACCAAAACTTGCATGATCATAATGCCGCTGAACCACATTTGTAATTCCCACTTGTTGCTACAAAATATACATGTAGAAGCCTGGCATATGGGCAGAACGGTCTTGATGTATAAGAACCCTAAGAAATGTAAAGAAAATGCAGTGGTTTAATTCAGCAAACTAAATGGTGATCGAGAAGATGTTACCAAATGGATCAAACAGGTAATTGGATTACTTTTTTAATGCTTACCATCCGGGTTTGTCATGAAAATATGGCATTAACGACTACCTCTGCATCAAAAGGTTGAAGGTCTTGGAGACCTTCACCAACACCTACAAACTTTACAGAAATTCCAAGCTCATCAACCACGATGATCTGCAAGTAGAGCTGGTAATTTAAAACATGATATGTAAAATGATTCGAATAAGATATGAAAATATAATATAAAGATGAAGCAGCATAAAATTTTATTTAAAATTATATATGTATAACAAAAAAAAATTCATGTTTTCGTATCGATGCGAATTATGAAACGTAATTTTCGTAAAAAACATAATACGAATACATAAATTTTAATATTTTACACGACATGAGTACATGAATCTCCGGATCTTTTTCATGCTATCAGCTCTTCCATCAAGCTGTAATTAGTGTGAAGACATGCAAAATTTATAAAGCACAACAATAAGTACCAGTTTAGATGCAGAGAAAATCAGCAAAGACCAAAAGACAACATCAAAACCTTGCTCCTTACCTCTTTTCACAGGCTGCGAAAGCACTTTAAAATCATAGGTTAACAGTTGTAATGCATCAAAATAATAAAAATGGACAAAATGCAAACTACGTGTGCTTCTAAGTTCTGCTCCATCCCTTCCCTTTTGGTCCCATGAATGCAAATATATTCATGATATGATATTACATGGCACGGTCGCTAAAAGGAACAAAGTGTTGCGAAAAAATGTAATCGGATCAATGAAAACCTAAGGCACCAGTGGTCTAGTGGTAGAGTAATACGGATGAGAAAAAGGGTTGAAAAATCTGAAAATCAAATTGAAATTGTAGTATTCAGTTCGCTTTGGATTAACCTTCTTTTATATAAAAAAAATTAAATTTAAAAATTAATAAACAGAATCGAATTAAATCAATAAAGTTTTATTTAAATCGGATTAATTTTTTTAAAAAAATCGATTTGAATTTGAATTAAATTTTATAATTTTATAATATTATATATTATTAAAAAATTTAATTTAATTTGATTGATCATAAACCCTGTAATATTAACCTGCCACGTACAGAACAGGTTTCGATTGATGGTGCATCACTTGGAGGTGTGACGAATACTACGCCCTTGAGATGGTTGGGTCCATCGCACTTACTGATCTTACGATGAGACAACGCGCATCTGAGCTCCACCTTTTTTTATTCTCTCCCACTTTGTCTTTGGGAGCAATTATAATAATGTAAAAGAAATTATTATTTATAATATTATCCATTTATTAGAAAGAAATGTGATTTCTTTGAATAATATAGCAATCAAAATTTTTTTTTTTAAATTTAAGAATTGAACTTATCATTGAAATTACGAATTCAACAATGAAAATCATGTTATAATGATCAAATTCCTTTCAAATGAAACAAAAAAAAGTTTCAGTGAAGAAATTTGAAAGATATTAATTCTTATAAATTTGTTATAATAAATATAAAAAAAATTCACTTCATTATATGAAATAATATATATATATATGCACACACGCTAGTGATCAAGGTTTGATTTCGTCTGGTTTGTTATATTAATTTTTAGTATTTTATTAAATTAGTATTTGACGGAGTTAAAAGTTAAAGTAATACGTGCAATTAAAATATTTTTAGTATTTTATTGAATTAGTATTTGATTGAGTTAAAAGTTAAAGTAATATGTGCAATTAACATAAAATAATAATTTAAGAGAAAGTTAACATTGTCAAGTTAAAGAAATAAAGACAAAGCTTTCTTAATGTAGTTGCAAAACTAAGTAGAAAATGTTAAGTGCACATTTTCAAGTTACAAATTAGCCAAAAAGAACAGCTACTAAAAAGAAAGTATAATTAGATGCTTATTGCGTGGTAGCTAAAAAAGTATTTTAACTACATACTATTGTATGAAATCTAGAAGACTTAGTGATTATCAAAAAGTTTATTCATAGTTAAGATAGATAATTATTTTAAAACTATTGTTTACTATCATAGTAAATAGACAATAATCATCAATTTTTAAGTGATTATTGGTGACAAAATTTTTTCTTCCTTATGAAAAAAAACTTATTTCTAGCATTATAACACATGGTCTAGGATTTGTTTTATTCAGGAGCAAATCGAATGATAAAAGAATGATGGTTTGAGAGATACTTATAGAAATAACTCAGAATATGCTACAAAAATAATATGATAAAAAATTATTAATAGAAATTTTGAATATATGTTTTGCTTGATTTTATTTATGATTGAAACTATATGATAATATATGGTAATAATTTATGCATAATTATTTATTAAGATGGAATAAGTATTGACATTTGTGCTGGTAATCAAGTAATGAAAATAGGAATATCACAATAGTCATTATTTTCATCTCCTACATAGTGAGATTGAGGATTACAAGCTGAGTTAGAGGTTGTGAAATTTCTATAATCTTGTTTAATTTAAATGGTAGAAAATGCAATAAGAATAATTTAAGTTGATTAAAATCAAATGTAATGTATGTAAAATGAAAATCTTACCTTATGGTTTTTGTCATAACGGTTTTTTAACCATTAGACAAAAAGATTTTAAAATAAAAAAAAAATAAAGAGAGTTGCAACTAATCTTTTGTAGGGTGTGATTAGCCACACAAAAGTCTATCTTTTTAATAAAATAATAAAACGAGTTAAAGTTTATCAAAAAAATAATTTTGGCCTACAAAAACAAAATTAAGTTCAAGAGTCGGTTACGCGTGAGAAGGATTAGCACCGCCACAGCACTCACAAAAATTGGCACTAATTAATTATGCCTTATCTTTAGGGTTGGACAAAATGGTTCATTTGAAATTTAATAATAATTCCTTTCATTTTTTGAAAAGAAAATAATTTTATTAAGATTTTTTATTTAAGAATATTAAAAAAAATTTTAAGTTAAATAATTATCTTAAAATTCATTAATATTTAGGCAGAATTTATGGATAACTCTTTTCACCTAAGATTTGCTACAAAGCTTCTCAAAATGAAAATAACATTCTTTATAGATAATAATTATTAGTGACTCTCCAACATCTAGGTAGAGCACTAAGAATTATTTCTTTTAAAATATTAATTTAATTTTATTCAAAAATTTAGTTTTTGGAATAATACTTTTCATAAAAAAAATATTTTATGCAAAAAAAAAAAATTGATGATGCTACAATTAATTAAGAAATGATAGTAAAAGGCATAAATATGTAGAATGAATGCTAGTAATAATAAATAAATGTGTATATGTCAATGGATGCAATGCATGAGGATGAAATGCCATTTTGAAATTGGGATTTTAAATATAATAAAACCATTTAGACGTCCCAACTTTTAAGCAAAGTTTAAGTGTGACTATTTATATTTAAAATCTCATTTTTATATATTTTTTTATTTAAACTCATTATTATTTAGGGTTAAGAAAGCATATAAAAAATTAAATGAAATAAAATTTCCTAAATACCTAATCCTTTAGGCAATGTTTAGGAACAGACTACTTCATATGAGATTTTCATATGTATTCTTAGAATTTTAGGATGGTTTTGGGTGTGGGTTCAAGTCGAAATTTGTAGGGTTTGAATGATTTTTTGGTGATAATTAGGGATTGCAAGACGAATTTAGGGCTTTGGGTTAAATTTAAGGCCATGGAATTTTTAGGATTTAGGGTCTCGTTTTAAGGTTTTGAGGTTTTAAGGTTTTGGATTTTAGGGTTCTAGATTTTAGTGTTTTGGGTTTTAGGGTTTCGAGGTTTCAAGGTTTAAGGTTTTAGGGTATCGAGTTTTAAGGTTTTGAGATTTTAAGATTTTGAGGTTTTAAGGTTTAAGGTTTTAGAATTTTAAGGTTTTAGGGTTTTAAGGTTTAGGGTTTTAAGGTTTATGGTTTTAAGGTTTTATGGTTTTAGGGTTTTAAGGTTTCAAGTTTTGAAGTTTTAAGGTTTTAGAGTTTCAAGGTTTTAGGGTTTTTGAAGTTTTTCTTATGAGAGAAATTGGAAGGATCGATAACCTGAACTTTTTCAATTATCTTCAACATATAGGTAGATTTTCGAAACAAGTTCAGTTTTCGTAATTCTTTTTTTTTTCTTTAACAGTTTTATATTGATGCGATATGAAGCAGATAAATTATATAGATGAGTAATAAAATTAAAACAACTGATCTAATCAACTTTATACATATTTTATTATCATTTACTTATTACCATTTTTTTCTAAAAATTAAAAGTGAAATAAAAGTTATTTGTTATTTAATTTTCTTATGAAAATTCTTACTTTATATTTTAAATTTTAATTTACTCTAAGTTAATTAAAATTTTTTATTTTTGATTCTTTAATTTCCCATCATCTAGGCAGAACTAAATTTTTAAGAATACAATTTAGATTCCCTCTAACATCTAGGAAAGGTTTCCAAGATCTTTTCTTTTTAAAAATAATACCTTATATTTTTATTTTCAAATAATAACTATTCCATTGACAAAAATTATATATATATATAAATATAACATTAACACAAGCACCCATAATTTTTAATTATTGAAGTATACATTTCTTCACCACACTCATATATATATATATACACATAAAAAATATATATATGTATGCATGTATGTATGCATAAGAGAAGGATAAACAAGCAAAACATGTAATAAAAAGCCCGAAGGAAAAAGACTATATCTAATTGATCTAAATGCCAAGGCCTAGAGTCAATCATCCATTAAGGCAAAAAATCAAATCTTCATGACCCAAAAAAAAGGGATTTGGGTTGGGGCAACCGGTTTAGTCCTTACAGCGATGGGCCAATCAAGCCAAATTGGTTTGGTCACAGGTGGGTCGGGTTAGGTTGACTTATTTGACTTTTTTTTTTAGCTTTTAAAAGCTTTTTTTTATATATATAACATTATTTCATCACCTATTAAAAAAAATTTTCTCTTATTCTCTTAACAAAAGAAACCAGTAACCTTCATAAACCTAAAATTTGGTCACTCGAGTCAGTGCCAGTCACTGATCACTATCATCGATCAATCTTTTTTCAAGCACAAATTTCACCCAATGCTTCTTTTTCACCCCTTCTTCACGGATCCGGGTTCTGTTTTTCATGAATCAGCCTCTAAAATTCTATATATGAACTTAAAGCCCAAAATTTTCAATCATCGTTTAGCCTATACCCACATTTCGATCGGCCTAAAATTCCAATATGTTAATCCCCCTTCTGTGCTCTACCTTTCCACCATTTCGATTGCCCAAAACTTTTCACCGCTATTGACCATCATGTCATTGGTCACCTTACTATTATGCTGCCGCTCCAGCCGTTACAATTTCTGACCCTTTGTCCCTCTTTTTAGTTCTCATTCTTTCTGTGGTTAAAGCACAAAGCTAGTCATAATTTTTTTTCAAATTGAAACCTATAATTTTTCCTTTGTTTGTGTTTTTTCTTTTATTTTTTAAGATTTTTTTTTTGCTTTCGATGCTACTTCTCCTCGTACCCAGGAGATGTATTGATTTTTTTTTATAATGGTGATTTTTGATGAGGGTAAGTTTCAGGTATGACAGGGGTTTCTACTGGGCTATAGAAGAGTGAAAGATGATGGCTCAGATGAAGGGCTGTTTAGCACAAAGGGTTGAGTTGTTATGGTAGTGCGTTTAGGTTGGGAACAAGGGCAGTTAGGGATGGGTTGGTATTTGACTAGCAAGGATTGATCGTAGGGTGGTTAAACAATAGGTGACAAGAAGGGTTTTGCCTTGGTGACTATTAGAGCTTTGGTTTTTCGTAGGTGGTGATAGTAGGCTAGGGTGGTTGCTATTGGGTTTATTTGGCTAGGAGTTTTTTTTATAGTTGAATAATTTCTGGGGAAATTTTTTTTTCCTCTTTGTATGAGATACCTTAAGTATTTGATAAGCATTAGTGCTTTTTTAGTGTTGTTGCAGCAGCTATTATTGTATTTTGAGAGATGTAGCATGCTATATTTGAGACTAAGTGTTTTTGTCAAATTTATGTTGAAAGTGAACAAGGTTAAAACAAGGGGAATGATAGGGGATAGTTGGAAATAAGACTTAGCAATGTTGATTTTAGGGTAGAAGGAAAACAAAAGGGAAAAGCTTTAGCAATTGAAATTCAACCATCCCTTTTGACCTTGTATTTTTTTTTTTTTTATGTTTTTGATAGTTTACCTTTTTTTTTTTTTGTAATTTATCAATTAATAAAAGTAATTGAATGTAAATATATATATATATATAAATATATATAAATTTGGGCTTTAAAATCAAATCTTGAATTTTCAAGTTTTTAGCTTTAAATTTAATCTTGGACTTTGGGTTTTCCAGCCCATATAACCTAATTTCAAATTAATCATAACTAAATCAGACTCGTTTTGACCCATACAAAAATAATCCAAAAATGAATAATCTAGATCAAAATCTGAATGAGTCTAATTAGAATACTTAAACCGATTTAAATCGAAATACTCCAATCATGTGTTTTTGATTGAACAAGCTTGAATTGACCGGACAAAATTAGGTGTTTATAGTTCTTGTAAGTGATGTGATCTTACCATAGTGGGTGATTCAATATGTCAAAAGGCTTTGAAATTCATATCATTGTTGTATATGAAAGTTAATAAATCTTGGTATCTAAAATGATGTACTTGAACAAATTCTTTGCATTCATTTTGGAAGCATAATTGATCATTAATTTTTGTTAACTCCATTTTGAATGAATTTGAGAGAAAACTGCTAATGTACACAAATATTGGAGTTGGAATAGCTAACATGTAGTTTTGAGTAGAACTTTTTAAGAGTGCCTATAATGGTATTTAATTTGTGGAGAACAAATGAAAAGTATAGTAAAAATTAATTGGTTTATAATGTTATTAACAATTAAATAACTATAAATAGTTAAGATTATAGTTTTTGAAATGACAATATTTATAAAATTTAATGAATTAGTAATAACAGAATAATAGTTGATAAAGTGAGATTGAATTTAAACCAATTATAAAATCTAAAATAATTCAACCCTGGAACTTGTCATTTTGTTATTGTTTTGCCAATCAATGCATGATTTGTTTTTTAATTTAATAATATCTTTTTATTTTTCATAAGCTATTTTATCATACTATTATTTTTATAATTAAAACAAAGAAACATGATATAGAAAAAATATTTTACAATAGAAAAAAAAGAAAACCGAAAAATAGAAAAATGCTAACTTTATTTAATAATTGAGATCCATAAGCCATAAGCGAAGAGAACTGCCAACTCCTTAAACTTTTATGAATATTTTAAATATATAGAGTATAGATATATATCACTTTTGTATTATCATCATATATATTTAAAATTAATATGTCTATTTGGAACACTTATTTTTCCAAAATTTGGGTTTGATCTGACTTTCTTTTTGGTATTAGTCTGATCTCAGTTGACAAAAAGAATTCACATGAACCAAAGCACAAAGACATAGGCCATGTAAGAATTTATAGTTTATCAGGGATACTCACTCTCGCATCCAACGTATGAACATTCGAATGATTATTGAGAGCTAGAGGGCAAGGGTATAATCAAGTCAATGAGAAGTTCAAGTTTGAATTCGATTGAGTTTTAATTCTCAAGTTCAAATTTGATTCTCATTCGATTATATTCGTTTAATAAAAATAAATTTAATTATCATACTTGATTTCAAACTTGATTATATGTTTGGAATCGAGCTCGATCTCAAATTAATAATATATAAGAAAAAAATAATAATTTTTAATTAAAATAATAAAAATATATTAAAATTTAAAATTTTGATTAGATTTATGAATTACTTGAATCGGATATTAGAATACTCGAATTTAATTCATTCGATAAATCAAATTGCTTGAGCTTGAACTTGATTTAATAATGATCGAACCGAATCCAAATTTTATCCAAGTTAAATATCAATAATTTACGAATATTAATATATCATTTACACTCATATTACAAAAAAAACTATGAAATCAATGGCATAATTTTTCTCCGGACCTAGCCTTCTATAAAAATTGACATTCCTTGAATAAATTATCTATCAGAATATACCTCTCAGTCGTACATAGAAAGGTTTATGATACAAGATTTTCAACGTCATATCATTGAAAAAATTTAAGGTTTAAACAAAAAAGAAAAGAAAAAAAATCTCGAAAAAAAAGAAGAAAGAAACAAGAAAACAGAGCAACGTTATGTCTATGAAGCAGTTTTAATTCCTTGTTGGTTTTGTGTAGGAGCTGGTGCAGTCCAATATTGTTTAACTGCAAAAAGAATCTTCTCTCTCTCATGAGGTCCTTTTTCATGATCTACAATTCTTCCATCCCATTGCATGACATCTATGATGTCCTTCATCTTCAACAAGACATCAACATCATCTCTAACAATGACACTGCCTTTTGGTCTTAAAATCCTATCCATTTCTAGAAGAATATCCTCCATTTCACATCTGTATTATAATTAAATATGAGGGTAGTCATTTAATTAACGAAATTATATCACCTACAGTTAGTGAATTTCTTAAATTCTATAAATGGAATTAAAAAAATAATATGAACTTAATGACATATTTGACATAATATTTGAATTTTAAAAATATCTAATGTAATACTTAAAATTAAAAATTTATTAATTAATATAATATTTAAATAATTATTTATCCGTTACGCATCATCATTAAAGTTAATTATTTTAGAGATAATATCTACATTAGTTAACAAATTCATAGATTATAAATTATATTAAAAAATTTTAAAATTTAAATATCATATTTAATATTTCACTATAATTTAAAGATTATATATATATATATATATATATATAAATATATATGTATGTCAGTCTCTTAATCTACTTGTGAATTTTTTTTGTTACCTGTCTTTGTAGAGGCTGAAAATAGAATCAGCATGAATAAAATCGTAAGTCCTAGGATAAGTAGACATTGCCTCACACCTATGAAAAGACAAACACATCATCATGCAGTGAGAGAACTTCCACTGAAAAAATAGATTTGGAAGATTCTAAGAAATGCAAAGCAATCCAAGCTGGTTTTTTAAAGTTATGGAAGGAAATGATTAAGCCAAAAAAGTTAATAAAACTCGAAATTTATTTCAATTGGCTCGTATTATCTCTTTTGTGATTCTCGAATTGCAATTTCTTATATACCATAAATAAAAAAGCCAATAAATGGAATGAAAAGAGAAAGAACATACCAATTTTGATACGTTCCAATTAACCCACGTTCATAGACAACTCCAAGAGTGTTGATTGTAGCCTCAACTGGGACAATGTTCATAGTCCAGACAGGATCATCGACAAGAGCTGCTGCAAAGCCTCCAAGATAAGCATTCATGTCCAACAAGTTGCGGTACCTCCCTGTCTCTGCCAGCTGATAGTCTATTTTCTTGTAATATGATACTCTCTTCTTCCATAGCTCTATGTTTTCTACAAATATTTTTTCTGTAATTCCTATCAAACTTCCACTTCTGATCCTTGGAGGGATTGCATTCAGCCTCTCAGGCCATTTTGCTAATTCTCCGCCTGCGATTTCCTTTGTATCGGATACTTCAGGTAGAGGGGTTAAACATGTCTCCATTTTTGTGTACCTGCTCCAGAAATTGAAAGAAAAAATCTAGCCGATCGGTTCGAAAAAGGCATGTACTGGATAAAATTTATGAATCCTTTGTCGCTTAAAAAAAATAAAATAAAAGATTGATATTGAGATTTTTTTGGTATCAGATATTTCAGTATTCGCTAATTAAACGAACAGATCATTAATATGATAAAATTCATTTATGTTTGATTTGTTTAAACCCCTACTTGACATGGACTTTGATTCTTAAACTAAAATTTTAGAATCGTTTCATGCAAATTGAAAATGATCTCACCATGCCATGTCAGGATTTTGAGTCGTGCAAAAGCGTGGCTGCTTGAAATCCTTCCTGTTAGCTTTACAACGGATATGATTAGCTGGTTTTTGCCAAATGGCAAGGTCACCATTCTGCGCAATTTTTTTCCAGCATAGGCTTTTGGCTACAGTCTCAATCCGGGATTGTTCAGCTTTCAGATCATCAGCCGTCCTATTCCAACCTTTCCAATGTCTCTTCCAGTTTATTGGTGGTCCAGACAGAATCCAATAACCTTCTGGACGTAGAATTCTATCAATTTCAATTAAGTAAAGCCCATCTGCACAATAATGTAAATAAAAATTAACAAGCTGTTAATACTAGCTAAGAAAAATGAAGCAAAACCAGCTGCCTTATGCAGCCACCTTCAGAGATTTAAAATGCGATTGCGATCTTTGTTTTGATCACGTTATATTTATCGTGATTATGAATATAATAAATAAGATAATGATAATCACGTTCATTATGACAATAAATTTTTTTAAAAATTTTTAAAATTTACTATAAAATGAAGCAAAAGAATCATAATAATATATATTTATGATATTTAAAGTAATTTATAGTATTTTAATCTTAACTTCCTATTGGTTGTAATTTTCCGTTATATCATCATTTGTGGATGTGATATACCGTAATTTGTGTGAATGACAATTCACAATAACGGTGGTGAAAGATTGTATTATCGTTAAATTGTAGTAGCTATATCACGTCACCAACGTTATTTAAATTCATGATCGTCTTAAAAGATAATATTTAACAAATTTAAAATTTAAATCCAAACATTTATTATCTTTTCCTTTATCTCAAACTTAGGGATGGATGCACATGTACGAGTAGGGTTGGAAAATAAAAAAATTTGATGGAATTTTCTCTTGGACACTCTAAAATTTCTCCTATACGCTCTTTTAGTTGACAAAATTAATAAATCTGTTGATAATTTTACATATATATTTTTTAAGTGAGTACCTCTCGAAAAAAATCTTGAATTCGTCACCACCCACTGCCCAAGCCGTAAAAAAAGAAGAAGTAATAACTAGAGAATTAAATTGAAGACCAGAGTTTACCATGCTGGCCCCAAGGGATGAGGCAACGAGAGCAATGAGCCATGTCGAAAGCTCTTGACGGGTAAGGAAGCCTAATGGAGGCAAGGACTCCGATCATTGCAGGCACTCCTCGTTCAAGAGCAAATTGCACCTGAGCTTCATGGGTGTCTCTTGGTGCAAATGACATTGCTATGATGTTCCTTGATAGAAGGTAAGCTCCCCAACTTGCAACCTGATCAATTGGTTCAAACCAATGAGCCACCAACACAGGATCAAAATCATTAAATGGATAACTAAACCTTGAAAAAGTTACAAAATTGATGATATATAGGAAATATGTTACATAATATGATACAAGTGATGCATTCAAAATTTATGAAGAAATAATTTGGAACATGCAATTAAATAAATACTGTAATGAAGTGAATCTTGTTTGCAGGGATGACTTGGAGATTAAGGATGCATTTGGATTCCATGTGCAATGGAATCCTTTTTTTTTTTTCAATTGTATCGTGAGATGCATTTGGATAGCACTTCGACGGTAAAATTGAGGATTTTTCAGCTGCACTATAACACTGCCGATCCAGTTAAAGATTAGAAGGGAAATCAGTAGGGTAATTAATCGTAAAATTTAAAGATAAAACATTTTCAATTATGATAATTGATTACTTTTTAAAGATAATTTATTATCGTATTTAATTTTATCGTCATTATTACATTATTAATTTTAATTTCATCATTATAATTTTATTTTTATAATAATTATTTTTATTTTTATTTTCAATCTTATCCGACGTTATCTTAGTCAACATCAGCATGACATATAATACAAATTCAAAGGGCAATAAAAGATAAAGATAAAACACTTAATGACAAAGTGCGTTGAGCTAGCACTCCATTGGACCTTATTAATTTATGATGGCTAATTTTAGGGGTCTAAAGAAATTATTGTATTCTTGGTAAACCACTTTACGTGAACATGAAGACTTCAAACTTGAAAATCATTGGCCAAAATAAAACTTGCTTCCAAACCAACCCAAAAAAATCCTTAAAAAAAAAAAAATACAATTTAAAACGAGTTTCACATCAAAGACGGATCTATCTGAAAAAAAATTATTCTTTGAACATTTTTTTTTACTAAAAATATGAAATTACTTGCTGGCTAAGTCATGATCCGGCCAGATTTTCTCCCCCAGTAAGATCAAATCCCACAAAGGAAGCTCAATGAATTTGAATTAATTATGACTTTCTCTTTTCTGGGTCATTTACCTTTTCTTAGTCCACTAGAGATCATGTGGTCACAGCCTAAGATGAAACCTCAAAAAATTAATAAAATAAATGTGCAGCAGTCAAGAAATTAATATAATATAGTACCTCACAACAATTGATCAGAGAATTCAACCCTATAAAATAAGGGCTACACCATATAGAGCCAGAAACTGTATATATTTAAGAGTTTTTTTTTTTTTGGCCAAATATATATTTAAGAGTTTAGATCAAAACAAAAGCAACCAACATGAGAGGATCGTAGGGAAAAAAATAAAAGACATTATTAATTATGTAAATCTGATTGATATAATACGATATGATAATATGTTGATATAATATAAAAAAATAATATAATTTAAAATTTTAATAAAAATTATATATAAATTTAATAAAAATAAAAAATATAATTAACGTATTTATATGAATTGTGACATGATATTTTTATATTTAACATATATCGAAATAAATAAATATGAATGTATGAATTGTTATGTTTATTATTATATATGACTTGTTTTATTCTTTTATATATATATATATATATATATGAGAATAAATTAATTTATATAATATAAAACAAAAAAATTTAATTTATTTTTTTAATAATTGATTTCAATATATAAAAAAAATGAGATAAACAAATAAAAATAAAAAATAGTTTAATTATATTTCTTAGAGCTATTAAAATTAATAATTAAAAAATAAGTAAAACTTTTTAATTTTATACTGTATAAATTATATAGAAATATAAAATTTATTATTTTTATATTCTTTTAGTATAGCAAAAGAAAATAATTAAACAAATAATTTGCACCATCCCTCCAACCAAACACCTTCTTGTTCAACCATTTCTAACCCACTTTACATCAAACTCTCTAATTTTTCATCTCCAAATAAAATAAAAAGTTCAAAATTCGAACATGAATTTAATTCAATCGATTTATAATCGTCTATATCTAATAAATTTAAAATTTAATATTTGTAATTTTTTTAATTCTCAATCTGGTATCTTTTTGTAAAAGAAAAAAAAAAATCAAAACCGGGTTTACTTAAAAAAAAACTTAAGGCAATTTCTCCGGAATTTCGATCTTGGACACCTTTACTAGCCGGTTTAAAGTGAACCGGCTAACCCGGTTTGAACGAAAACATTAAACATGAACGTAAAAAAAAAAAAAAAAAGAATTAACGTACCCCGCAGCCGGTATCAATGGCGGTCCTTATTAAGCCGTCTTTAAGGTTGATCAACCGGTCGATATCATCAATATAAGCATCAGCGCCGCGTGGGAACATGGTGCCTCCGCCAGGGAACTTGAACCGCTCTCCTTGGACCTTAACCCAATTCTGGTTCTTTTTCTCCACAGTCAACTCCTTATGTGGCACGTTAGCGAACCAAGCAAAGTCTCGACTCTCAGGCCACCGGAAGGGAACCTGGTAACCGTACGGAGCCGGGATTCGACATTTCAACAACTCGTCCCACCCAGGGCAGTGCCTCTCTCTGTACACAAGCATGTCCCTGTCAAACTTCAACGATCTCCGAACGTCCTCGCATGGGGTGTATTCAGACAAGGAAGGGTCACATGGAGGGAGGTGAAGTACACGCGCCGCCTCTGGAGGTGGGTCAGGAGGGAAGTGGTGGGGACGGAAGTCGAGTTGGTTGGTTCGAAGGGAGGAGCAAGAGGCTGAGGTTAGGAATCCGGCGGTGGCGGAGTTGGGAATAGGGCCTAACGAGTGTTGCCATATCCCGACAAGGTAAAAAGTAGCGCAAAGAATTGCTACGAGAATGGCATAGTAAAGATTGTAGTTTTTGGTATTGAATACTCTGATGCGAGACAGTCTTGTTGGGTTGCAAATCATTACCGCCATTGACAAATTGAAACCAGTTGACCTCCAAGGAGAAGAAACGACGACAGAGACAAAAGATTCCACTGAAAGAGAGAACTATAAAAAATAGTTATATATATCTACAGTGACAGAAGGGTGAATAAAGAGTGAGCTTATAAATGAGGCCAACATATTGACTTATGTTTTATTTTTTAATTTAATATAGTTCGAGACAGATATGATAATTGTAATATGATATTAAAATGATACGAAGAATATATAAATTTTTTTTAATAAATTATATATATTTGATAAAATTAAAAAATTTATTTTTATTTAACGTGTTTAAAATATGATATAAATTCATAAATTATCAGATTTACTTCAACAAAATATGTCATTTTAGTAATTTTATTTGTAGAATAATTAAAGAAATTGATTGACGAAAATTTATGAAACAAACACGAAATTAATGCATAAATTATCAAAATTACTTTGAAAAATATGTGTTATCTTTATAACTTTATTTATAGAATCTAAAAGCTTTCATTGACAATAATTGAGATAATTTCACTACAATAAATATTATGTATTTGTAATGGTAAGTTTATGTTGAGTAGGATTGGATACTATCTTTGGTTTTCCTCGTCTTTTTTATTAAAGAAAAAAATGATTTTTTTTTTTTTTGGAAATAAACAATCTTTGCTTTAACGAGTACAATGCTTATATCCCTCCACAAAGGGGTTCAAAAGACACATTCAACACTCTATTTATAACAAATAAAATAAAATAAATAAATAAATGTCACCTGTCCAAGTGAATTTATAAAAGAGTATTGACTTTTCCCCACTAATTGAATCATTGAATGTGATTTTTTTTTAAAGGTATGCATGGTTATAATATTGGTATTTAGAATATGAAATTAATTTAATCATTTATATTGTAGATTTTTTCACAATCCATTTATTAATTATTTTATGTGAAAATAAAAAAATTTGATAAATATTAAATTTTAAATTTTAAAATTGCTGAATGTTACGTAACTGCATGAAATATATGAATTAATTATATCTAAAAGTCAATTAAATTAATTTATTGTTAAAAAATAACTAAATGGTAATTCAATTGTATAAAGTTAATTCCATGATAAAAAAAAAAAAGATTGATTTTGAATAGTTAATTACCTTTAATTCATGTTTTTAATTGCATAGTTTGCCAAAAATAACTTAAAATTTTTCTAAAAAACTCTTATTAAACATTTATTTTTAGAAGTTGACACTTGGAAGTTAATTAGAAGGTCAAGCTGCCCGGCCATGTTCTAACCTCTTACAAATGGCAACTACGCAAGGCAAAATTTATCCAAAATGCTTTTTACTATTAAGTTACTAACAATCTTTGCTGGCTAAATTGACAGCTAAATCATGGATGTTGTCACATATAGCTTTGCTTCTCTAAATTATAGTATGATATATATATATATATGGATCGAAAAAAAAAACTCCAAACAATATTTTTAATTAATTATTATTAATTCTGATAATTTAAAATATGATATGATAATATAATATAAAAATAAAAATAAAATAATTTAAAATTTTAATAGAAATTGCATATGGATTTAATAAAAATAAAAAAAATATATTTTATATTTTTTATATCGAAATGAATTATTATATATAATTTTCATATAAAATACAATATAAATATATGAATTATCAATGTTTTATATGATATAAATACATAAATTATTAAATCTAATTATTAATGATATGAGGGTTTGTTTTTTTTTTTTATTTCGTAAATACCAAAATTGTATAATTCTTTTTGGGAAAATTAAAATATAAACCAACAAATTTAGATTTATTGTAGTTTTACTTCTCTTATTTTTTATGTAAGAGAATGGCATTTTTTTTTTTTTTGGGATTTTGAATAAAATTTCACTTATCCAAAAAAATTTGATAGGCATATTGGATTTGGCCGTTTGAGGATTAGTTTTGAAGTGGTTTGGAAAAGGTACCACTGGCATTGAGATAGGATGGGCCATGAAATTGGTTGCTCCTTCCTTTCCTTCAGGGTCAATAGAATTTTTTATGAATTTTTCGTGAATACTTTTTATTTTTGTTATTTATGTTCGTTTATTAAGTTTAATAAATAATTTTGAATAATATTTTTATATTTATTTATTAAACAAACCAAATATGAACAGATATTTATTTGGTTCGTTTATATTCATGAATAAGATCGTTTAAGTTTTATTTAAAACTCATTTGTTTATGTTCATTTATTATCTGTTTATTCTTAATTTTATAACTGTATGGTTATTTGTTTAAATTTATTTAGTTATAATTTAATTATTACCCGTGAACTTATTTGTTTGTGAACATTTTCATTTAATGTTCACAAATAAATTCATTTAATTTAAATAAATTGAATATAAACCGAACATGAACATCTTACCATGTAATGAATCAAGCTCGAATGTAATGAATAATTTTCTTACCAAACACAAACAGTTCAAAATGAACAAATTATTGATATATGTTCGTTTATTTATAATCAGTTCGTTTACACCTTAACTTTCCCTAAATAGGTGGAGTTTTTGACTTTTTAATTTTTTTTGTCAATAATAATAATAATAATAATTTAAAGCTTTAAGTAATATAAAATGTATCAATAGGATTAATCAAGTAATTAAATTATTAAAAACAAAAGAAATTTTTGGAACTTAAATGTATTTTAGTTGATTCATACAACTAATTTTAAGAAGTAATATTCAATAGTTTAAAATTAAATCTCAGCATCGATAACTTTTTTCTTATATTGATTACTACCATTGTTAAAAAAATTGCTAAAATGATTTTTAAATAGGCCTATAAACCCAAAAAAAGAAAAGTAAAATTTAATTAATTAATTAATTTAACGTAATAGAATGTATTGGTCTAGTGCTAGGAATATAAGCAAGTCAAGTTATTTGTGAGTTATTCGAGTTCGATTCGTTTATTATTGAGTAAAAATCAAATTTAAGCTGCTCAAGTAACGAGCTACACTGAGGTTGAATTGTTTAATATCTAGTCCAAGAGGCTAGAGAGTCTAATTGATATTTTTAAAAATATATATATTTATAAATAAATAATAAAAATATAATATTTAATGTCAATATTTATAATTTTATCGAATCTAATCGAGCAAAACTCGAACAACTCAATTAAATTACAAGCAGAGCTCAAATATGAAAAACGAAACTTGATTAAACTCGAGTTAAGTTTTAAACTTTAAATTTTCAAATTGAACCAAACCTAAACTTGATAATATATTGATTCGATTTAAGTTGATTACTTATATCGGACTCTAGAGGTGTTTGCCTTCACGTTTAATAATTTGTCAAAAGGATAAAAAAAAAAAACTACTTCGAAAATCTATATTCAAATTAAAAATGAAAAACATGCATGTGCATCTCTATTATTCAAGAATTAATTGATGTTATAGGAAATCCCACAATAACATACGATCTATCCATGAGCCTATGATCATGAGAAAATAAAAAAATTTCGAGATCTGTAATAGCAAATGTTGTTGAGAAAGTATAAATCTTGTCTTCCAGTTATTATATTTTCCTGAAACAATAAAATTATTTTTAGCAAATCTTGCCTACAAGTTATTTTTACAATTTGCACAATGAAAATTTAAATAATATTTTAATTTTAATTTTAAGTCCAATATTATTAATTTAATTCACCAATATGATATATAATCAGTATAATTTTAATATATGCATGTTATGTGTTAAATATTTGTTAAAAATATCATATAGATACTACGTAACAAATTAATAACTAATTGATTCTAAACAAATTTTACAATTCAAATAAAAAAATTTTAAGTAAATTTTATCGAAAAAATGTTGATATTATGTATAACGAATATATAATTTGATAATATTTATCAAACATCACACATATAAATTGATAGATTAGCAAAATTAATAACATATTTGGATTGAGGAAATGGGAGAGAAAGGAAAGGAAATAAAAGGAAATGGGGAATCTTTTTCTTTGTTTGTATATGACATAAATAAAAATAAAGAAAATGAATATATACTTAGCTCTCCTTGGTTTCTCTTAATTTTCTTCATTTTTTAATTACCTCAAATTGAGGGAAAAGGAAGGGAAAGGAAAAGAATAAAAATTTTAAAATATAAAATAATTATTATATTCTTATTAATTTTTCAAATTAAAAGTGTATGATTTTAAACTCCAAAATTAGATTAAGAATACAAAATATTATTTACCAATAAATTTATTGTCTCTAATTTTTTCTCTTATTTTTATGAATTTTATAAAATTCATAAATGATTATTTTTATGAAGAAATAAAGGAAAATTGAAAACAGGGAATAAGTTAATATAAATATATAAATATTATAGTAAAAACAAAAATTATCAAAGGTTATAATAAAAAAATAATATAATAAATCATTTCTTTCTCTTTCCATTATTTAACTAAACAATAGTTGTTAGAATTTTTTTAATTTTCTTTTTTTTAATTAATTTTAGCTATCAAACAAAGGATACATATATAATTTTCTTTCCTTTAAAAAATATTTCCTTCCTTTTCTTTACTTTTCTTCCCTTTTTTTTACTAATGTTTATCCAAATATAGCATAAAGTTTAAAGTTTAAATTAATATGATATATAATTAAAAAGTTAAAGATGCAAATTATATATTTTATGAAAATTCAGGATGCATATTGTATATTTTATTTTTGTAGGCACCAATTTGTACATTTTTTAAAATGCAAATGCTAAAAAGTGTAATAAAATTTTTTTTAAAGAAACTTACTTGTATATGTATCTCTTTTAATTTGTACAAAGTAATTTATTTTCTTCTTCGTCATTCTTTATTAAATTCTTCGTTGAAGTCGAAAACGAGTTAATTAAGGATAAAAATGCTTTAGGTTAAATACGGTTTAATTTTTTGAATGATATATAATATTATAAATTTTTAAAATTCAATTTAATTCGAATTTAAATATATCTTTCGTGCAATTTGATTTGAATCAAATTCTATTGGTTTGATTCAGTTAATTGATTTTTAAATTTTTAAATTTTTTGTTTTTATATATTATTTTAATATTAATTTTTAATATATTTAAATAAATTTAGATATAAAATAATTATTTTTATTTATAAAATTTTAAATATATATAAATTAATAAAAATATATAATATGATTCATTTTGCTTTTCTATTTTTTATTTTTTAATCTAAAATTTAATTTAAATCTAATATATATATATTTAATATTTGAAATTAATTCAAATCAAATAAAAAAATTCAAATTAAACCGAACTCTATTTGAATCCTTTTTTGTTTCTGTCTTTTTTTTTTTAATTTTTTACAAAAATAAAATATTTCACTTTGTAAAATTTAAAATTCTTCTCCGTCACCGGTTTTCCTATTTGTAAATCCAAATGAAAGCTTACTAGGATAGCTTACCCCTAAACTTTCTTTATAAAAAATGGTTTGAAGCCTGCCAAGCAATTGGTTAATGTCTCTTTCAAGGCAATTTCCCATAACCTTCTCACCTCTGTCTGTTGAAATTGACCCTCAAAACGTATTCAAAACTTGTAATTATGATCCTACGCTAATTCCCGTATTCAAGACATAAATGGCGTTGAATTCGAAACTTAATTGAATTTGTTTAACTCGAAACTTAATTGAATTGATTGGTATGATATTTTTAATTCATATAATCAAATATGTTACGGAAAAAGTTTCTCTTTCTTCCATCTATGCACAACAAGAACAACCCTTTCTCTCTCCTTTTTCCCTCACTTTCCATCTCTTGGATTTTCCTCTGTTTGGGAGAATTCGATTTCTGAACTGTCTTTTCTTTTCTTTTCTTTTCCTTTTCGTCTCAAAGGAAAGGTTCAATTCCTTACTTTCTTATTTTCTTTCAAATTTTTCTTATTTAATTTTATTTTCTGAATTCATCGAAAATTAGTTGAATTCTGTTGCATTCTTGTTTCAATTTTCATTTAAATTTTTTTTTTATGTTATGGCTCGAAATTGCAATTAAACTCAATTGATTGGATTATTTCGTACTAATTATAATTCTGATTATAAAATTGCTTTTTTTTTTTTTGGTGCTAAAGCAGGACTTGGAGCTTGCCATCTCAGTAGGAACTTAAAAGGAAAAAGAAAATGAAAAATGGTGTGGGTTTCTTGAATTTTCTCCATCATGACTTGTTGATAAAGATTCTTACATCTTTAGATGATCCATCTGATCTTGTTCGCTTCAGTGCTGTCTCACTATCCTGCCGACATTTTGGTGAGCTATAATGTTTCTATATACTCTTCATCTTTTTTAATATTAAAATTTCTCGAATCCCGAGCTTAAGATGACTGGTGTAACTATCAGTAGATTTGAAATTCGCAGTTGGGAACTCACAATTCATTCCTTAATTTTAGGCTACAGCATCCTTCGTAAAAAATAAATTAAAATTTCTTTGTAGTTGTTCAATTGCTATATAAGTTCATGACATGAAGATTGAATTAGAATTTCTTTGTCATGTTGGGGAAGTTCAAATGGAGCGGAGCATCATCTGGAATTCGTAAGTGGATAATATTCTCAGTATGCAGTTTGGTTGTTGTGTCGATCAAAGAAATTTGTGTGTTGAAGGGAAGTGGTTTTCAACAATACTCTCTTTGCTTTTCCATTTTGTTTTTTTTTTTTGGTTACAGTTGGGGTTTGAACTCAAAACACGGTTTGAACTCAAAACCCTCAACCCTGGAGCTGGCTTTAATACCACTAACTGGCCGGATAGTCATGGTTCAAATTAAAACGTATTCAGGTCCATCATGATTAGTAGAAAAAGGAATAAAGGGAAGTGACTAGGTTCACCTCAAAAGCCTAGGAAAATGGTTGACTTGTGGACTAGTTGACACCATCGAAACACATTATTTGATCTTATTTAGTTCCTTGTCATGGAGCCCAATTGGCTCGGCTTGTTATGAGGTTTATGTGTTACATTATGCACAGTGTGTTTGCTTCAGTGCCATTCTGAGATGGTGCTTATCACCTAATCATGTATATTCAATTCCATGTAGATATGTTTTACCAATTCAATTGAAATGCACCAATTCTTCTTTTCAGATATTTCCTTTGATGCGAGCCGATTACCCATATTTTAAACACAATACAAAAATGATATGAACAACTCGAAAATAGATCTGGCAATTTATATGTTCAAGATGATATCAATCTCGTGTAACTTGTTTTTGGTTGGTATGCATGACATTTTGCAGCCATTGCTGACTTATTACTTTTCAATGGGTTTGCAGTGATTACAAATGGTCTATGTAAGCGTCTGTGCCTGAGAATGTTTCCTCAGTTATCTAGAGTTGATCATGTCAATGAGCTTGGTGGCACTGCAAAAAGGCATGCTGAAGCTGGATCCAGCAATTTCATGGAATGGGAAGCTTTGGAGAGGGAGCACAGAGTTTATGCCCTTTTAGCTCGATATTGTTTGTCATCTGCTGTTGGGAACTGCATCTCAGAAGCAATCATGGCTTCCAGCACCGATAATTATCCACAGGAAAGCATAGATAATACTTTGGAACCAAGAGATAGAGTTGCATGGAGAGCTTCATACTGGTCAAGTAAAGGACAAAGGAACCCTGCAGCGCCTGAAAGGTTGACATATAAATTGGTTGGTGATTTGTGTGTTGTTACTGAAATCAAGATAAAACCTTTCCAAGGTAATTGTTTCGGTTTTCGAGAGTGTCCAACTATAATATATATAAAAAACTGCTGACAGATTTATGGATAAAATCGACGGAAAGGGTGTCTTCAAATTCTTTTGTTTTTCAATGTTTGGGGCTGTCATGGACACCTCATCTTCAAGCATGGATCTGCCACTACATCTATCTGATTTTTTTTAGCTTGAAAATTTTCTAATAAGATTTGTTTTTGATCCAGCTTACTTCCACATTGGTTACCCTATATATTCTGCAAAATCTGTGAGATTTCGCATGGGTCATATCAAGTCCTCCATGGAAAATCATGTGGATGACTCATACCAGGATTCTGGTAATGACAAGTTTGTATGGACTTACACCTCACAAGAGTTTCCCATGGCTCAGGTGGGTTCATTTTGCTTATATCTTTTTGATTGATCTTTCTCTATTTGTTACTACAAGAATATCAGATTTGGTCATTTAAAACCCGAAGTTTAGCTTAAATGATTCATATGAGCCCTCTTAAGAGGTTGACATTCAGCAGATCTAGAGTTCAAATCTGAGCACTTGTTACCTGTTTTTGTATTCCCAGACTGCAATCTCCTTTGTATTAAAAAAATAAATTGGCTCTTTATTGTATCATTTCCGCTTTCATTTGTTTCCATATTCCAGAATGCATTATCTGTGAAGTTAATTCCATTTTCATTGTTATAGTTTTGTAAGACCACATGCTGCAGCACTGACAACATTAAGGGTTTTTAATGATAAACAGGAAAACCATTTGCAGTGTTTCAAGCTTCCCGACCCTATTCTTTGCATTGGTGGAATATTACAGATTGAGCTGCTGGAGAGGGTCCAGGGTTGTTGGAATGGCTTATTCTATATATGGTACTGTTAAATGCACCCTTTCTCTACCTAGTTTGATACTGGTATATTGCAGCAGTGTTACGAAAATAGCATATCTAACAATTAGTATATTTGTATCATGTAAAACACTAACAATTCATGTATCTATATCATGTAAAACACTAGCAATTCATGCCTTCATATCGTGTTTTACACGAAAATTACATGTCACAATTCATATGGACATGAAAAATATGAAGTACATTTTTTAGTTTATGTTAAACTCATATATAGTTTTTGATAAAATTTTAACTTGTGTTACCTTCACATCTCGTATCGTGTTACTATATCATATTTTAAATTGCAAGATCTACAGAATAGATTATCTGAGTGCTCTAGCTATTATACTGAAATTGATTTGATTTCATCTTGGGGAACCATGATTTTCAATTATAAATAACATATCTAGGTATCTTTAGGGTTTTCTGGCCATTTTGCTATGTCCTTGTTTTTATGCAATTTGTTGGCATCATTGCAGTGTGTCTAATGTTCAAGCCATGGGACGCCCATTATCTCCTGCTTTTGGTATTCAGATACTTGAACCCCCTGAAAAATTTGTGCTTGAGGCACTGAGTCATGCACAACCAACTTTACCTGAACAGACAAGCTCTGAATCCAGTTTGCAGATGCGTGTGAAAGACTTGGAGCAGATTGTGAATTCACTGCTGGCATATGTGGATGAGGTTGAGGAAAATGGATTCGGATGGGATACTGATACCGAAGAATCGGATGCGGATGAGGAGGGAGAAGATGGCATAGAATAAACATCTGCTGTTTTTTCATCCCTCATTTTAACAGGTTATATGTAAACCTGATAATTCGTATATTTGTAATATATTTTACATGAAATTAGTTATCACAATTTGTATCGATACATAAACACTAAATGCATTTTTGGTTTCATCAAACTCATATATTGTTTTGCTGAAGTATCATTTTCGTGTTATGTTTTAGATCACATAGAATAAATAGGGTTGGGCATGTATTAAACCAAACTGATCAGATTTGTCATACAAAGAGAGTAGGCTATGATATAAACTACCTAAATTCATCAATGTGAACAAATAACAGCAATATACATTTAGTATCATTTTGTTGAGCGCCTGAAGGAAATGCAGCAACAGTGGTGCTAAATGGGAAGAGGATTTTCCAGGTCACCCCAGGTTGACAAATTCTTCAAAAACTTGCACCAATATGAACTTAACACACAAGTTCAATTGAATTATTGAAATGATACTCAAGCTTGTTGAGGAAATCAGGCTTCCCTCTCTGTCTTGGATTTGGCTGGTGCTGGAAGTAACTGCAACACACAGCAGAATCTTGTCAGCCTCCAACGTCTGTAAATTCATATTTGAGTTTTGATCCAGAATGTCCTACTTAATGACTTGAGCTTAGACTGATTGTGACACGGTGATGCGATACGAAAAAAAAAAAAAAAAAAAGTGCAGGTTCATTTTACCAAAATTTGTATGTGAATTTGCTAAAAACAAAAAAAGGTGTTTTGTGATTTGATGCATTGACACGAATTATGACGGTAATTTTGGTATTTTGCACGTGTTAGACACAAAATAGACAAACATGGGCAATTGAGTTATCCCAAAGGTTAAAGTTCATTATATTTGTAGGTTATCTTTCATAAATTTACATGCTAGTCCGTGTAATTTCTCTACTTTTACATGAACCTTTAACTCTTCTTCAACAAAACTAGTGATTCCCCAAAAATACATTCACAGCTAACATTCTACCGTCCAGTGCACAGAATCGAGTACCTGATAACAGGAGATGAGAGACGAAACAAATCCAAAGGCACCGGTTACACGAGGAGTGACTTTCTTTGGTGCCAATTGAAGAAGCCCGGCCGCTACCACTATATCCATTCCTGCTTTAACAAGAGCTAGAGTCCTCTCACTTGATTTTTCGAGCTTGGCACGATATTGCTCATTCTGCATTTATAGAAGCACAATAAAGTTGGGAAATACAGGAATAAGAATCCTAAAAGAAACATATAGTGAACATACCTTGTACTTATCACTGTTCTTGAGATTCTTTTCCAACTTTTTCATTGATGCAGATAGCCTCCCAAGCTCCCCAAGCTGATAAAAAAGAAGGTATATATGCATGAAAAAGTGGATATAGCTACTGAGAGTGGCAGATTCAGGATTTTTTTCAAGGATGTTCCTTTATAATACATATAAAAAACTGCCGATGGATTTATCAATTTTTCGGACTGTCAATGGATACCCTAATCAAAGAGTGGATCCGCCACTGGCTAATGAAACATCTTAAGGACAAAAAATTGTAGGTGGAGACTAGTTCTCAATTTAATGAAAAGCAACAAACCTCGACCAAGGTTGAACAAATCGAGGAACCCATCTAACAGAAAAGGGATATTCGTCCGATCAGCTCAGCTCGTTCTTTGTTCTGTAAACAGCTTATTTCGGTTAACATGTGCAAACCAAGACAAACAAATTAAGTAGAATAACAAAATGAAGTGTATTTCATACCTTATGGATGCCTGTTCTGCCAAGCCAGATAATTTGATCAAGAAATAAGAACGTTGACAACAGTGCATTTTTTGACTGAAACAACCATAAAATTAACCCACAAAGGGGAATTAAATTAACTAAGTTGAAACAGTAGAGAAATATTGCAGAAAATTGGAAGTTCATCACACCTTTCCCAGTAGAACAAGTGGAAGGGGAGTTCCTTGAGGAACTGGGCTAATAAGACCATGCAAATCATTGACAAACTGCCAATTCATTTAAAATGAGCACGCATCTGATTAGAATCATACCAGCACGCAAACAGAAAAGAAAATCGTTTTTTTCCAACCATTAAAGTTTCTGGGATTGTTCATTCTTGTACAACATAAACCAACTTGTCAGTTTTAGTATTTGACATAGTGAGATAACCTTAAAAAGACGGAAAACTTTCCGAGCCAAGCTGGTTGATTTGTCAACATTTTGAGCTGTGCCTGGTTGTCCATTACTTAAGAATTTCGAACCATATTGTATAGCCCTGCATATCTTATCCCTTGCTTCAGACTTATTCAAATACAAAACTTTAAGTGTGAGTTCTGCTCTAGTTGCATCGAGCATACTCATCTTTTATCCACAAGACACCTGAAAACTCATGATAATTAGTTTTTCAAATAAGCTTACGAGTCCTATGCGAAGCATGTACCAAAGCCAACATTATCAACCAGTTTAAGCAAGCTACTAAAAAGGAAGAAGAGCTTCTACTTTCAAACAGAGATGAAGTACCAATCAAAATTTTGAAGTCATCAACTATGTGTGAGTTGAATGATAAATCATAGATCGAACTGCTGAATCAGAAAAATTGGGTACTATCATATAGCTTTGTTTCGGCTAAGTTCATGAGTTGGAGATAAGAGGACTTGAACCGCTGACATCCGCCACAAGGTAACCACCACATCTCAAGCCCCCACTGATTCTACCATAGAGACCAACGACAGACAATAACACCGCCCCCCAGCAAAACAGCTTACAACTTTCATCTAATTGTGCTCTCCAAAGAGCAAATTGAGTTGGAATTCCATTCTAACTAAGGATTCTTGGGGTTCCGGAGGATCCAGCTACATTCACTCGCACATTTTTTATCTGTTCATTTTTTTTGGTGCCATGCTACATGTCATACTATAGCATAAAACTATGGACATGTGTGTGGGTGCCTGTATGCATCATCATCTCTATCCGATCATAAGAAGCAAGGAGAAAGTATGTTGTTGCTTAAACAACCAAGCTCTAACTAAACAAATTTGCAATCCCTAAATGGCATGAAAGCTCTAACTAACAGCTTAAACTCAAACTAAAATTTCCAAAAACAAATTAAAATTTTGTGCCAACTCATTCACTGAACTCTATAAAATATAAAGTACTCTAAAGCATCTAACTCTTCTAACAAATTTACTATTGTCTGATGTCTATTTGCCTGCAAAGGAAAATATATGGACGCTTTTAGCTTGAACAAATAACATGCCAAATCACCAACAGCCGTGTGATCTGTTGGTAGAGTGTTGAACTCTTAGTTTCGGTTATCAGAATTCAAATCCCGATGAGCTCCAATACAAAAAAAAAATGCCAAATCATAATTAGCTGATTCTAGTACCTATTGTTTAGCTTAATTTTACAATACTTTCCATAGAATCCATACAATAACAACTAACAAATACTCAGAATTTCAATTTCTGCTTCTTTCCTATCAACCAAGCGGACCAAACCACCATGACTACCCAAATCACCAGATTGAAAAACACTAAAAAACTAACAAATTAAACAAGACAATAACAATCATACAGAAGAATATACACTAAATTCAATCAAACTAGTCAAGATACCATATAGCAACAGCAACAACATACCAGTCAAGATAAAAGCAAAGATTTTTCTACTCACAGCTCAAAACACATACTAACCAATCAAACAACTAGGGTTTTGGCCAATTCAACAAGCACCCACATACAAGGAAAAAGAAAGAAACAGAAAGAGAATAGTACCAAAGAAAGTGCCTGACGATTTGGCCTCCAAATCCACAATATTGTCCCCCTTTCTTTAATAAAAATTCCTTCTTTTTTCTTTTGAAATGGGAGCAGACTTGAGCTTCCGGGTCTCAGTCTCTCTGCAGCACCAGCTCAGTATGTTGCTTTTCGGTTTCTCTACCTCTACGTGTGATAAAGGCTTGTTTGGTCCAATCTTTTCCAACAAAAAAAAAAAAAACCCACATCAATTTAGAGTTTTTAACCGTTGGATTATTATCCTTGGGGACCCAGTAGCATAATCCAGGATTCTTGACCGTCGGCTTAGATTTTAACAGTTGTGATGGTGTGAGCAAAGAGTGCCTTAGACAAAACCTTGCACTTGAACAAGATTTGGGCAAAGCAGTTGCTTAACACGCATCTCAAGAACGTTAAAATCAGACAGCTGCTGCATTGTCTTTGTCTCTGCTTATGGCCTTATCCACTTTCAAACATGTTAACAGACATTGAAAAACTGGTTCTTTTTCAGCTTTCAGTCGGTTTCACGTAACATCTATGGGTGATTTCTGGAAATCATGAAGTGGGTGGGGTTGCAATGGTTTGGAAAAGAAGTTAAAATGGAGGGTTAAAATGAAAGAAGGTTGTAGTTGTAGTTGCGGGTTGCTGTCATCTCCCATAAATGAAGGTGGGTTTGCATTGGCAGCGTGGCATTCCATGTTGAAGCATATTCATTTGATGGCAGTTCTGTCATAGGGATTCTTAATTTATGTTTGGGTGCTGAGAAAATAGCAGAAGGAAAATAAATTATTCATGATGCTTATAACAACTCCTAATTGGTGTATAAACAGGAAATTTTTAGTATTAAATGTTAAACAGAGTTATAGGAACACAGATTTCATGGTGAAATCCCCCATAAACTGGGCAAAATCTGCAAATTTGTAACATTTTTTCAGCTTCAATCCCTGTACAGATACCAAAGTAGAGAAACTTGGATGGAATTGAATCATAAAAGCTTACCTTGATTAGAAGCAAGGATATGGGAGTCTGACAGTATATGTGAACCGTAGGCCAATGTCTGATTATTGATAACAAAAACATGCAATTTTTATGTAAAACACGATTCAGATATATAAATTGTCAATGTTTTGCACAACATAAATACATGAATTGCTAGATTTAATTCTATGACTACCTTGTTTCGCACAGATAATGAAACGGAGATCACAAGCAAGGAAAGTTTTGTTATACAAAAGGAGAGTTACATTTCTTCCCCTATTTCCGGCTGAACAAACTTCTAAGCTTTCCTTTTTCCAACCTCTCATGTAGCTTCTTGGCACCAGGGATTTCCATATCTGAAAGCTTCTTGAGATATCCAATTGCTCCATATGAGATCATAAGCTTCTTGCATTTCTTACTTGTTGAGAGAGATTCCAGGCAGGAAACTGCATACTTTTTTTGCAGTGTTTTGGGGACTTGGATCAAGCAACTAGACCAGATTTGGCACACTTCTATCATCCTTTTTTACTTCTCTGCAATTCTGAGAGACGGTTACAAAGCTTGAAAGGGCTTGAGCGGCTACCTCTCTTGTACTGTTTGATTTAGCTTCAAGCATTTTAATAAGAAGAGTGATTTATCCAGCTTCACCCACCAGTTTTTTCATTTCACTTGAACTGCAAACTCGACATATGGCTGTTGCAGCAGCTTGTTGTGCACCAAGTGATCCAGATTTAAGCACATGAACTAATGGAGGGAGGAAACCAAGTGATACCAGAACTTCCATGGAAACTGATCCAACCAAATTCCTCAAGGCTCTAACTGCAGATTCTTGGGGCAAAGGACCATAGAGGTATACCAATAGACTTCGAAATCCACCTTCTGAGTAACAGACCTTCTCAGATTCTGATTGCTGGGCCTGGCTGTGAGATTCTGCAATCAAGGAGATTGATCATGACCTTTATAATTCCTTCCTCTGCTAGTATTTGTCGAACCTCAGGGACAGCTGATATATTTTTTAATGTACTAGCAGCTGCAGCCTGTGAGCAGAATATCCTGTTCAGTAAATTTTGCTTAGTGGTCGAACCCCACCATGCCCTACAACTCCTTGGGCTGTTTCTGCAGTCATTGATAATCTCTGCAGCAAAATTGTGGCCTTCTCTTCACCAACTGTGCTGCCAGATTCAACCAGCCTTATCAGAGGCGGCAAAACACCTTATGAAACAAGCCAGCTCTCGCAACTACCAGATTCTGCAAGTGAGCAGATTATAGTTGCAGTCTTTTCCTTGATAGGAGGAGATGTCGTTGTTAAAACTGGACTCAAGCAGCAATGTTACTCCATCCAGTAACAGACAATAGACTCTTTTCGTCCCCCTTGTTGGCCTCAACAAGGCTGTCAAAAGCTTTGTACTTTGCTTCTAAGTGCCCACTCTGAAGCCGTGCAAGCAATTTCTTTAGATGGCCATGTGTTGCAGTCTCTGATAAAGGTAAAGTAGATTGCACCAATCTTGATCAGAAGTCCACAATCCCATAAATTCAGATCCAACTTCCCTGACAATGCATCAAGATCACTCTGCATCTTAAGCTTCCCCTTGTACTTCTCCTTCAGACATAAATCTGCCAATTCAATTGTTTCTTTCAATGTCTTTGACACCACCTGCAACTGCTCTTTACAAAAAGCATTTTTGGAAAAGAAAGGATGGCTCGACAAGTCTGATAAGCATGAAGGGATCTGTTCCAATTTGGAAATTAACAACTTCCACCTACCAGGGAACCCCTTCACCTCCCTTGCCTTATCAAGTGCCATTGGGAACAAGCTCTTGAGCATGTGACAACCATTCCTCAGCCGACCAAGTATCATCCAAAACCCCATCTTCAGTACCTTCTCCCATGATTCAGATATGATTTTTGATCAAAATGATCACTAGAGCTGTATCAAGTGAAATTCATAGAAACTCAAACCTTCAGTAATGAGCCATATGAGAGAAAAGGATAACTAACAAGGAAGAAAGGATATTTTGATAGAAAATGGAAAAGCAGTGGAGCAGTTGCAATCATCAAATATTTAAATTATAAATTAATAATAACAAAAGAAAAATTAAAAAATAGTCCAGAACCTAAGAGTATCAAGAATCTTGTGTGATCACACAAAGCTTGTTTGCTGAAAACAAGACCGATGAAATCATTAGTTAGTTCATGTAGTCATCCCTTGGACCTCTTTTGGACCCGACCCACAAAATTGAAGTACATAAAGATGCCCACACGAGCCCTTTCCTTTGCTTTATCAAGTGATCATTAAATGGCAAGTAAAAATTATGATCTTAAAAGAAACATGTAATCATCAGCATATTTTACAAACCTTTAGTCGATGAAAATGAAAGAATTTACATTTTAACTACTAAAGGATTGCAGTCTAATCAAGAAACCGTCAATGAATATTTCTCGAAAGCAACAGAATACCCTTTTGCAAACCAAGTGACATAGCACACTGCAGGACTGCAATTCAAGGGTATATTCGTAAGTGGCTGAAAAAAAAAAGGATCAAAACCAACTTTCCTTTTAACCATGAATATGGTGGTATGGTATGAGATTGTGGTAGAGATCTTTGATATATGGACTTGATCTAAAGCCAAAGGTGAAGAATTTTCCTAGCAATGAAAGCAAAAATTGGATTGTTAGCATCAGCCATGGAAGTTGAAGAGAAGATAGGAGTCCCTATCCAAAGCTGTGTGTTTCGAGTATATTTAAATTCAATAACACATTTTTAAGAAAATTCAAAGCAATGAATACCAAAAGAAATGGTGCCTCACAATTGCTTTGACTTTCCCTGAAATTCCCAGCACTCTACCATTTGCATCCCCACTATATGCTTTGTGAAGCTAATCTATGAGCAAAACAAAAGAACAGTAAGAAAACATTCAACTCCAATCAAAATTATCAAATTCAGAGAAACCAAGATGAAAGAAAGCAAAAAAAAAAAAGAGAGAAGGGTGAACAATTGCATCAGAAAAAGAGAAAAGAATAAAAATGAAACCCACTTTGGTTTGCTTTTATCAGGGTAGGGATCAAAGAAAGCAAAACCAAAATCAATAAAACCAACCTTTAAGACTCAGGAACTCCAAAACTTGTCCCTTTTTCACTATCAAGCAACCTGCTGTAGCTTAATCCTCTAACATCTCTTTCTCTTTCAATTCCAACCCAGAAGATGCTTCTGAGAATCAGCTACACCACAGCTGATAGTTCCAAAAACAGCAGTCAGATTTGTTTCTGAGAATCAAAATACCCAGAACGCATTTTTTGTTTCCTGATGAAGGATCATAAACCATGAAGACAACCACAAGCTTAAGCTTGAAAACCAAAAGAAAAGTTCCCATTTTTTTGAAGTATTCGAGCTTTACACTAAAGCAACGATCACGATTGTTTAAGGTCGAGCAACTTTGGGAAATGTGCGGTTGTGATTCTGATTTATGACAGATTTGACCGTTGGGATTGGGTGAAATTTTGGAAAGAGATTCGACTGACGTGGAGGTTTCTGCCACGTGTAATGTGGGGCCCGTCGGGACTGCCTTTGGAAAAAAAATTAAGCCTATGGTTGATACTGATGGCAGGTGTACGAGGACAGGCTATGGGGAAGAGTGGGGGCTAGTTCTATAAAAGCACTTGGTTCTTGAATAAAATTCCGAAACTGCCACTTCCTTTTTGTAGTACCTTGTCCTCGTTGGATATCAAATTATATGATTATTATTAATTTTTACGGAGATCGAGATTTCTTTGTTTCAAGAAAAATAATTTTTTAAAAAATAATTTTTATATTTATAAATATTTATTTGATAAAAATTTTATTAATTAAAAAAAATTAATTTATTAATAAATAAAAAATGAGATTATTTTTTAAAAAATTATTTTATGAATTTAAAAAAAAGAACTTTTTGAAAAAAATTATCTATAAATAAAATTACTTATTAATATTTTTAAATATAATTTTATTTATAAATAATATTATATTAATAAACAATATATTAATAAATATTATTATAAATAAATATTATAATAATATATTAATAAATAATATATTATTAATGAATAATATACTACTAATATAATATATTAATAAATATTATTAATATACTAACATAAAGAATAATAAATAGTTTTATTTTAAATATTTTTATATTAACATAATATTTTAATATTAAATATTATTATTAAACTATAATTATTTGTTAAAATTAATAATTTTAATAATATATAATTTCAATATATTTTAATAATAAATATATTTTAATAGTTATATTAATATTATTTTAAAAAGTTTTTTCTAAAAAAACTAAATAACAAAAAATATTTTTTATTAACTTATCCAAATAAAAAAAATCTCTTTTAACTTAAAAAATGTAAATATTTTTGAGAAATCATTTTTTGAAAATTATTTTTTGCAAAATAAACGAAGCCTAATTTTTTTTTTAATTTTAATATATTTAATATTAAATATTAAATTATTTTATGAAATTAAAATCTTGTAATTTTTAATATCAAAATGTAAAAAAAATTTTTTTTTTTAAAAAGAAAATAAGATGGAGTGAGTAATAATTTTTTAGATTGAATTAAATTGGTGTGGATAATTATAATTAGAGATGATAATTAGATGAGTGGAATATGATAATTTAATGAGTAATTATTTTATGCTAAATAAAATTAAATTGCTCTTAATTTGAATAATTTTTAGTTTGATGCATTTGAATTTAAAACCCAAAATATTCAAGTCTAAAACTAAAATTATTAGTGTTTGAATAAATTTATATTTAAATTATTAACTTTTGAACTTAAATTAAATTTAAATCATATTAAGTTTTTAGGTTATTTAAATAAGAGTTGTTTAATATTTGAATTAGATTGGTATCAAATTGTTAAAAAAAATTTTAATCAATCGGATTAAAAAAATTTTCATATTTCTTTATCACTTAAGAAATTTCGTTAAATCTTACCTAAGTGTGTACTAATCTGAAATATTTAGTCCTAAGTCCCTAAATGTTTCTAAAATTGCCATTCTGATTATAAAACATGATTGAATTTGAAAAACATAAAAAATTGGCAATTAGCTGATTGGCCAATCTAATGTCTTCCATAACTCACTAAAATTATTTATTAATCAAAGATTGCAATCACTAGACAAGAACTCAACCAGACAAGCCACTTGGGCAAGGTAATGGTAGCAGGTTTGTAATGGTCAAAGCTACTTGCCCATTGTGTGTAACTATGACGACGTCGGAAACATCACACCTATAATTTATGATGCAATTAATCAATTCTAATTTAATATTACGTAAGATTTATAAAATATTATGTAAAATTCACATTTTTAAATAATGAATCTTTATATAATTATTCATTGTAATTGACTGATTGTATGATTGTAATAAAGAAAAATATATGTAAAATGCTCCCAATAACACCAATTTAGCTTTGTCATCTGCAAGTAAATTTTAAAGATAATGTTGTTGTAGAGCACCAAGAGTTAAGGTGAAGAATCAGTCAATTACATGATCCATTCAGAATTTGAGAAAATATCATGTTTTTAAGCGATAATGACTTTTTTTTACATAGAGACTACGATATGAAGATACGAAAAAAATTATAAATATTAATATTTAAATTTTAAATTTGTTAGTGTTATGATTGTTATTCGAATTAAGTCGACGGACGACAATTCTTTTTAAATGTAATAAGAAATGAGAATTACCTCAATCAGTGCTACCCCACGATCAAATGAAGGAATGGCAATTTATGTACAAATAAGGTGTACAGAATCCCAGCAATAGTCATTATGTACTTGATCCTTTGATCTTTTGACCAGGCAGACCATTTCTCTTTGCTCAATCAATTTCGCATTCCTGCTTGTCCTGTGTTCATGTCTGAAATTCAAGTAGCAGAATCAGGATGCAGTTGGTTGATTTGGTTTCCAATGGAATGGTCAGCTGAAGCCTCAGGGCCATCCATAGATTGAGCCATCCTGAATGTTGCTGTTCTCATTCGTTTTGCTTCAGAAGTGTCCTGCAATGGCAAGCGACAGACAGGACATGTGGACTGTTTTCTTAGCCATACGTCGATGCAAGAAAGGTGAAAGTTGTGGCCACACGTGGGCATGATTCCTAAAACTTCTTTCTCTTGGTATTCACCTAAGCATATTGAGCATCTGTGCACAGGGAAAAGTAGTAAATCTTATTGTCATCTATCCATAAACATTTCGCGAATAGATTCGATTTTCGTTTGTTTATTAAGTTTATCAAACTATACGAACATAATAAAATTCGTTCATGTTCGGTTCAAGGGCTCGTGATACAAGAAAACGGAAGGCTGAGCGTCAACTTACTGTGCATCTTCTACAGAACTGAAGGCCTCCTGATTGAACCTCAAGGTGGGTATGGCAGCAACTACAACTGGTTCAAGGGCTCCAATCTGTTGCTCTGGCTGCCACAACAAACAAGAAATGGTAAAAATCCAAAGCTCAAATCTGAACAGGAAAGTTGTTTTTATCAGGCAAGAAAATTCAGTTGAGATAATCAAATGAAAACCTGTTCCAGATCAATCCTAGAATCAGTCTGAAACATTTGTCTCTCCCGGGCCACTCGAATCCTCCCACAAATGATTCTTGTACAAACAAACACAATAAAAGCTGCACTCATTCCAAAACCAATGAGAGTTGTGATCAAATTCATGCCTGAACCAAACATATTTAACTGCCTGTTTCTTGAAACCAAATCCAAAACCAACCAACAGCTGCAATTCCAAGACCAAAATAACATGTAAAAACACAAGAAACCAGAACAAGAACAAGAACAACACCCCCAAACAGACAAAAGAGATTGTACACAAACTAGAATTTTCCAAGAAAAAATAACAAAGACCCAGATCAGAATTTTCCAAGAAAAACTGGGAAAAGGCCAGTTTCTGATCACAAAATAAATCTACCACATGGAATTATAAGGCTTTGGATGGGGTCAAGACTCAAGAGTTAATATTGCGTGGCCATGAATGAATGGTGGGGATGAGACTTGAGAGAAGAGAGTTGTGGAAGGAAGACAGTTCGTTTCCGTTTTCTTTCATCTTTGGAATTGCATTTACTGGGCCCACTTTTATCAGATGGTTGACATTGTAGCTGGTAGTCAGTTTTGGCAACAAAATTCCAAGAGAATCAATGGTAAAAGAAGTGGATATACACCAATGTTAGATTCCAAAAGCCAAGGTAGAGGATCCCCATGATCTGTTGCTTTTAGACTTCTAAAGCTCAAAATCGACGGGTTACGAAAATAAGATAAAAAAATAAAATAAAATTATTTGAATTAAAATTTTAGTAAAAATTTTATATAAATTTTTGTATAAAATATAAAATAAATATATGAATTATTAATGTTTTATCAAATATAAATTTATAATTTATATGTTTAATTGTTTTGTATTTGTTACAATTTTCTTAGTTCATCAATCACACTATTCGTCAGAGATTGCAATTTTTTTCTATTTGTTTAAATCATGACTTTGAATTTTCTATATCAACATACATGCGTAATGCGCTCATACCTACCAGACATTGTTTTTTCCTCCAAACTTCTTCCTTAAATTAAGTCTTTGCCTATTATGATTAATGATTGACTTTCCCTAGTACCAAAATTTTCTATATTTTCTTTGATTGATTTGAATTCTGCTTCTATAATTGGTTATTTTAAGGTTCGTTATTTTAAAGCATAATACGAATATTATACGAAAAAAATATATAAATATGATATAATTTAAAATTTTAACAATAAATACATATGAGTTTAATAAAAATAAAAAAAATATATTTTATATTTTTGTATCAATAAAAATTATGATATATAATTTTTATATAAAATATAATATAAATATAAATATACAAATTTTAATATTTTATATTATATAAATACATGAATAATTAGATTTAGCAACGGACTTTGTGTTTCTCAACATCATTATCATCAAATGAAGTTCTTTCTTGACATAATGTGTCTCGAATTTCTATATTCCTCATTAACCCAACAATCTTTTGAGTCTGATTTGAGGATCATGTTCAAACACTTAATCATTTAATTTCGATTATAAAAAAGTAGTTGAATGAAATTATTATCACTAATTGACTTAGAGCTTGATTTGGATTTAAAGGAAGATATGGAAAGACGCGGTTAAATGAGCAAATCGCGTAATTTTCGTGTTTGGTTCATAAAAGTATACCGTCTAATCGTGATACAGTTTCAATTACTTATTAAAATCTCATTGCTTCGGAGAAAATTTTTTAACTTCAATTAGGGTTGATAATTTAATTTGTATTTGTTGGATTTCAACTCGATTTTATAGGAATTTTTTTTTTAAATAGAGTTTTGGATTGCATTGGGTCGGGTCAAATATTTTTGAAAAAAAGTTAGGGTCAAGTTTTATGCAAATCTATTTCAACTTGACCCGATATATATATTATTTTTTATTTATTTAATTTTATATTAATACTTAAAAATAATATTTTATATAAAAATAATATTTTATTATTTTGGGTTGGGTCGATTACGAGTTTAAACATATGAAAATCGTGTCGAGTTCAACTATTAAATTTATAAAGTTAAATTGAGTTCGAAGCAAATAAAAATCTACCTTAATCCGACCCATTACCATTCCTAACTTCAATCATAAGTTTATTTCATTTCTAACCCTCATTTGTTTATTTTTTAAACATTTATCCAATTTTTATTTTATTTTACTTTAAATTTTTTTATTTAAAAGTTTTCAAAATGAATTATATTTTATAAGATAAAATTAATAATTATTTATTAACAAAACTATTATTTAACATAAAAATAATTTAGTAATTTTTAATATTTTATTAATTTTATAAATATTAAATAATTTAAAATTTTCATTACATATAAATTTTAATATAATATCCCTGTCAGTTTTTCATTACAATTCATCTTACTATCACTACTACGTTTGCATTTAAATATATATTTTCACTACTAATTTTAATGTTACCATTACAATTATCAATCTCATCTCCATCGCTATATTTAATCTTATTGAAATCAATTTCATTGATCATCCAAATAAACTCCATAGCAATTTCTTTTAGAGATTGGGTTTGGTGGTGAAGTGCTGGATTTATAAGTGAACATATATGTTTGATCATTTTTTTTCTAGCCAAGAACTAGTAAAATTTTCAAGATTTGATATGCAATTATGTGCTTATTAATGATTAAATTTGATAATTTAAAATATAATAATAAAAAGGTATGAAAACTATGCCGATAAAAATTTTAGCAAAAATACTATTATTTCTTGATTATCTTATTTCAAGTGATCAATTCCTTCAATCCTGTCTCCGAAGTTTGTCTTCAACATCATTCTAAAGGTTATATGGCATGGCTCTATATTGCATTCATTTTGTTCATAGCTCACATTTCAGCACACACAGGATTTATCAATTGCTATTACTTCCTAGTTGGTTTTCTTTATGTTATAGCTGTTGGTAGTTTAAAATGTAGTACATCTCATATTAGATAAAAATATTTAATTATTGATGAATAAAATTAATTTTTGTATTAATTTTATTCATATTTTAAATAATTATGTTTGAACAGAAATAATTATCATATGACAAATTGTTATAATTATTTAAATATAAATAGATTATTATTTATAAAAGTCATGATTATACAAAAGATCTATTCATTCATTATAAATAAATCTTTCAGTATAACTATTTTCACTGTTTCTGATTAGAGAGTTTAAGTATTTGTTATATCCTAAAGACATAATTATCTTTAAAAAAGTGTATTTCATGTCTCAAAGTCAAAATTTTTTTATATTATTTTTCTTTCTTTATTTATTTTTGTCTAACAATTTAAAGTCAATTATGAAAAAGTTTAATTTTGCATAAGGAAGATATAAGGAAAAGAAATTGGCATGATTTGGAGATCAATATTAGAGAAAATTAAATGTGTCAAAGGTGCTGGAGCATGCTTCTGCTAAAGATATGGTTTTGGCAAAAGTTGATGAAGTGAAAGCTGAAAAGGATGTTGAGACTGATGCACGTAGTCATGCCAGTCATAATGAGAAGCAAAAACCTGAGTGGGAAACTATCACTGCCCAGAAGAAAGGTGAGCACGTGGAGAGTTTAGAAGGTAGTGAAGGTCATAAACCATTTGGTGGAGCGTCTCCTTGTAAGGCATCAGCCACGGTAATGGAAACAGAATAACCTATGAGGCCAAGGATGATAGATCAGTTGACGATTAATCTTACTAAGAGCACTTGATAAGCTACCTGCAAATCTTACAGCTCTACAGATGTGTAACATTGGTAAGTCTGTGAATCATTTGCGTAGTCACAAGAATATAGAAATACAGAAGAAAGCGAGGAGTTTAGTTAATACATGAAAAAAAAATGAGTTGAGGCTGAGATGGATGCTAAGTCTGGTTCAAATCAGGGTGTTACCTGGTCTGCAAGACATCGTCTTACTAAAGTTTCTCACAGTGGAAGCAAGCACTTTGGGTCATCTGAGGTTGCCATGAAGAGTTCACTAACTCAACTTTTTGCCTCTAAACTGGTTCGGTTAAGCTTGCTCATGGAGAGACTGCAAGCAAGTCTGCTTTTGCATAAAATATCAGTCTGGTTTAACATGTGAAAAGGCCATGGATGCTCCTATGGCTGAGGGTAATAGTCATAAGTTCATTGTTAAGAACCCAAATCGAGGTAGAAGTCCGGCACAAAGTGCCAGTAGAGGATCTCTTAAAGATCATTCTGTCATAGCAGAGTTTTTTCTCCTGTGCTTTCAGAGAAGCATGAACAATTAGATTGTAACATGAAGGAGAAAAGTGATACTTGCTGGACATATATTATCGCTGATGTGAATACTGAATCTTGACAGAACAATGACTTCAAAGATGTGCTGACTGGGTCTGATGAGGGAGACGGTTCACCCACAGCTGTTCTAGATAAAATAAAATAAAAAAAAAAACTGTAAAACTGGAAAAGATGCCAGGAAAACAACTGAAGTTACAAAACGGCTTCCCCATCTTCTGGAAATGAACTTAAATCAGGGAAACCGCAGGAGGCTTCTTTCAGCTCCATTAATGCTTTAATTGAAAGTTGTGTCAAGTACTCTGAAGCAAATGCATGCATACCAGTTGGGAATGATGCTGGAATGAATTTGCTTGCTAGTGTGGCTACCGGAGAGATTTCTAAGTCTAATGTGGCTTCACCGATTGATTCTCTGCAAAGAAACACCCCTATTTTTGACCCGCATTGCTGAAGCCTTTGCATCTTCCCCTGATAAATTAGATGAGTTGTGCAATCATGGACTTGTTACTCAAGCTGCATCTCTCATTTCCACAAGTAATTCTGGAGGTGGACAGGCATCGTTGAGCACACCAACATATACGGGCTTAATTTGACTTCTTTCAACATGTGCAAGGGGGTCTCCTCTGAAAAAAAAAAAAAAAAACTTTACTTTTGCTTGGGATCAGTGGCATACTTAAAGATATACTATTAGGCTCTGGCGTTTCCTCTTAACTCATCTGTTCCGCCAGCTTTAAGTAGACCAGAGGAGCAGATTTTTGAGATTGACAATCTAGCAAATGAGCTTCTTCCTCCATTGCCACAAGGAACCATCTCCCTCCCTGCCAGCTTAAATATATTTGTGAAAGGATCTATTGTGAAGAAGTCTTCTGCTAGTAGCTCTGGCAAGCAAGAAGACACTAATGGAAACGCTACTGAGGTTTCAGCCCGAGATAAATTGTTGAATGATCAACCCAAACTTCTTCAGCAGTTTGGAATGGATCTCTTTCCTGTTCTCATACATATCTATGTTTCCAGTGTCAATAGCACTGTGAGCCCCAAATATCTTTCAGTTATTGGAAAACTGATGTACTTCAGCAGTGCAGAGATGCTTCAGAACCTGTTGAGTGTGACAAACATATCAAGTTTCTTGGCTGGTGTTCTTGGCTGGTGTTTTAGGATGGAAAAATCCATATGTCTTGGTTCCTTCCCTCCAAAGACATCGCAGTGGTAACTCTAATCCTAAAGGAAGTTCTG